CAACTACTCTATGTGAGTGGATGAAAAAATTTTATTTCCTCTATAATGGAAACATAATCCACTTCAGTATCAACACTCTGTAGTTCGATTATTGTGTTGCCTCAATTCTTGCTTTCAATGTCTAATTTGAATATTTTGTTTAAAGCTTGTAACAGTGAATAACGTTGGCGCTTTGCAGTTCTACTTTCACATTTACTTCTAGTCTTCAAGTAAAACTTGTTTTTTCCAGTAACTGCTCTTCAAGTTTCACTCTCACTGTTTTTTTGTGGGTTTTTCCTGTTTCTGCAGGAAGTTAACATGTATGAAATATGGAGTTGTATGGTTTCACTATGCCTAATCTGTGGAGAGAAGGGGATGTTCAGAAACCCTTCGCCAGTTTCAAGACAAAACCACAACACACTTTGCAACATTAAACACGCAAAATGGTTTGCAATAGAGCAGAACCCCAATTAAGTAATATATTATTCAATGGTAATGATGTACGATTATATTTACGTACAATTTTGAGGTACATGAGTATGTCCATTTTAGAGTTAGGGAAATATTGTAATTTTCACTCCACAACTTTTTTTGACTGCTGTTCAGAATAACATCTGTCATTAAAAAACAACTGTGATTCTAGTTATTCCCTGTGTTTTTCCGTTCCCCTGTGTCCCTTGTGTCCCTTTGTCTGTCTCTAAGTGTCTATGGGCTGTGGGCGTGGCGATGACGCACTCTCCCTCCCTGCCGAATGCACACACCTGCCTCTCATTAAAGGTCATCTTGTTGTAGTATATCAACCATGGTCTGTCATTGCAATTTTTTTCAGGAAGCTACCATGGTAGTTACATTTCAGGCTTTCCTTGAGTACTTTATAGTTTTCTACTAAATATCCTGTTGTATGTTTCTGTTGTTTAATGCAGTCTCTCCTTGTGCTTCAGGACCAAGCTCACTCTCAGCCTGCTACGCCAATCTCTCATTCATCCATATTATCCTATTTCCTGTCTGTGTCAGCTTCTGTGTCCGAAATCAGCAATTCATGACAAATTCATTAAAAACAACTCATTTTATTTACAGATTAAACCAGTGGTTTCCAACTTTTTTGTCTTGTGGCCTCTCACAAAAAAGCTGTGTATTTGGCGGCCCTTGTCATGTTCAGATGTCTGAGTTGTTAGATGAAACTCTAATGGTTCTTTTTAAATAATGATCGAGGCCCAAAGAAATGAAACTATCATTTTACAAAAAGACAGTGAAACCCCTGAACCCAACCCCAATATAAAAAACATAATAAATTAATGAATCACGTTGCTTTCTGGAGCCAGGAACATTACTTATCTAATGTACTGTAGCCTACTCTCCCAGTTTGTAATATAATGTGTATTTGTTTTTACTTTTGGGTGAAGGGTAGCCAGGCATGAACAGATAAAATACATTTTACATTTGGTGGTTGTTCCACCACCAAAAATGGCATGTTTAATAAAAGGGAAGAAAGATGTGCTGGGGAGTTTTTATTAGAAAATTTCAATTTGATTCAAACTACCATCTTCAACTGATTACAAGAAAGTTTTATAAAAGACAGGATACATAGACCAATACATAATACATAATAATAATAATAATAATACATTTAAAATAAGAAATACAATACTTTAAATGTAATTCTAAACATTTGGCATTATTGAACAATGCATTATAGTGATAAATAATAGCACCATTACTAGTCAGTTTTTGTATGTATGTAGTTTCTCCTCTTGATATTATTATTGCTCTTTCACTTGCTCAAGAGCGATCGTAGCTATTTGACTTTTTCATAATCCGCTTTAAAAGGATAGTTTTTAAATAGTGGCAGATTAATTCAGGCCTTCATCTATTCTCTCTTCTTATCTTCTTCTAGCTTTGACTTCCGAATTACATTTTGGTTATATAGTTTCCCTTCAAATGTGACAAGAGGGATGAAACAAAAAAAACAACTATGTATAAATCCCCACAGGTCCCATCTGGCGCGCAATTCCTATATTTCTGTGTTCGGTTGGTTAAAACGTTGGTTAATTTTAAATCTTCAAAGTTTTTATATTTTCACAAATATACAAAAGACGTTCAGACGTACGTCAAACTATATTAAAGTTGCTAATAAAGTTACTCAAACACAATTACGATAGAACAATAAACAACAAAAAAAACGTTCACTTAGGACTTAGGAACATTCAGGCTGCTTAGAGTGGTACAGTTTTCTAGTCTAACTTTCAGCAAGAAAGCGATTGAGCTATTTAATAATGTATATAATGTCATATACCACAACGGAAAATTAAATAATTAACAATTCCATTTAGGCTGCTGAGCCTGAATGGAATTGATCAGATATCTGTCAAATTAGGTGACGTGTCAATCGTAAAGTAGTTTTAGAAATGACCTTCTGGAAAAGAGGAGGATCTGAACCACTTAAATTCAGAATTTTTTTTATTGTATAACATTGCAGTGATATAAATGAAGTGGTTTTAAAAGTGGTAGTAGTTTTCAGTACTGTTTAAATTTCAAAATTAAATTCCATAAAACTTTAATAAAGTAGGCTTTTATGTGCTTAACATGCCTATATTTGGGCCTTTAATTCCTTTACCAAGCTGGTAAATCTGATGAATAATACTTTGGTGCCCATTGTTTCCGTAAAATGAACTAAACAACTGAAATGTGGAGAATCTAACCAATCTAACAATGTGTAGTGAAATGCAGGGCTTTTGCTTGTAACAGAACATTTATATTGGTATGCATGATCTAACTAAGAACCAGCCCAAGAGGTGACCCGGTGGGCTTTCAGAGGTTTTATTCATCCAAAGAAGTTCTATTAAAACCAGACCAGGCATCTAATTGAAACCTGCGTTTATTTGTCAACGTGTGTGGCCTAGGCTAAGTTTCACAGTCTTCAGATGTTATAAAGTTCAGCTTTAATAAGGCCTTTCTTTACTTGGGGCACCTGCTTTTCAAACTTTTTTATACCTACTGGTCACGTTGACACCAAAATATGTGAAAATAGGGTGCAGGTTTAAAAATGACAAAATGAATCTACCAGGCAGCATATAGTTAAAATAAGCTCCATCTGCAGCAACAATAGTGATGCTTACATATTAATAGGTCAATAATTATAGTGCAATACTATAACATATATTATTCTGAAATGGGCGATTCTGCAAAATTAATTATTTTTATGCTAATCCTTTTACACTTTTGCTCAAGATTTTAAATGCAGGTCTTTTGCTTTTAACAGTGTTTCTACACTGTGGTATTGCTTTTATGCCTTCAGGATGTTAAAACCTGGATGACCTGTAATTTTCTCATGTTAAACTCAGATAAAACTGAAGTTATTGTTCTGGGGCCCAAGCACCTCCGTGACGCATTATCTAAAGATATAGTTTCCCTTGATGGCATCACCCTGGCCTCCAGCACCACTGTGAGGAATCTTGGAGTTATCTTTGATCAGGACATGTTGTTTAAGTCTCACATTAAGCAAATTTCAAAGACTGCCTTTTTTCACCTACGTAATATTGCGAAAATCAGGAACATCCTGTCTAAAAATGATGCAGAAAAACTAGTCCATGCATTTGTTACTTCTAGGCTGGATTACTGCAATTCTTTATTATCAGGCTGCTCGAAAAAGTCCGTTAAGACTCTTCAGCTGATCCAGAATGCTGCAGCACGTGTTCTGACAGGAACCAGGAAAAGAGATAACATTTCTCCTGTCTTAGCTTCTCTGCATTGGCTTCCAGTAAAATTTAAAATCATTCTTCTTACCTACAAAGCTCTTAATGGTCAGGCACCATCTTATCTTAAAGAGCTCATAGGACCTTACTACCCCACCAGAGCACTGCGCTCCCAGAATGCAGGGTTACTTGTGGTTCCTAGAGTCTCCAAAAGTAGACTAGGAGCCAGAGCGTTCAGCTATCAAGCTCCTCTCCTGTGGAACCAGGTTCCAGTTTGGGTTCAGGAGGCAGACACCATCTCCACATTTAAGAGTAGGCTTAAGACTTTCCTCTTTGATAAAGCTTATAGTTAGGGCTGGCTCAGGTGAGTCCTGAACCATCCCTTAGTTATGCTGCTATAGGCCTAGACCGCCGGGGGATTTCCCATGATGCACTGAGCTCCTCTCTCCTCTACTTTCTCTCCCTCTGTATGCAACCTTATCCCATTATTGCATGTTACTAACACCACTTCTCCCCTTTCTGGTAGTCTTGTGCTTTCTCGTCCCTCTCCTCTCTCCTCCTATCACTTCCTGCAGGTTTTCTGGCTCTGGAGCTGTGGAGTCTGGATCTGTGGCTGCGGGTCGCCTGCTGCCCCCGTGTTCCTGCTCGACACCCTCTGCTACAACAACTATTGTTACTAGTCCTATTGTTATTATTGTTATTATAATCATTAACATTATGATTATTATCATTAACACTACTATAAATATCTGTACCATTTTTCATTTAGTCTATAGCAACATCACCTTTACTGTCTGTACCTCTGTGTGTATATTGTGTAGGCTGCCTCCCTCCCCTCTCTCTCTCTCCTTCCATCCCTCTCTTTTTCTCTCTGTTTCTCTCTCTCTCTCTCTCTTTTTCTCTCTCCCTTTCTCTCTCTCCCTCTCTCTCCTTCACCCCAACTGGTCAAGGCAGATGGCCGCCCACCCTGAGTCATGGTTCTGCTCGAGGTTTCTGCCTCTTAAAAGGAAGTTTTTCCTTGCCTCTGTCGCCTAGTGCTTGCTCTTGGTGGGAACTGTTGGGCTTCTGTAAATATCATCACAGAGTACGGTCTAGACCTGCTCTTTTATGAAAAGCGCTGTGAGATAATTGTTGTTGTGATTTGGCGCTATATAAATAAAATTGAATTGAATTATTTAAGTAAAAGATTTGAGTACGTCTGCTCGTGTCTCTTGCCTCGCTGGACTTCACTGTAACGATGATACCACGTTCCCAGATCTCAGTAATTAATTCATTTGCTAAGTACAACCCTATTATAACCAATAGGATTAAATATCACAACCACAAAAATAAGACCAAAGATGTAATAATTGGCAGCTGTGTCAAAGGAGTCCAGGTTCCTGCTCTTCTATACAATGTTCCTCTCCAGCATGGGTTCCTGGGCCAGAATGCGTCTGAAGCCGAGGGCGCTCAAGTCCAGTGTTTTAAAGTTCCCATCCAGGATCAGTTCTGCCACAGCGCGGCCCACAGCGGGGGAGTGCTGCAGGCCGTGGCCGCTGAAACCGGTGGCAAAGTACATATTGTTGATCAATGGGTGCATACCGATGATGCCGTTCTGGTCGAAAGTGTTGTAGTCGTAGAAACCCGCCCACGCGCTGGTCACCTAAAGGGAAGGAACAAGAGAGAACAAAGGGCTGAGACCACATCTATGCTAAACCAGAATTTAAAAAAAAAATGCTGTTTGGGTGTAAACATTAATTTGGCAAATAGCAAGACTGATGAGTGGGACAGATGCTGCCAAACCAAATCCTTATTTTGTGTTTGCAACGTTGTCTGAGAAAGTCAGCATAAATACAGACTACCAGCTGTGTGATCGGCTTTATCAACATTAAAAATAAGTGATTAGAGAGAAAGTTATAGACAGAAAGTTGTCTTTTTTTCGTTTCTTTTTTTTTTTTTTAAACCTTGTCCTGCCCAGTAGCCTGGTATGCAGTATGAAGAGCTGGAAAGAAAGTTGTCTTCTTAACACTGGTTAACTCTGCAGAGTGACAAACCATTAAACCTTCGTTTAGTACCTTCCTGCTCTCTGTATTTTACTGCAGCCGAATTCACCACATAGTTGTTCTCTTTTACATATCTTTCTGTCTCTGTTGTCAAACAACTGAACAAGTATGAAATTCTACAAGTGCTCATCTACAAATTCTTGGGTATAACAATGTTAACCAGCAGTCACTCCCAAGTTTTTAAGAACAGAAAGTTCTTCTTAAAAGGATCAGTGTGTAATATTTAGGAGGATCTAAAGAGTGCGTTTTGTCACTACGTTGGATAGGTATGAAGAACAAGTAACATTAGCAGTAGTAGTACTCGTCCCACACATTATTTAGCACAAAAGCCGACAGAGTGTGTCGGCCACCGTAGCTTCTCCTGATTTCATAGATCTAGAGGGGTGAGCGGGGATGCGTTTATGTGGTGTCGGAATAATCAGAATCTTTTTTCCCCTCCTTAAATCTTTCTTGCAAAAAGAGAAATAAATTGTACATGGGACATAAAGAAGTATACAGAACTTTGATTCGTGCAAAATCACGTATTGTATATACATATTTTGCAAACATGTAATTTGCAATATGATTACAGTTAGTTTGCTGTCCATGTAGAGTGAACTAGATGTCTGCATGCTTTTTATATGCTCCGTTAATGCTAATCCAACACATCTTTGTAGTAGCGTCCATGTTGATTCCACATTACAACTTAAGAGCACATGAACACACACTGAAGTCTGAAGAATGACTTAACAACTCGGGAAGTAGGACCATCTGTGGAGCACATGAATGCACAGTGAACCCCTGATTGCAATTCGTGATCCTCACCACTAGATGCCACTACAACTTACACACCTAATGTTTATTAGGCCCTGACCCTCACTGAGCAGCTTGCACACTGTTACCTGTACAAACTGAGAAACAATAAACACCGCCCGATATGAGCTAATTGCAGATAAATCGGTGTCTTTGTTTATAGTAGCCGATAAATGACCGTTTACTGTACTTTTCAAACAACAAAAAATGTTTATTTTTAAACTGCTCATGTAATCTTGGTGAGTTCTCATAACTACACAAAACAAATATAATCTTAATCTTTAGCCCTTTTTCCACTGCATGGTACCAGCTTGACTCGCCTCTACTCGCGGGCCAAAGTCGGGTCCAGTAGAGGCGAGGCGAGGCGAGTCAAGCTCGTACTGGCAAAACGGCATTTGTTTATGTTATTTGTTTCTGAAAAGAAGAAAGTAACATTAACTGGAATATCGGATTTTAAAATCCTCAAATATCAAAATCGGTATCGGTCTTCAAAATCCCATATGGGTAGGGCTCTATTAAACTCACACTTTTGGGAAATTCTCTTTTGTTTGATGGACAAAGCCAGCTTAGTGAGAAAGCAGGGCGTACCGAGACCAAAACATAGCACTCCAAAAACCTGGGGCTGCACTTTTAAGCATGAACAATAAAAACAAGAAGATCTATTCATTGCATGACTACATATTCTTCTAACTCATCCATCATTAGGTCAGTCTTTAGAAAGCAGATCCAGTACTATCCTACGTGACTGCAACTTGAGAGACCATTAAGTACATTTTGTACCTACCCATTCAGACTCTTCTTAGGTCTCTCCCTAATGGGAATTACCGCTATGGTAACAGTGCTCAATGTAACAACACCTCTAAGATTACACATATTAGTCATCCACACACAGGCAGACAGTTCCCTATCAAAAGTGTGATCACATGCTCTTCGTCTCATGTGGTTTAAATGTTGCGTGGTCCTTGTGGTTTATCGTATGCAGGTAAAACCTCTAGGAAATTGAAGCAACGCATCAGTGTGGGATTATCCTGTGGCATGACATCTCTTCCTCTGGCATAGAGAAGTTATAGGCGGGGACCGTGACTTGTTTTTGAGATGTGAAGCTTTGCAGACATGGTCTCCCAAAGGTCTTAAATGATGAGTTGCTACTAAATGTTAATGCTGTTTATTTTGAGTGGGATCAGCCAGGACATATTCCTATTTGACTTTCAATACATTAATATGTTTATCTGGCAATGGCGCAGTGGATAAGACACATACCTTTGGTGTGGGAGACCCGCGTTCAATTCCTCCCCGTGACATCCACAAATGTGTCCCTGAGCAAAAACCTGAGCAAGCTACAGAGGGTTTTGACCTCTGACATATAGTAATTGTAAGTCGCTTTGGATAAAAGAGTCAGCTAAATGACAAATTATTATTATTTATCTATAAATTAGTTTTCTTCTATTTGCCCATGTATTGAAGCTCTGTTTTGGAGGGTCTTTAAACATTGACTTCATTATCAGTATGAGGGCGGCAGCTAAAGATTATTTTCATTATTTAATTTGTCAATAGTTTTTATGATAAATCAATTAGTTTTTTGGTTTATAGACTGTCAGAAGATTATGAAGAATGTTGATCAGTGTTTCCCAAAGCTCAAGATGACATTGTCAAATGTTGTGTTTTGTCCACAATCCAAATCACCAATTCGATCACTTTAAAAACAAGCCATAAAAGTTCTGGAAAGGAAACCACAACAGTATCATCACTCTAGGGCTGGACGATATCAAAATGGGATCACAATGAAAAGTTTAATACCTTTCGATATTGATAATTATCACGATAAGTATCAAATCGTTAATTCTTTCTAGTTTAAAGGCTGATTTTTGCTCCTGAGTGAAGTTAAAGAAACCTGATGGTTGATTGTCGTTTAAACTCTTCTTTATGGTCAACACATGAGGCCAAACAGTGGATCACTTCTGAGGTAGAACACTCGAAACATGATACGTATGATATTATGATAAAATCTTTGTCAACAAATATGCATGAGTAAAATTAAATAAAAGCTTTTTTCCTCAACAAAATAAACATCTTAATAAAAAAACAAAAAACAAGTCCTAATTCAAGTGAATAAAATAAAACATTTATTGAACATTTGTTATATTGTTATTGAAAAAAAATTATATTGCAATAATTGTTGTTATTGTTTTTTTGTCCAACCCTTCATCATTCATTTGGTGTTTAACTCACAATACAGCACCTCCACCACTGAAAAGCTTTGTACAACTCACATGATCCGAGCTTCAAGCTCAAATGCTAGGATGGATCTTAAGAAACCTGTCTTGTCTACATTAATCTGACACAGAATCTGTATTTTATTAAACACCATCACGATGATTATTTAGAAATATTGCATAGGGCTCAGGAGATGGAGTGGGTTGCCCGTTTATTGTAAGATCGGCGGTTCGATCCCCCGGCCCCTCCGGTCTGTATTTTGGAAAGTCCTTGCACAAGATACAGAACCCCAAATTGCCCTGATGGCTGTTCCATCAGTGTATGAATATGGTTGAATGTGATGTAGCGTAAAAAACGCTTTGAGTGGTCGCAAGACTTGAAGGCTATATACAAGAACAGACTATTTTACCATTTGCATAGTATAGGGTGTAATGGCTGATATTTGTAAGTTTTTATATTTAAGGTGTTTTGAACTTGTATTTTCTGCATTAGTGTATTACTGTCTGTGTCGACCTGCACAGGGACTGCAGATGGAAATTAGCTAGTAGCTAAATCTGGTATAACGCATCTCTTTTCCTTTTGTGACATTAACGTTGCTGGATATGGTCCCTGACAAATAAATGCAATAAACTAAACTAATGTGGACTAAATTTGAACAGTAATACTGTGAGTGATCAAATGTACTAGCTTACATGCAGAAAGATTACCAGGCAAAGAAAATGGCCAACGTATCCCAATCCCTACCTTAAGTTTCTCAAACGCAGGAACACGACTGGCCAAGCTGGGCCAAACCTTGTCCTCAAAAAACTGGTGGTCCACCTCCAGGTTACTGGTATCTGGCTCCTCCCCCTGGAGACAGACACAAAACACACAGACCTTTTATTAAACTGTTTATTCTTATTAATAAAAAAATAGCCAGGAAAACAGTTTTAAACTATAACAGACCTCCTCTGGAGACGTCCCAGCGATGTAGTTCCCACCTAACCCCTCTCTTCTGAAGTAAACTCCAGAGTAATCAATCAGGAAGGGAGTGTCTAGACCTGGACCATCAGGACAGTGGACAACATACACATACCTAAAAGAGATTTTACATACAGTTCATTCTTACAATCCTGTGTTAACTGTACTTTCTTGTCGTTAAAGCCGACTTTTCGCTCCGCCTTCCAGTGTGGCGGCTCAGAAAAGCTCTAAACATGTCGTATAAACCTGTTCTTTTCTTGTGTAACACGGCCTTGAGTGTGTGTTTGAGGGTGTTTACATCCACTCTGGGTGAGGAGTGAAAGACTCAATTTTATCGGTACGTTAACTACAATCTTTACACAGTTAATTCGATTTGGAAGGAAACACCCTCAAATTAAAGCCGTGAGTCACATCCATAAAGGTTGCCGGTTTTCAAACTTACCGGACAACAGAGTCCATATAAAAGAAGAAGAATACTAAAGAGCCGCACTGTATGAGGCCCTGAGAGGCCCTTTTAAAGAAAACTAGACATTCTGACAGCAATTGGGTTGTTTTTTCAAAAGGGAAAATATGCCCCTTAAGTCAATGACCTACCTTTTCCGAGGCTCAACAGGCAGAGTAATTCCAGCGATGGTGTCTTTGGGACCGGAGCCAATTCCCAGCATCTCTGCCAGTTTACCAGAAAAGGCTCCTGCTGCATTCACCACAATGGCACATTCCACTGGCTGGTACTCCAGGCTGTTCGGCATCTGCACCTGCTCGACACAAGACAATATCCCATCATGCACAACACTATGCTGTTCCTATGGTGCAGAGTCCAAAAGAAATCAAGATATAAATCTGGAAAATTCAGAAACAAATTTGTTGTGTTTCTAAACACCTTTTTAATCCTTTCTGGATTTTGTTTTCCAGAGGCTTCTTTTTTTTTTTTTTTTTTAATGGCCAGAATATAAAAGAGGGCAAAAATAAATTAGTTCTTAAAAAGGCCCAATCTGTTTTTTATTTGATCATACAAATTACAAGTCTGTTGTATGTATTGGCTCTAAACCTTTTTTTATCTCTGCACCCAAAATTAAAATTAACTTTGTCCCCGGGTGCACATTTCATAAATGATCGTAGAAACATTTGTTTAAATATTCAAATTTAAACCCTGTTTATATTTTTGATCAATCATCACCTGTTAATGACCGCTGAGTTTGAAAAATAACAAACTACAAGAGAAAAAAAAATACAAACTCTTCTGCATTTAAATTTTTTATGCCATTAAAAACAGCAGCTGGTTGAAAAACCGTCTCCACATGAAACACGATGTGGGTGCTCATTATTGTTTCTAAGTGCTGGGACAAAACAATATGAAAGATATTCAGCTTTTTATTTACTTGTTGATATGACTGCAGTTTTGGCTTAAAGATGGCGTTTGTTTTGTGGACGGCCTGAATTCACAGCCACGCCTCGGAGAGATCTGAAGGAAACCTCAATAGGCCTCAAAGGAAATTGACAGACATGCGAACAGGAAAAAAAACGGTCTCAGTAACAAACAATGAAAGCAAGTACTGGTGAGGACTATATGTTTAATTTAAGAAACATTAGACAAGTTTCCATATTTTGCAGAAACTTTATCTGAATTTTCAGAAAATCTGTAAAAGAAAATGCTAATTTATGTGCATTTCCATCGACTGTTGTGCAAATACAGGGAGTTGGTTCATCAAGATAAATTTTCACAATCTGTCTTTTTCCACTGCACTGTGTCACATTTTGCTTTTATCAATGCAAACCTTTCTACCTCAGCAAAGTGCTAAAATTTTTTGGTGATATTTTAAGGTATTTTTTCGGATTTTTGCGTTTCAACTCAGGTGTTTTTATGTGCAAACTGAAAAAGCGCATAACAGGTAGATGGAAACGCACCTATTGATTTAATGGAGGAGCTTTATTTCCTTAAAAAAATCATGAAGAACACAACTTACCACGATGTAGTTGCTGTCTAGTATTAGTCCAAGTATTATGTGCACCTGTCAATCTAGATTTGGTTTGTTTGGGCGACACGTTTCTTTATTCTTGGTTCAGCCAACATGATAGATTTAGCTTTTAAAGAACAACCTGGTCGACTGAGTTTAGTAAAGCTACTTTAGTTTGTTGCTCTACTTTTAAATATTAATCTAAGACGGCACAGAGAAGAAAACTGTCCCCAACATGTTTCAAAAGAACTTTGACCGTGGCCATATCAAAGATGCAGACGTTCACAGTCCCACTTACTTTGACAGATTTTATTCTCCTGAGATCCAGGTGTTCACCATCAGTGGTAGTCACCACCTTTGTTGTATATTTAAAATCTGTGGAAGAAATTGACACCAGCCAGCAGACTGTCTGTTCAAACCAGATCAATAAACACATTCTGCATTCACACAGGCATGAAGGAAAAACTCTGCATAATAACAAGCCTCAATGTGTATGCAGGGTGCCATTACCTACACTATTCAAAACAAGAGGTGTACACTAAATGTCTCATTTTTTTTGTACATTTCTATCACGTCAATTAAATAAAATTAAATTTTCTTCAGAGCTGCCAAAAGAAATTCCCTTTTTAAATGCTCGAAAAATCAAGTCCTAGATCAAACTTTATATTTTGGTTAGTAGGTGAAAGAAAAGTGAGTAAAAATCCTTCACTTTTACTCCTTTTTATCACATTTATTATGTCTTAAAAATGCTCTTAAATTTTAGAGAGCTCCAGAGGTCTCTTGTTAATAGTAGGTCCCAAATGGTTGCAGTACAGAGACACAGGTGAGCACACACACACACACACACACACACACACCCCTGAAGTGATTGTACAAACTAGTATTGGTCATGATGATTAATACATTAGCTGAAACGTTATGTATGTATCTATTTTTGCATGTATTGATTTTCAATGCTTTTGTCAATGTGGTGCTAAATTGTTCTTATGATACGACTTCTCTAATGTTCCTCATCAGCCAGCTTTTTGTTTAATTTCAACCAAATTCCTTTTATTTAATTCTTATTTTTAAATTTTTTGTTCATTTGACAAGTTTATTGCTAATGATTTTTTAATGAAAATGTTTAAGAGAACAACATATCACCAAGAAAACATGATTGGCTGTTCCTGCTCGTAGTAGACGTATGATTAACTTTACGGACGATCTCGGTTCGGATCGTTCAGCTATCTTCTTCTACATGAAACCACATCTGACAAGAACTTCAGAGAATCCGAGTACTTTAAAAGTCCACTTGCAGCAGCTTTACAGTAGTTAAAATACAACATGTTTTGCCACCATTAACGCAGACAGGTCTCACTGCAGTGTTGAAATAACTTGTTGGTTAACATGATGAACTTGTTTCCATTAGATAACTGAGATACTGGTAATTTTTAAACAGGGCGTGACAAGAAACCAACAAACCATAACAAACCTGTAACTTCTCCGCAGCACTGAACGACTCCCATAGAGATGGCTTTCCTTCTGAAGGCGTTCAGCAGAGTCCAGGGGTCAAACCAGCCTTCGTTCTCCAACCCTGGAAGGCAGGACGAGTGCAAATGAAAGTGTTGATACACCCCCATACTCAAGTTTACTGGCTTACATAAATGAGCAACTACAACGAGGCATATATTTAAGATTAATGCTGAACATTAATGCCGAACTTGAATTTTACACACAATACCTCCTCTGGTCAAACATTTGATATAGCTATTGATATTGTTACTCAATGTCACAGTAATTGCTCTTTTATAGTTTCTATTTTTTCTTCTATTCTTATTTTAGTTTTATATACCTCTTATGTATTATGTCTTTCTCTATTTATCTGTAGTTATTGCTGTCCTTGTGCTGCAACAACTGAATTTCCCCTTGGGGATTTAATAAAGGCTTATCTTATTTTATAGTAATAAAAAGTATATATACACTAACTAGCTGGAGGAAATCTGTGTCTTATCAGAGGTGGACAGAGGGCCAGATTTAGCAAAGGCTTTTGAGCCTGTTTTTAAGACTTGCTGTTTTCTACCCCAAATACATGCAGTGTATTTACTGAAACAGATGCAGTTGCCATTTTAGCAAGTGTGTGTAATGTGTGTCTCTTTAACAAGACACGATTATATATGCCACTGGATTTACTAAGATCGTGCAATTTGGGTCAGTTATGCGGATTCCCCATCTCTGAAAAGTAAACACAGCGCAGATGGGATTTACAGGAGCCACAAGGAAGATTGTGGTGGGAAAATAAATGTGACTTTACCTTTATACTACAGAAAACTAGTGTCTGCAGGGATAGAGTAGGTGCACCACAAACACAGAGAGCTATAACTAAATCTGCCTCTTAGAAAGAAAACTAGAGCAGATTTTCTAATCAGCTGATGTCTGATTGTTGCTGTTATGACCCTATTTGACCCTGTGCTCTAACAACCACATGGAGTGATTAAACATTAACCTGTGCATTATCTGCACTCACCATATGATGCTAGCACCACACCATCTGTGTTGATCCATGGAAATTTCTCTTTCAGTTGCGTCGGAGAGAGGAGGGAAACTTTGGCTCCAGCATGTCTAGAAATCACAAAGCAAGACAAATGGTTGACAAATTAATTGGACACTTTCCCGCAAAAAAGGAAACCGATATCTGGCTTTCTGATATCACACAGTAGTACTGAATGAAACACCTCTGGGTGCTGTAGTTCTCTTCCATGATGTGGGCCACCTCCTCACTGGCCAGGAAGAGATATCCCGATTGGTTGAACTGCAGGTCCACTGGGTCTTCGTTCAACACGCAGAGGTGTTCCTGAGGGGACATGGAGGTGCGACAGCCACATTAACATAATCATTTCTATATTAACAACATGGGAAAAGTTACAAAACAGTATGCCTTTAAGTAACATGTTTGTCCTCAGGTTGGCACTAGAGTAAAAACAATAGGGTCATCCATCCATCCATCGTCAACCGCTTATCAGCAATCCCAGCTGACTTTGGGCAAAAGGCGGGGTACACCCTGGACAGGTCGCCAGTCCATCGCAGGGCCACACATAGACAAACAATCACTCGCACTCACATTCACACCTAAGGACAATTTAGGGTCACCAATTAATCTAGCCTGCATGTCTTTGGATGGTGGGAGGAAGCGGGAGCACCCGGAGAGAACCCACGCGGACACGGGGAGAACATGCAAACTCCACACAGAAAGGCCGGGGCAACCGGGGTTGTCCCAGTGCCAACCACAATAGTGTTGTGGAGCTTGGTCGGAGCCACACTGTTTGCGATTTACAGAGCCAGGGCAGTAGCAAGTTAAGTAAACACTTAGATCAGTTTCTCTGTCTGGCCGTCACACCTTTTCTGCCCAAGTTTAAATACTTAGTTACACAATAAACCACCATAGAAATGTGCTTTTGTTCACAGTTAAGGAGTTTTTAGTCGCTTAATCCCTCTTTTCCGGGCCTGTGACACTGTAGAAATGTGGCTAGTGGACCCCCCCAGCATCTACAGTATCTCTAATACATACTGATAGCAAAGTATCATGGTTTTATAAATAAAGACAAAATCAAGTGTAAATTAGTCTCCATCTTTAAAGCTAGACTCAAAAATATAGGCAGCTGTTTCCATATTAACACAACACACATGCTCTAAGGGCGATGTGGCACATTTAATGGATTAAAGGCTCATAATTTATTGTGCGGTGAGCTCACAGAGGCTCCATACAAACAAGCAACAACTCCAGTGACTTCAACGTGACCTACATTGATGTTCCTCATGAAATCTGCAGAGGCAAGGGAGAGGTAGATGTTCTCAGGCAGAGAGAACTGCTGTCGAATCCCCCCAGCAGACAGCACAGTGGAGGCCTGGGAGTACTAGGGAGAACCACATGCAGGAGGAAGCGGTTAATTAGGAAAAGTGTAGAAGCAGGGGTCTGCTGTACTGTATATTAGCTGCCCATCAGTGAGCTACTGGCAACACTTTGACAGACCTTATCTTCTCTTGCCATTAGTGGTCAATCTGCTATTCAAGCCTTAATAGATAGAACATTTTCTGATTGTGGCATTAAAACCTATTAAACTTTCAGATAAATGTAGTCCTGCCAAACACCATTCCTTTTCACATACGTTTTGATTAAGAAGGGAGTGATTTCTCATTTGGTCATTAAATCCTACTTGTCCTAAATCCTCTCTATTACTCTATATTAAAACCAGTGGTGGAAGAATTATTCAGTGTCTTTACTTAATTAAAAGTAACAATACCACACTGTGTGAATACGGTTATATAGTAATAGATTATTATTAATCACGCATTAAAGCATTATGTGACTCTTGTGGTTGGTTTTATATTTAGGGTGCAATAAATCATTATTTTCATCAACATAAATTTAGTCATCATATTACAACAGGGTTGTAAAATGAAATGTAGTTCATAAAGCAGACAATATTAAGTTATTAAAAAAAAAAGGTAAGCAGAAATAAACTACATAGAATGGAGCAGTACTAGGATGAATATGAGTTGAGGAGTCTCGCAATCGGTGAGAAAAAGCTGCTCTGCAGTCTGGTGGTGCGACTGCGGATACTTCTACAACTCTTTTCAGACGCCAGCAGGGTGAACAGGCTGTGGCTGGGGTGGGTACCGTCCTTTAGTATCCTCTGGGCTCTGCAGGCACCTCACCTTACAGATAATACTGATGCTCGGGAGATGGGTACCAATGATCTTCTGAGTGGTTTTAAACCCGCTGCAGAGCCCTCCTCTACTGGGTCGTGCCTCATTCCTAAAATCAACAATCAGCTCCTTAGTTTTGCCGACGTTGAGCAGTAGGTGGTTCTTTGTGCACCACTTAGCAAGATTATCAATATCCTCCCCATATGAAGTCTCATCTTTGTTTGAAATCTGGCTGATGATGGTGGTGTCATCTGTAAACTTTATGACAGAGTTTACTGCGTGTTAGGGGTTGCAGTTGTGGGTGTACAGCATGAACAGGAGGGGGCCGAGCACACAGCCCTGGGGAGTTGAGCACTAGAGTGGAGGAGGTGTGTCCACCAATGAACTGTCTAAGGTCTGTTTGTGAGGGTCCATTATCCAGTTGCAGAGTGTGGTACTCAAGCTCAGAGTGCTGAGTTTACCAATAAATTTCGTGGGGGAGATTGCGTTGAATGGATTAAGGATTTATCTGATGGTTATTTTCTTGTTCAAACATTTACTCTACATTATAGTCACAATTATCCAGAGCTCAGAGTGACACCTTTAAATATGTTGTCCAAACCTCAAAATGATTCCGTTTGACTCAAGAGGAAGAAAAGCAGTCGGTCAACTAAAAGATTAACTGTTTAGAAAGGCTCTAACTTCCTCTGTAGCAAAACATTTCTAGTCTACGCTTTAAGACTTTGAGAAAGTGAATCACCATGGGTGATGTGGCAAATCTGGATACATACACACCATCACCACATGGACTGAATTAAGAGCTTGACTGACATCATGGTCGTCTCACATCTCCGAGCTGGTGATGAAAGCTCAAAAACACCTGTATTTCTTGAGTAAGCTTAAGAACGGCAAATTCCTGTGCAAAGTTTATGTCGGCTTTTACAGAGGAGCAATAGAAAGCATCCTGACTGGAAACATCACAAACTGGCATGGGATGTGCTCGGCTCCGGACCGGAGGGCTCTGCAGCGAGTGATTAAAACCATTCAAAAGATCATTGATACCCATCTCCCAAGCATGCCTACGCAGAGCCCAAAGGATATTAAAGGACAGTACCCACTGTAGCCACAGCCTGTTCACCCTGCTGCCTTCTGGGAAGAGATACAGGAGTTTCTGCTGCCACACCACCAGACTGCAGAGCAGCTTTTCCTTCTAAGCTATCAGGCTCCTAAACTCAAATTCATCCACAGCACTGCTCCATTTAATATAGATTTTTTCAGTGTACAATTTTTATGATTGCTTTTGTATTACTTTATATTGTCTGCTACGTAGCATAAGGGAGTTACAAACTTTCACTTTACAACCAGATGTAATGTGACAAATAAACCTACCTTGTACCTTTATACCTTGACTTACTTGAGGTGTTTTCTTATAAGTCAAGTTTGACTTTTATCATTTAGATTTGATACAATACATCGGAATTCATACTAGAGTTTGTTTAATTAGTTTGTCCCTTTGTCTGATTTGTTTTGATTAAACAACAAGAAGGTGCCCATGATGTGTAAAGCAAAGAAAGGGTACCAATGCAGGTGTCACAGATGATGGGCTGATTAATGAATGTTGCAATTATCCTATGGGATGCCTTGTATGATGTTTGAAAACTTACATAAAGTGTTTTTAACCCATTTTTTCCTATTGGGCACATGAAACCTTTGAGCTCAAAGCAAAGAAGTCTATGACGGTAAATTATGCATTAAAACAATGACAGATCAATACTGGTCCCTCACCGTCGGGTCCTTCTCCACCACAATAACTTTAACCCCTCCTCGCACCCTCTCCTTCTGCTTCAGCCAGTAGGCGATGGACCAGCCCACCACACCGCCTCCTACGATCACAATGTCGGCCCTCTCCGGCGGAAGGTTCGTGTTCACCTCCAGGGGACTCCAGCTGCTCCCCGGCAGAGCGTCCGTAGCCTTCTTCCGCATTGCTGCCAGCTGGGCCTCCAGGTCTGAGCCACAAAAGCAGAAACTTTACTCTACTTCATAATCACTCTGTAGATGATGACTCGCACAAAACAACTCAAGATATTTTCTGAAACTTTAGCTACCACTCTACAATTCGGCATATACAATATTTTGATTTAACGAAGGTTAAGAGGGGTTAGCCTCAAATCTTCCGCCAAATCACATTGTAACGTTAGTTTAAGGAGCAAAAAGCGAGTACATATTTGTGCGGAATTGTACAAATGCTTCTTACAGACCATCAGAAAGTTTCTGCTGTGGCATAGAAATCGCATGCATTTGTAGATAAACACATCATTGAATACTTTGGGGATTTCTGAATGTGAAGCTAGCTTCCCGACACGTTCTTGCAGAATGGCGTAAGCGGCACTTCTTTTGATGTCTCCCACCTTTGAAGAAGTCGTTTCGGAGACGTCTGCCTGTACTCAGGTTTTGATACAACGTTGATTGCCCGTACAGCCATGTGTGCCGTTGTGTCACCCGTCTGGAGGTAAAATTGAGCAATCCATGAGCCGTCCGCACTTTCACGTGCAGCCTGCTCCACGTTGACATTGCTGTAATTTAACTAGCTGTGGGCTACACCGCGAAAACCAACAACAAAAGCGATGTGAACAAACATGCCGTTTGAGTTTGTAATCCAACAGCTAGGTCAAATAAAACCTGAGTCAAAATAAACCAAACAAACCGGTAGTACGGTATTTTCCTTCAAAATAAAAGCATATAATCACTTCTAGAAACAGGTTACTCTAATCTGTGCCTCCTAAATGAAAGGCTCAAACTGGAGGTTAATATGGAACAGGAATAATAAGGATATTGAATTTTTATCTATAGAGCTCTAATCAAAACGAAGTGCTTTACAGAGACAGGATGAAATGAAATACCACAGTGAAAGATAAAATAGCCTACTTTAGGGCCAAAAATAAAATACAAATGATGACAGGAAAATAGGGCTGGACAATAATTAGCGTGATATAATTTTCCTCAATAACAATATAACAAAAACTGAATAAATATTCAACAAATTTTTGACTTAATTAATTTGAATCACAAAAAAAATTGCACTTTTTCTATGAATATTTAATTTTGTTGAGGAAAATGGACTGAAAAAAGATTTAACCATAATTGTTAAGAATGTTCTTCCTCAGATTTGTTAAGTGATCCACTGTTTGGTTTCAAGTGTTTGTCATGTTTAAGAATTGTTTAAAACCACAATTAACTACCTGGTTTCTTCAACCTTCAGCAAAAATCAGCCTTTAAACTTGAAAGAAATAATTATTTGACATTCACAGTGATAATTATCAATATCGAATGATAGAATTTTCTTTATTTATCTTTTTTCTTTATTGTGATAACATTTTTGGTCGGATCGCCCAGCCATATAAGAAAATAAAACATTAAAATAAACTGAAGAGATTAAAAAAAAAAAAAGAACAGGTGACTCAGATAAATTCAGGAAATGCTTTCCTATTAAAGTGCTTTTTTTAGAAGAGAGCAAGTTGCTCCAGAGCATTGTGGGCCCTGACAGCAAAAGCTCTGTCCTCTTTTGATTTCAGCCTGGACTCAGAGAGACAGGATACCCCTACCCATAGATCTCAGGCTATGCAAGGGTTCATAAGGAATTAAAAGATACAAAATATAATCTGGAGCCAGGTCATGGACAACCTTAGAAGTTATCAATAAAATCTTAAAATCAATCCTAAAACACACAGGTAGCAAATGTAAAGACAGGTGTGATGTGATCGTACTGCTTGGGTCTTGTATAGCAGCTGAATTCTGCACAATCTGGATTCGTTTTAAGGTTTTTTGAAAATAAACCACTTTAAGCATCACTAGAATTTAAAATAGCTTATATTTTAGCAATATTTCTGAAGTGATTTAAAAACATGACAAGCTTAGTAATATGTTGCTCAAAACATAAACTGCTCTCAAGCAGGACACAGATTTCTTATAACAAGCTTGATGTGTTGTGAAAGGTGACCAGTAGATGGCAGTATTTTGTTTTCTGATATGTTGGGGTTCAATAACAAGGATTTCTGTTATGGTCAAATTTAACTAAAGAACATTGTTTTCCTGTTTGACATCCAGTTTTGTATATCAGCTAATTCCTGCAAGGAACTTAGCAAACTAAGGTCAGTGGACTTTGCAAAGAGGTAGGCTACAACTGTGTGTCACATGCATAGAAAGTAAAAGAAACACCATCTCTATGGATCACATCACCCAGGGGAGCAAATATGGAGAACAAAACTGGGCCAATGATTGACCCTGGAGGCACACCATAATTGATTTGAGAAAAACATGACATGAAGCTGTTAATAAAGACAGAAAACTTATTAACCTATTGGACAAATATTATAAAAAACTGTTTAATACAGTTCAGATATGCCCACCCAGTGACTTATTTTTTTTAAATGATTGACTATTTCAGCTATGTTTGTGGTTTTATGGGTATATTTTTCAGTACAGTACAATACGAGTTTCTTATACAAAGGGAGAGACTGCAAGTAATTGGATGCTTATAAATGGACCAGAGATACAGTATTTTGGTGACATTACATTTATAGAGCCTTGATTTTGTGAAAGAAAAGGAAAATGTTTCATTGCATATTTCACTATGTTGGCCCTGCAGGGGACATCATATCTTTCAATAACATCAGGCCTCTACTACAGCATGATCAGTTGTCTACAAACAACCTTTCTGGGGGTGATTATTTGTTCATATTTAGTTTTTTATTTTATATATATAATTTCTTATTTTAAAATATATGTTCATGTCACACACTTGTACGTTGAAGTTACTATACCTACATTTATCCAGCCCTATAATACTTAAAGTATGTGGCTACGTTTATGCCAATGTCTGTCTAGGAAAAAGCAGTGACTGAAGTAAGCTTATCAACCTGAACAGGAGTCAAATTAACTGCTGATTAGATGATGCCACGTCTTATTTTGAAAACTGCTCAGGGAACCTTTATGATATTCCTGCAAACTTGACCCTGGATCATAAAAGAGGCAGTGGCCACTCATGTGATGCATAGGGCCAATCAGAGGAGGGACAACCCAGCTGGGGCACAAACGTAAAAGAGAAAAACAAATTTCTACTAGAAAAGTCAAGCGTGTAAAAACACATTCTTAAATTTTGCTTTAGCAGTTTTTCAGGGGGAATAATGACAACAAATACACCCTAAATACATCGCAATAGATTAAGAATGGATTAACAAAGTTTAAAAAAAAAAATAAAATTATTTAGCCAGTCACATGCAAAACACCCCGTTTCCGCGTGGGTTCTCTCCGCCTGCTCCGGCTTCCTCCCACCATCCAAAGACATGCAGGCTAGGTTAATTGGTGCCTCCTAAATTGTCCTTAGGTGTGGAAGTAAGTGAGGGTGGTTGTCTGTCTATGTGTGGCCCTGCGATGGAGTGGCGACATGCCCGATGTCAGCTGGGATTGGCTCCAGCCCCCGCGACCCTGTACGCAGGACAAGCGGTTGACGATGGATGGATGGATGGATGGATGGGAGGAAGCCGGAGCACCCGGAGAGAACCTACGTGGACACGGGGAGAACATGCAAACTCCACACAGAAAGGCCGGGGAAACCGGGGTTTGAAACCACAACCTTCTTGCTGTGAGGCGACAGTACTAACCACTGCGCCGCCCTTGAATGACACTATCAACAAGAGAATCACATAAATATAAACAGCTTACCACATTCATGGATATGTATTAAGACAGAGGAATCACCATGTCACCATTGACCTGAGTTTGGAGAGATGACATGGCCACTAGAGGGCTCTCTGTCAAAGTTGGTTTATGGCGAGTCACACATGTCACCACTAATATACATTTCTTTACTTTGGGAACATGTCCTTCACACTAAGCATGATTTTCTGTGAGGCACAGTACGATATAAGAGCTCAGTCAGACTTGTAGTAGAATACATTTCTTAGCTGCTATCGTAGCAAGTAAGACCAATTAACTCTGAGATAACAAGTCACAACACCCCAAATTTTGGTTACAGCTTTATGTCTCTATGTAATAGATGAATGAGCCGTGGATGTATTGATGTCTAATGACTCTCTGATCTCTCAATCCTCCATGATCTTTATTGCATCTTGGGCATTTAGAAAACAGTGAAGGATAAATTTGGTATAGTTTAAAACAGTGGTTCTCAAACTTTTTCACATCAAGTACCTTTAAACTGACACATATTAGACCACGGACCCCCATTTGATAAGATTGCCTTTTTGCTTTTAGATGTTTTATTACAATAAAATAGACATTCTGTCTTTGTGTTAGGGTTAGAGTCCCTAAGTAACTTGCTGACAGGGTCCCGCCGTCAACCGCTTTTACCAGAGTTTGTAGCGTGGACAATCTGGATTTACAGTGACGACTGTATCTAAGGAATAAGGGTTAGAGTCCCTAAGTGTAAAAAAAAAAGGGGGGGGGGGGGGGTAGAGTGGGAGATGGCGAATCAAATGGTTAAATAAGCAAAGGTGAGAGACCTGCCTGTTTTTATTTTCTATTTAATTTTTAAAAATTTCCCTATTGCTTTTATGTTTTATATAAAGCACTTTGAATTACCTTGTTGTTGAAATGTGCTATACAAATAAACTTGCCTTGCCTTACTTATGGATGGACCCCTGGTGGTCCCTGGACCCTACTTTGATTAGTAATACAGTAAGTAGGATGTAAGACATTAAGGTGGATCAGTGTATTGTGTTTTGTAAAGTAAGACTGGACTGTGGCCTCATAGAATAATTTGCAATGTCAATTATTACATAACACTTATCTCTTTAGACCATTCTCAGTTTCCTTCTACCATGTCACTGTCAGGCTTTCTGTTTTATTTTTTCACTCTATTGTCTGTTATTTATATTGTTCTACTTACTGTTAACAGGTTGCTACTTATTATTGTTGTTGTTATTATTATGTATTACTCATTGTATAAAAAAGGTTAGATGATGATGATGAGTAGTAGTAGATCAGGTTTGCAGAGTCTGTTCCTGGTTTAATCTCACTTAAGACTCATTTATACAAAATATCTTTCAATGTGTGATACGTAATTTATTTCTCCATTATTTGTATATTGACTGGTTTATGTTTTATTTATTTAATTCAGACCACTATGTGATGCGTAATTTATTTTGGCTTTAATTTTACATGTTTTTATGTTTTAAGTAGAATCATACTATTGCGACTTTTTTTGATATGCATCAAAATTGTAGGCCTTATTCTGTTAAAAACCTTTAAAATTTAAAGCAGGTCTGCAGGCCCATACACGCTCATGACTGTTGACATGGTTTTCGATTTTTATTTTGAAGAGTGTGTACGGAAGTAGTACTAAAAACAAGTTGTTTGGGGTGATTTTATTTTGTAAACACAACAGGAAGTGTCTTGATTTATTTGACGCTAGCTTGACGCGTATGTTTTCTGTTCCCTGGGGCCACAGTGTTTTCAACGGGACTCAACTTGCTTCTTACTGGAGTCGCTATGGCCGCTTGATCCAAATACCCTTCTTTAGTTATCAGTTTGTTCGAAACATTTGCACAAACATTTCAAGATAAACTTTCGTCTTTTGTAAAGTTTTTTTATGTCAAGAAATAAGGATGCAACCCCCACCGAGAAAGGTGAGTTTTTCCCGTTGTAGCCGTTGAAGCTAACGTTACTTGTCTGAAAACGTTCTCGACGAAGTGGTGCATATTTAATGGTTGATAATGTAACGTTACGCTTTGTTGCTGGTCGGCTGGCTCAAACGACAAACTTAGGTTTTTACACGACTGCGAATGTGTTAGTAGTTTGTTGTTTAATCTGCTTCTGGTGTTTTGCGATTGAAGAAAACTTGGAAAAGGGGGAAAAAACTCCCATGTGCCACAATTTTTAAGGGAGAATAGCCCCGTTAACGTTAATGTGCCTCGTTCCCTCTCGAATGCAGAGACTGTCCAGCCAAACACATTTAAAAAATGACAGTATATAGAGAAGTACATCGTTTTCCATATCAATAAAGCACTTACAACTGCACTCGTTTTAAGACTTACGTTGCTGAGGAGTTGTGTTACATCGGCGTACAAGGAATTTACCAAGCAACTCTTAAGTTCAAGTGAATATCATTTTGGTGCACGCTGGTCCTAACGTTACTTCCATTCGCTGTCTTATAGCAAAAGCAGGCAAAACACAAGTTGAGATTTTCCAAATGAAATTGAGTTTTGATTTTTTATTTTTTTATCCATACCGTTTTTAAGAGGGGATCCACGTTTTTTTTTTAAGAAAGTCTCAAAGTCAAGTCATGCTCTGCCATTTAAGCTTGTTTGGAGATAGGGATCTGTAAATTGACAGATTTTTGTAGGTAACAAGTTAGAATGGTGCATTTTGTTTTTCTCGTACAGGGGTAAAAAAGAAAAAACAAGCTTGCCGTCACGTATTTATATAGCTTAACTTTAACTAGCTTTGCCAAACTTAAGAGTAAACTACGTCTTTTAAGCGTCTTAGTTAGACAAATAAACGTAATAACACAATTCTCAGCAAAAGTCTGGTTCTGTGCGAAAAATGTTTCTGTGGGATCGTATTTCAAAAACATGGCTCAGCAGCAGACAATTGACCATTTCTACCCCAGTTCGTTTTAACTGCTTACTGCAGTCAAATAAATGCAGGTTTTTCTTTTTCTTTTTTTGCTTAATGCCAAAGATATGTCGACCTTTTAAAGATTTGTATGGGTCATAATTTAATATCTTTGGACCTTTTTAGATTTCCCACCATGAAGGATGAACTATTTGTTCCGGTTTGGGCTTGATTGACAACTAAGTTTACTATAAATATCCAATTACTGTAACCAAATAGTCTATAACATCCACAATTTTCAATATTAACGTTTTTTTAAGTGCAATTATTGATCTCTGATTGAAATCTGGATTATAATTCAAATAAGGAAGGAAAAACAGCTTTCCTGTTGACAACACCCCCAGTCAAAAGGAATGCAACCTGGTCACTGCACTTCATAATTTAGCTGATGAACAGTTACAAACCCAGAGTGGCTGACTTGACAATGAGGGAAGCTCATTTTCACTACATAGATTTAAATTTTAAGAGCAAGTTTAGCTTTGGTCAAATGTCAGACTGTATGGTCACATATTAGCTAAATATTCCTGAAATAAATTTACTGAATGAACTGAACTTTTAGCACAAGAAATGAATAATAATAATTAAGCCGTTTCATTTTGTGTTTTAGAAGAATAGCAGGATCTTGTTTTATATCCTGTTTGAGCCTCATATTAACATTGTTTCCTGTTACTTGCATTATATTTTAGGGCTGCTAACGATTGCCTTTCAATAAACTATTTGCACTGTTAAATGTCAGAAAATAGTGAAACGTCCAGCAAAGTTGCCCACAGAAAAATGCACCGAATCCTCACAACTGAGAAGCCTAAACTAAGGAATAATTGGCATTTCTGCTTGATATTTTTCTGCCCACTGACTGATTGTTTGACAAATTGTTCAATCTGCCATATGTTACACTAGTATTAGTTATATTTCAGGTGTCATTGGGTCTGGGGAGAGTAACACTGTAAGTCAATGCACCATCTTGCTGTGGACATTAAATATGTCATTCTGCCCTAAATCATAGTTGGCCATTAATACCAGCCACCTTTCTGCGTTGCCTCTTCAGCACCGGAGCAATCCATTTGATTTGTCGTCAAGTAGACTTAAAACAGACACCAGTGAGGCGTAGCTATCGAGCCCTCTATTCACTGAAAGATGTACTCAGCTACCGAACTCTGGCTGCAACCGACAATTATTGTCTTTATTGATTCATCTGATATTGTTTTCTCCATAAGTGCTTGAATTGGACATGAAACGGTGAATGAATTGCTCCATATTGTGGTGGTCACACACAAGCAACCATTCTCCAAACGTCGTTTTAAAGAGAATGTTTCTGCACTCTGTCAAACTGAGTATTTAATGGCTGTAACTTCAACCAAGTCCAGTTGCCCTTCATTTTAACCTTCGTTGGATAATGGCTGTAAAATAACATCATTTTGTCACATTACGTTGTAGATTAAATGCAAATTACATGACACACACTGATCCTATAGTTAAAAAAATGAACAAATCTCCCTAATTTTATTGTTAATTTTATATCTCTGGAAATGTCTGTTTTGGTGATGTAAATGTTGTTTTGAACTTTGGCAGTTTGCTGCTTTCTTTTGTACCATTTAAGGTGTTTTATTGGACTTGGAACTATTTTATCTTTCAATTAAAACTAGAAAAATGGGGGTGTTCTAAAACTTTTGAGTGGTAGTAAATAATTTTTTATTATTGTCAACAAACCACATTAAATTACCAAAACCAACAATCCTAAAAAGTACAGTCTATACAGCCAAAGCCTGATCTTAAAAACAAAAACGGTTAAAAACGGGTAAATGAGCTACTCGGTTGCAGTGCAAAACATGTTCCTTCATTACCATGAACACACATTGTAGTTCATTTTGACTCATCCCACATACACCGTCCTGCTGCCCCAAATTCTCACTAGAGCACCAAATGTATATTAATCCGCGGCTGAAAATAGTCCCCAACAAATAAACTATTTACTACTCTTTGAGTAAAGTTATGTTTGTGACCTGTTTTTAAAGATTTAAGTCTTCAGAAGGAACCAATGACCAAAAGTATTGAGACATGGCCTTTTCAATTATATCAAAATGATTATCAGTTAAATTTTTAGGTCAATTAAGTGTTTTTAATGTATAAAATGTCGGAAAATAGTGAAAAAGAGTCCAAGGTGATGTTTTGAAATTGCTGCCTTTATCTGACCAATAGTCCAAACCCAAAAATAAATTAATTAAATGGAAAGAAAGTTTGACATCAAAATAGATGGTGATTAATGTATATATCTTAATTTTGCATGTGATTATTGAACTTTAATTTGGCTCATACTTGAAATAGGGAACTATTTCCCTGTTGACAACAATCCCAGTTATCAGTGATGAGACCTGCTGCATGTCAAGATTTATCTTAACAGCTAATTAGCATCCCAGAGAGACTTACTCTCACCTGGCCAGAGCTACTGCGTGATAACAAGTGTAGCTCATTTTCACTAACACCAATTGTGAGCTCAGCTAAATCAACACTGGTCTGTTGAGTCATTGGTATACACGTGAAATATTTTAACATCCCCAAAATCCTCTGTCTTTCTGGATGAGATAGAGAGAAAAAGTTGGATTATTTCTAATAAAATGCTATCTTCTTTCCCCCCCGTCAGGTCCGGGTCACCCAGGAGCTGAAACAGTCTCATGCAGAGCAAATGAGCAGATTACACATCAAACACCAGACAGAGTGTGACCTCCTGGAAGACCTGAGGTGAGCAGTCATTAGTCAAATTGTAGATGAGGTGGATGGCAGAGTTCTGGATTTGCCCATATATAAGATGAACCCCCTTTTTCCAACACCTGTTTTTGGAAAAGTTCTCTAAAGAAACAAAACACTTTCAGTTTTCTAGAGATGCTAACAAAACGTCTTCAAGTAAAACAGGATGTAACACTACTGCCATAAAAGTAGAACATAGATTTGTGTAGCTTGTCTGTCAGTCACATTCACACACTCTCCTGTCAGGCTGCAAGTGTTTTCTCTGGTAGTTAACCTTTTATTAGACTGTCCTCTTGAGCCCCTCACTGAGTGACTCAACCGCTAATTCTTGGTCAGTTTTTGCAGTAAAGATGTTGGGATATCAGGACTTTGAATAAACAAAAGAAGTGATGTGATAATTGAGTTATTACAATATACACATAGAGGTCAAAAAGTAACATAGATCAGAATCAAAATTACTTTTATTGGCCAGGTATGTGTACTCATGCTAGGGCTGCAACTAACAATATTTTCATTGTTGATTAATCTATCACTTATTTTCCAATTAAACAGATTAGTTGTTTGGCCTATAAAATGTCAGAAAATTGTTAAAAATGTCGATCGGTGTTTCTCAGAGCTCAAGAATGTCTCAAATGTCTTGTTTTGTCCACATCTCAAAGATATTCAGTTTACTTTACTGTTTTTTTTCTTCTTAAAATATCACTCAAATGGATTATCAAAATAGTTAGCAATAAATTTAAGGTTGACAACTAATAAACACATATGAAGAATTTGATTCTCAGTGTACATTCACAGAACCAGCATAAACAAACAGGTCAATAAGCTCAACAAAAAAACAGAAACTATTATGCACAGATAAAAATAAAACAACAGCGTGTAGACAGCAAGACACTAGTGCAATGAAGAGTGCAAAGAATGCTGGATGCTGTTTTGAGTGATGCTATTTATGTTTAAAAAAAGAAACTGAATTACAACAATGAAAAATAAATAGGGTCATGGGTCACAGGAGTATTACAGATTGCTACCTGAATCTGGCTATATCGTAGTAAATTTTGCTTTCACATCTGAAAAAAAGGGCTACTCAGATGTCCTGTGATTGTTTGATGGTTGTTTAACAAGAGTTTTCACCATTTAAAGAGCAGCCCTCTGCAACTTAAATCCCAAAAATAAAAGTGTATTAGTCTTTAAAATTCTAGGATCAGGCCGGGTAAACACTGGACACAGACAGTTTTAGCTCTGCGTTCAGATGCGTAGGCATTTTTAAGGTTGAACAGCCAAAGGTTGTGGTTGTGTTTTCAGCCTTTTAGTGTTGGGTTGAGTTGACAGCCTACTGACTCCCCACTTCCTGTCTGTGGTTGGTGGCGGAGCTCTGAACCTCCAAACAGCTGGATGTTAAGGTCAAAGAGAGCTGCCAGATGTTCTGACTGCCGTGAAACGTTCGCTGTGGGAGGCTCAGAGACATTCATCTGCCAGAAACAATGTAAAATACAACCTGTACAGAATTCGTTAGGGTCACTCCCCGATCACTGGCGAGAAATGATTCAGCAAACTGGAAATTGCATCTGCTTGTCAACAAAAGCTTTGTTTGGGAAAATGACAGGAAGTGAGTGGGGGGGGGGGCAGTGGAAGAGAGGGAACCTTTTGAAATGCAGAGAAGAGGAAGGGAACAGGCTAAAGGAAGAGAGGGAAGGTCCTAGGAAGTAAGCCAGATTTTTAGGGCTGGGGTGGAGCATATGGGGGTCAAGTCTCGACATGTTTAATGACTTAATGATGATTTTACTGCAGTCATGTTTTTTTCCCAGGGCACTGACCTCTCTTCTTTTCTTAGACTTTTGTATAAATTTTACTTTAGTTATCGTTAGCTTTGTTCCTGTTGTTGTAAATCCGCTGTGAAGCAGCACTATAAAAACAATATTTTCTGTATGTATGAGAATTGCCTTGGTCTGGTGTGACCTACACATGAAGCACCTTTTAATAGACTTCTAATAAACAATTTGAGTGTTTCTCTTTGATCTGCTGGATGTTAATTAGCGCAGACCAGCTTACAGACTAAACCAAACATCAGGACCACAACCACGTGTTTGTCAAAGGAAGCTGTGTTTTTAGCGGCGCAGAAACACACCACTATACCGATTTTTTTTTTTTTTTTTTTTTACCAATTTAAGTGTATAAAATTGGGGTCTTTAATATCTAAAGATGTGCATTACTGAGATTAAAAACTCTCACGGTGGTAATGACAGAGACCTGGTATTGATGCTTTTGACTGCCAGACTTGAAACATGAAACATTTTCAACCGATTCTTATTTCTGTCTGTCTCCTACAGCTGCCCCAGACTAAAGATTTTCTTAGTCGACAAGTAGTCGTTAGTTCAAGCGATTGACTAGTCATCACTAGTTTATGGATAAATAAATAATTTAAATATATAATTTGGGGGCATCAGAAAATGGTTTGAGTTCCAGGGCTGAGAATGAATGGTATGACTAGGGGAAGACGGTTCCAGGGGGTGGGAGCCACAACTGCAAAACCTTGGTCACCTTTGGTTTTGAGCCTAGGTCTCAGGACAACCACTGCTGGCCGGGTGTGTGTGTGTGTGTGTGTGTGTGTGTTTGTGTGTAATTCTGTGTTTTTTCTGTTTTTCTTCCTTTTGCGATGTGTTCATATCATGATGAGAATAGCATTTATCAGTCAGAAGTGTGTAATAATTCATAACACCATTTCTGATAATGGCTGTGAGTCTTTAAATCATCTCTCAAATACATAAAACCTTGAAAAATTGTCATTGGATATCATATCTCCAGGTCAGAGATTACTTTTATAAAGAAATTAAACAAGTGGAGAATAGTAGGGCTTAACAATTAATCATTAAGCCCTACTAGAACGCGATTAGCTAATTGTGAAGACGGCGATTAAAATGTGCGTTAATTAAACAGTGCATCTGACCCATTTTAAGCAGTCATGCAGCTACAAATTCACTCCACTGTCATCCTTGTGTGACAGATCTGCTCGCCAGCTCTATGTGAGCCTGTTCTGCTCTCTGCAGGCTAACGTTACATAACCACATGGAGCATTTCAGAATAAGAGCGTTTTGCCTGCCTGATTTTGCTGACTTATTCAGATTTTGCTTATTTATTCAGTTGTCCTTGATTTTTGTGCTTCTACTATGGTTAAGTAGGCTACACAGTTAAATTGTCCTTTTTTTTGTCTGTTCAACCGGTGTTTATTGTTGATGGATGTACTATCGGGAGTCTGCAACGGGTGTTTTATTTTGAAAATCAACCGGAGTCTCTATGCCGTTCTGTGTCTGACTTCCTGCCTGATTCATCTGCTCTGTGCTGCTTGACGTGGCTTCTGTCAAAAATGGACTGGAAGTTAATATTGAATTAACTTCATTAAAAAAAACAATAGCAAATCAAATCGTAATCGCAATATCTGGCAGGAAAATCGCAATTAGATTTTTTCCCCAAATCATTCAGCCCTAGAGTAAACCTAATTTCATCAACATGATTACAAAATCAAAGACTCTCCTGTCGCATTCACTCAGAGTACAAAACTCAAAATATGACCAAAGGAAATCAGGGAGAGTATCGGGCCTGAAGAAGATTTTTACCAGACTAAGACCACCAAACAGGGTCCTGGTGAGAATTCTCTTTTGAAGAACAAATGAATACAAAAAGGCTCTCAGGCACAGTACCATCGCTGGAGATGAGGAGATTTAAAAACATGGCTGATCATTTTCAGATTTTATCACAGTCACAGGAGATCGCTGGAGAGATAACGAAAATATGTGGAATAGAAGTTGCTCATTTGTTACATAATCCCAGATTTATTAATAGCACGGGATAAATATCTCTTTGAAATACTTTTGGCTTCTAGCAAGAAAAGCCGTCATGCAGAAAGGGCTACAGGGAAACCCACCTCAACCCAGGACAACTGGACAGAAATGATCACTTTAATCTATTGACTTCAGTTTTCTTAATTGATGACAGTGATAACATCAAGGATATCGGCTGTATAATAACTGTTTTGTATATATTTTTTGTTAGATATATTATTTACTGTGTCCTCCTTAATTGTGATTTTAAGATGCTATCATTCACATTAACTATTTTTCTCTTCTTTAGGACTTTTAGCCAAAAGAGGGCAGCTGTAGAGAGAGACTACGCCCAGGTAAGTAAATGTTAACGCTCTGACGTCTTTCTAACTGTGCAACTGATGCTTGTTTACATCATCCCTGCCCTGCCTTGTCATTTGTGTTGCTAAAAATGCAGTTTAGTTTTTTATGATACTGTCCTCCAAAGACACCATATGACAGTGGGGTTGAGGATGTGGCCCTAAGAAAGCTTTGTCCTCATGTGGCCAGATAGCTCATGAATGGTAACCAGCCACAGAAAAAAAACACCACAACTGAGAGAGAAACAACATCTACTAGTGATCCACTGGCTCGTTTCTTCCTCGCTGTGTTGTTTTTGCCCGCAACTTCCTGTTGACATCAATTTATTATCTGGAAATCCCTTCATGCCCTTTTGGCTCTGAGGTTTTTGCAGCCCTGTGAGGAATGTCCACCGCCTCTGTGAAGAGAGGGGGCACGTCTGTAGCTCTCCAACTAGCAACCTTACATCTTTGCCTTGTGCATCTGGTCCTGAGGGATGTTTCAAAAAGGTGGCTTGTTGGCCTGAGCTAAATGAGCCAAACAAATTTATTTCATGACTTTGAAACAGACCTGAGACATCAAGCATTAAGGCTGCAGATATCAATTATTATAGTAATCTAGTATTCTACAGATTAGTGCATTGAGTAATCGGATAAGAAATACTTTAGCTTGGAGAGTTGTTGTCTCTAGGGCTGAAACAATTCATCGATTAAATCAATTAACGTGATTATTATGCCGCCGTTTGCAAAGTGGAGGAAGTGAGAGAAAATAGCGAGGGACAAAGAAGAAAGTGTCCAAAGTATGGAATTATTTCAAGCTAAAGAAAACAACAACTCTGTAATGTTACCGTCCGTCCAACGTAAAATGAAATCTATGGTGCCTCGGCAACAGCACGGCGGCACCTGATCAGAAAGCAGCCGGTGTTCTGCCAGCGGACCACAGACATGGTAACCGTAACAGCAACTTTAGCATTTAACTGAAATCATGATTGATTGTTGAGTTGAAGGCTAGCCAAAGTAAACCGCAGACCTCAGCTGAAAATGTGCACACGTGCGTTTGTTGTTCTCCTTTTTGGGCCGTGAGTTGTAACCTTTTAACTCACCTGCAGCTCTCTCTGTAGCTCAGATGTTTCCTGCTACCTGCGTGTGCTAATCCATCCTTTCACCCAGATTCTTTGTCTTTATAATTCCTATCTTTATAATAACAAACAACGCCGCTGCCAGGCAAAAGTACTTCTTAAATGACGCATCGATGAATTGTTGAAAAAATCTATTGAAGCTTCAAATACTAAAATCATCGTTAGCTGCTGCCCTAGTTGTCTCTGAATTGTTTCAGCCTTAATTTATAGTGAAGAAAACAGACATGTATAGACAAAAGTTGGATCTTTGTGACCACAGTTCAACACATACTGTAAAGAAAATAAAATGTGGAGAATATATTATTCAAAGCAAAAGATCCATTTTGGCAGCATGCTGTAGATTAACTCGGATCAGTTGAACTCCAGTTTGTTGCAGCTCTGTTTGTAATCATAACATCCTGTTTATAGATGATGATGTATGAGATGCAACATACCATTAAAGAACTTTGAAGTATCAAATAGGACCGCAGACAGGTAATTTATTTTATAGCAAGAAAAAAAGAGACTTTTTAAGAGGAAAAAAAAGTTGGAGGATGTTCCTTGGTTCTTTGGTTTGTACAAGCGACATAACAGCTCTCATCTGGTGAAAATACTGTTAAAATACCTCGCTGTTAATTTAAGTGACATTTAAAGAGAGAACAAATGGTGAAAATGTTGCTTACTCTGAGGCTAAAGCCAGGGATCAAACTTATTTATTAGCTTTATTTTATTGAAACACCCCCCCCAATAAATTCTGGTTGTCATTTGATGTTCAGTTTTGGGTGGTGGGGGTGTAACGATGCCTATTAATCAGCTAAACGATCAACAACTGGGATCTCAGGCAAAGATTTCTGGCATGTCAGAAATTTTGGTTGGCTGTGTTACAATTTGAGCAGTTGGCTGCTGTCCCAAGATCAGTAATAAACTGTAGTCAGCTTGTTTGGACATTTTTGGAGTAATATTTTGCATGTTGTGATTAAAAGTTCTGACTGAGACTGTGCTGAGAGATAAAACTGAACTTCGTTGCTGAGCAGAAACCATATTGTCAGCCAACTGCGGCAAGAGTTTTCTTTTTTCTTGTTACTTTCAGTTTATGATAGAATTGCAAAGAAGTCATGTTGCCTTTCTTTCCCTTTTCAACATTATTGAGGAGGATTGTGTAAATAAACTTTATTGGATTCTATGAGAAGAACCGACTGGGAATTTTGTGCTTGAGTTCTGTGTGAGTTTCACTCTGTGGCCACTCAATTGATCCGTACAGTGTGATATCATACATTATTAAATATAAATGCACAGTTGTAGCTCAGATTTTAAGATGACACGATAATTAAGTCTTTGCTATGCCACACCCTGAATACGCAGCTGTCTAATCACAGCGCAGTATATATTTGACATTTTCATGGCAGTGACCAGTATGAGGGAGTGTGAGACAATAACACCAAATTTAACACACCTGCTCCCTATTCACGCCTGAGACCTTATAACACTAACGAGTCACATGACACTGGGGAGGGAAAATGGCTAATTGGGCCAGTTTGGACATTTTCACTGAATTTTACACAAACTGCAAATTAATAATTGTTCATATTGCAGCAGTAAAGAAGAAATGTCGAGGAGGAACTTATGAGAAAGCAATCTGGTAAATTGACAGCAACACTGCTTAGAGCTAGAGTAGGTGATTTATTTCAGAAGCATTTTTTGTTGTTTGTTGAAATTCTCTTTACATCTCAACAGCAATCAGTAAATCTATTGTGTAATAAGCACAGCTAACAGTCGCTTTACACCAATTTTATAAACGTTTGTTGATACGCAGTCATTTCACAAGCTTTGTATTTGATAGATACACGCAGAACAGCAGAAGAAGGATGAATACCCAAGAAATTTTGGCATGAGTGAGGGAGAATCTGATGGGGGAGAGATAACGGTGGCCATGAGTCCGCAAGTTTGTTGAGTTAAACTTTGATTTTAACTTTTGTTAAAGCCTATTAAATGTTCTTCTTCTAGAATAGGCCTAATAGAATTATAGATGTGTTCATTATGTTGCTGTTTGTTGTAGCCCACAGTTTACTGATTCATTTTAAAATGTAGGCAATTAGACTATATTGTGAAATTATTAAACCCCATAACTGCCACGCTGCTGTTGTCATCACTCAGTTTAAAGTGCTCCCACACAGCTGAAGTCTTCATTTTGTTTTCCCTTTGATGTGAACTGGAACATTACGTTCACTGATATGAGAGGTGCTCAGGTGTGCAAAAAACCCTGAATATTCAAATCCCAAAATTGAAAATCGAATTAGACTATACCTACCCAGTCCTAGTCTGGTGGTGAAGTTTCCATGGTTTAACCTGGTTTAACTGGTTATCTCGCTCTATGAAACATCCATGACCTTTTTTAAATCTAAATGGACTTGGGTTAAAAATACATCTTAAATTGAATACTTCAATGTACCTACATAGATTGCAAATTATTTGTTCTCCAGTCTAGAGGAGCTAAAAGGTGAAATGATGTGTATCTGGCTCCTGCAGTTGAAAATCTCTTACACCTGTTTGTACATTATTTATGTTGCTTGGCTGGGTCCATGTTATCGTGTCACCTCGCATAAAAGATTTACGTTGTCTCAGAACAAGGACAATGAAGCAGAAGTGCTACACTAAACCTCAGAGTAGACTTTGACGTTTTTTATTTTTTCATACCTTCCTGACATTATACAGGGGTATAAATGGTATATGTAAAAAAGCAGGAAGCGTGGCTCTCTTCTGCATCAATGCATGCTAGTTGTTTGGGCGGAAATATTAGAGAGAGAGTGGTAGGGCATCTACACACTGTACAATGCCAGAAACACTAATGAAGGCAATGAAGGGGACAAAGAAATACGGGAAATCAGGGACCCTGGGAATTAAGTAGTAAATGTACAGTGTAGATTATGGTTTGTCAGCGAATCAAAGCTACAACTAAAGCTCCTGTTAGTGAGTTGTTTACCTGCTGATGTAAAAGTGAAGAGGGTTGTCGCGTTGAAGTCAGGTATTTTCACTTGGCCCAGCCCACCTACGTTGAGGGTGCACACTACAATACATCACCTCAATACAGCATCGCTGTATAATTTAATTTAATAGAAAAAGGAGCTTCTGTATTTTTGACGGCATTAAAAGGCATACTTTCGGGATTTCTAAATATCCTGGCATAACGTAAAACCTTTATACCTCAGAGTACTGTAAAAACTGTAATTTCAGTGATCCAGCAAAATAATGTTTCTTAATTATTATTATAGTTGAAACAGAGCAGCAACACGAGCAAAAATGTGTTTTTATGGCCATTTCCCCCAATTTTCCTACATTTTATAGACGAAACAATTTTTGAGTTAATGGAGAAAATAATTGTCAGATTGATTAATTCTGTATGAAGGAAATGTCTTCATTGTGTGCTTCAGTTTAAAATGTGTTCTGTGTGTCAGAGTTGCGATGCCTGTTAGTTGTGTGATCAATTAGACACCCACTGTCAATAGATGAATCAAAGTGGGTCAGAGTGTCTCTGGAACACTTCGTTCCCACTCTCCTCTTCTTCTCTTTTTTTTTTTTTTTTTTTTTTTTTTCAAATCTCTTCTCTTTAGGTGCCTTTTTCTGGGTCTCTTACACCTGCAAGCTGCTTTAGCCATTAGCCGATTGCTATTCAAATCACACAGTGTGATAAAATGTCCTCCTCTGTGTGGCTCTTCCTCTGCCGTCCTAGCATCCCTCCTCCTCCTCCCCTTCCCTTGTTCCCATCACACTGTTCAGGCGTGTCTACTAGGCTAGCTCAGTTGGCGTTTCTCTCTCAATCTGAATCCTACAATGGCCGGGTTTGTAGCGCCTTTGAAATTTTGGCACCAAGACCATTGAGTTCAGAGCCATGGCCTGGCCTGCATCGGGACCGCATAACGGGGCTTGCCTTTTCACAGTGGACAGAGGAAGGATAGATGGGCACATTTCCTTGATGGCACTTGTTGGGGCCCTAAAGCACAACTCACTTAAGTGAGTTTATCTTTCTAACAACCATTTGAAGTGGAAAGCCAGCTTGTATCTGGAAGAACAAGCAATATAAATCCTTTTCCCCCACATATTTAATTTGCCTTGACACTGTGATCAACTCAAAGCACTCTGACCTGAATTGAATTTTATATTCCTATTGAGTTTATAACTTGTATGTGTCATTTCTCTTTTTAACTTATGTAAGCTAGTTTTATTTAGCATTTCTTGTCCTCTAATTTGCATCATCAGTGCTCTTGTGTATGTACACTATAAAGTCTATTTTAGAACCGTTATATAGTGTTATATAAACAAAATGTTAGTATTGTAGTTTATTCTGAACTCATGCTGTGGATTCTGTGAGTGTCATTTTGGAGGGATTTTTTTTTATTAAACACCATTTTGAAATTGGAGTAACACCTAAAAGTCCTGTCATGAATTGTAGGATCAGCATGATATAACAAAGTTGATAAAACAAGCCTTTATTGATCCCCAGATGGGAACTTCGGTTGTTGCTGCAGCATAAGGATAGCAATAAGTACCGATAAATAGAAAATATAAAATAATAGCTGTATCAGTGTTTCCCATACGTTCAGTTATTTGTGGCAGCCGGCCACAATATCAACGCTGACCGCCACTTATTGATTTTCCGTTTCTTCTACTATTTAAAATCGTATTTGATTGCAGAGCGCCGTAGAGCATTCGCTGAACATCCTCTTGCTCGTCCCTCTCTGTTTCTCGCTCACCCGTCCCTCTTTTTCGTTTTTCTCTCGTTGTTCTGGGCAATTGAAGTTAATATGACTGACTTAGACAAATCAACTACTTTGTGCTTCAACACTGTTTCCTTGCTGAGAGACAGCAGAGGCATAGTAGGAAATTATAATAAGAAATGACTACATTTATACACTAACTGTTCAGGTTATCAGTACAATAGAGAATGCGTTTATCTTAACGTGGTTATTGTTTAATCTGTTTACAGTCAGTAATCAGTGACTCAAAGGTACTGATTTTATTTGATATTTTTACCGACTACCGACTTTTGGTCCTTTAGTGTAGGTCAAACTCCAATCATACTGGTTCCTACAATTCCCACACATAGTGTATTATCCTCCTTCCTCCCTGTCTGGTGAATGTCTTCCACGCTCCCAGATTGTCACCCAGGCTTTACTCATGTCAGTAACTTTATTGTTTTCTTCAGGCCAGTTTAAACCAAATAACTGTGGTAATGATTTTGTTTGTTCAAACTAACTTTTAATGTACCAGTTTTGGCCTATACATAGATATAAAATAATTTTATACCCAGTAAAAAAACAGCAAAGGTCAATTAAGCCAAAAAGCTTTTTTTAAGTCTTTTATGGGTCTTTTATGGGTCTAAATTCAAGCTCTCTTTCCATCAGTTTATACTTGTTACAGCAGAAGTACATCTACATACCATACACTCAGAAACACCAGAGATATCCTACTGACTTTTTTTCATGTTTACTCAATCGTCTGCTATTTTGGTTCTTCAAAGGTTAACCTCACTGTTGGCCGAGGTAAAGGAACCTAATATATCTCCAGAGGTGAACGTGGTCTAAATAAATTACATTTTTCTTCCAGAAATGAGCCCACGTCAGCATAAAAAATCCAAAAGTGAGCCAAGCTTTAAACTATGGTTAACAGGTGAATGAGTCCATGAATCTTTTCACAAAGTAACTGACTGTAACCAGAAATTACTTTTTAATGAATGTGGATTTTTAGTGTGGTGTGTCTCTCATTGGTGCAGTGATTGATAAATGAATCTTATACATACAATAACAAGACTGAAGAAAAGTTGATATTTTACTGACTTTACTCTTTATGCGCTTCGGTCTACATGCTGTGGCTGTCTGGTGGTTTATGGGACAAGGGTGGCAGGGGGCACAGTCTTCCGAGCATGTCTTGTTTGAGGATGAGACACCGGAAACATGTTTAGGTGTCAAAGTTGAAAGGTCATCCTTGCTTTTGTCTCTCACTTTTTCTCTCCCAGGCCCTCCAGAAGTTGGCAAATCAGTATCTAAAGAGGGAATGGCCCGAGAGTCTGACCGAAGAACAAGCAGACCACAGGTAACAGCTTTCTCCTAAGGGAGCATTGTTTGAATTTGCATTATTTAGTAGTTGTGTTTTTCCTCTACTGGTACATGTTTTTGATAATTTATATATTTTTGGAAATACATAAACTAGCTTTACTTATTGGAGTATGTGTTTCATAGCTTCAAAATGGCTGCACAGTTTTGGCCAAAATGAGAATCGCCCCTTTTTTTTCCATCGAGAATTGTGATCAGGAATTTTGTCTACAATTCTTAGAGATGAATAAATATGAGAAATATTTTATAATAAATAATTTTGATTGATCCTGTTTGATCCTCAAGGACCCTCTGTCTGTACACGCTCAGACTGTTAATGATGTCAGTCCCAGGATTAAAAAAAACTGCATATCTGTGTTTTTTTTTTTTTACATTTATCTACCTCTCGCTGTCTCTCATTAGCTTGAAATATTTTCAGAGTAACCCGAACTGATTTTTTTATTTGCTGTGAATAGTTCAATTTGAGATGTATGATCAGATTTCTGAAGCCGTGTAATATGAGAGTTCATCACAGACCAGTAACACAACTAATCAGTCACATCTGTGAGGTTTATGCTGAAACAGACCGCAACTACGAGTTCACAACAACCTCATAATAAATAAATAAAATGGGCTAGAAAGCAAGTAAGACAACAAAGATTTACTCAAAGTAACATTTACTCAGGTTTTGCTCAGATAAAACCATGTCATTGACCTTTCTGACTTCAAAGGGGTCAAGGGTCAAAATGAAGAATATGAAAAGTTCACTGAAGCGTCCTAACAATAAATAACAGGGGCAACTATTCAGCAAAGTCTTTACAGCCTCTTCCGCTGTTGAGAATGAGACACAACCTAACTGATGCTCACATGTCAATTGGATCTCCATAAGGATGCCTTCCACCCTAAACATGGACTTTTCACCCTCCTCCCAACCGACAGGCGTTACAGGAGCCTAATCTTTTGCACCAGCAGGCTCAGGAAGAGCTGTGACCCTGCTGAACTCCACACCTTCCATCAAATATCACCTTTGCACCCATACAGCACTGCTCACAGTACATTAACATACATGTTACTTGCACTTTTAATATTTTTGCACACACTACACTATTTAATAATGTTACTGTACATATAACCAACTGTGTATATATAACCTGTGAATACGTTGTTACACTTACACAATGTGTAGATACTGTTCATGCTGTACGCTGTACATATAATTTGCACTTTTCATTCTGTAACCCTGCCACTTCTTATACACTTTTAACAAACTCACAGATAGTATATAATATCCACCCATTATAACTCCACTGTACATATTGTAAGATAGGGTAGAGTGGGGTAAGCTAAATGTCTATTTGCTGACACATAAAATAATATTTTATAGGGTTTTTTTGTATCTTGGAGATGGCCATGCTTAGGGTAACATAATATAAAGTAAAATAAATACCTACAGTTGAGAAAGTAATTAGAATTTAATCAAATGTAAATTAGGAGAAAGGCATCTTTCCCAGCTAGTGGGGTAAGATGCCCCCCCCCCCCCCCCCCCCCCCCCCAAACCCATGTGGTAAGATGCCCCCCCCTGAGCTTAATGTCTATTTTCTGAAACATTAAAGAACATCTTATTGATTTGTATCTTTAAGAAGCCAATGCTTTGGGTAACTTATTATAAAATAAAATAAAATAAATAGCTACAGTTGACAAATTAATTTGTCAGACTTTTAAATAGTGATGATATATGATCAAATAATTAAAAATATTGTGATGAAACAGAGGAAATTTTTAGTTCAGTGAGACTAGCGGCAGCCAGAAGAAATGTTGAGAAATGTTTACCCCATGTTACCCTATAGCAAAACTGCACTTCTGGTTAGATGCTAACTGCATTTCATTAGATCTGCATGATGACAAAGGTTTGCTGTTTCAAGCTTCTGGAATATAAGGATTTTTTGTTTTTGTTTGTCAAACATGACAGTGAATGGAATATCTTTGGGTTTTTGGACTGTTGGATGTATAAAACAAGACATCTGAAGGCGTCACCTTGGTCTGTCAGAATGGCATTTTTCTGACAAAAATAATGGATTAATCGGGAAAATAATTAGCAGATTAAAAATGAGTCCTTCCGGTGCACAGCTTGTCATGTGTAGTTTTGGTGCAGTGACAAATGGGCCAATGGAAACATGCCAGAGTCATTGTCACATAAAAATGAGATCGCGTAAATGCCTGAACGGAGATTGTGATCTTAATTCAATTAATCATGCAGCTCCAAAGTGATCATTTGGGTACGAGAAACTAAAGTACTAAAAACATTATTCTTATATTTTTTTAAATGTTTTGTTCAGGAACATGTATTGTGTATGGAGGGCCTATCTGGAGGGCACGGTCCAGGTCACCCAGTCTAGAATCAGCGCCTGTGAAAACTACAAAGTCCAGGTTGCCGATCCAGCCAAGACGTTCAGGCTGCAGAAGGAACAGCAGCTGAGGAAGGTAATACTGGTCAATCTTACAACTCTGCTGAGGTTTCAGTCACTTTTCAGTCATTTTTTTTATTCCCACAATCGTTTTCACAGCTTAAAATTTTTTAATCGGGATTAATCTCATGATGTTCTTGTGATTAATCACACTGTTATGCGCAAAATTGAATAATGAATTCACTTTAACAAAACTCTTTAAACAAATAATGTGGTTTTTAACAGCAGTATTCCCTTTAGACAGTAACAATAAAATATTTCTTGCAAATCTCAACTTAAACATTTAATGTAGTCAAATATTAAACCAAAGCTATTTGCCACTGCCAGTGCATTACCTTTTATCTAGCTTGGTAAAACAAGTTACCATCAGAGTCCAGTTTTCTTGGGGGGGTTTTCTGAACAGGTATCAGCAGAAACATTTTTCTTTTATCTGGGAGCAGCATGAACAGTCTATGTTCAGAAGCAAGTTTCACTGTTAGAGTGAGGTGAAGTGGTCGAGCACAAGGTGCAGCGACAAGCTGGTGCGTTCCCCTGAAACTGTCGTGGTTGTGCTCGCCTCACGCACACACCCGCCAGCTGCCGAAATTTAATTGTCTTGAACTCTTTGTTCGCGACGCACAGCACAAATCATTGGAAGAGAGAATGATCCTCACTGTTTGTGAGTTTCCAGAATCTAATACTGTTTACTAAATTGGACATCAACAACTAAAACGAGATGTAGGCCTACAGGTAGCCTATAATTTTAACTTAAGTTAATAGGCTACAACAGAGAGCCTGCCGTTTACTCGTGGAGCGCTGTCTTACTTCTCCCACACGCTGCATCCAGCATAGTCTGCCGAAACCTCCCTCCGCTGCTTGTTTGGGTGGGTGGTTTGCAGGATCATCAACATCCTACCCGTCCTGTGAACCTTGGATTGACTGTATGTGTATTCAGAGCCAGTGAACAATGGACTTTCAAAATAATAATAATTAAAAAAATAATGCGTTAACGTGCGATAAAATAATTGTCGGCGTTAATTAATTAACGCATTAACGTGCCCAGCCCTAGTTTAGAAACATGATACACGGATTACAATGTACAGTGGGGGAAATAAGTATTTGACCCCTTGCTGATTTTGCAGGTTTGCCCACTTACAAAGAATGCAACGATCTATAATTTTAATCATATGTACATTCTAACAGTGAAAGACAGAATCCCAAAGAAAATTCCAGAAAATCACATCATATGAATTTATTAAAATTGATAACCATCTGATGAGGAAAAACAAGTATTTGACCCCCTGGACAAACAGCATGTTAATATTTTGTAGAAAAGCCATTATTGGCCAGCACAGATGTCAAACGGTTTTTATAGTTGGTGACAAGGTTTGTGCACATTTCGGCAGGGATGTTGGCCCACTCCTCCCTGCAGACAGCCTCCAAATCATTCAGGTTCCGAGGTTGTCGCCTGGCAACTCAAATTTTAAGCTCCCTCCAAAGATTTTCAATTGGATTCAGGTCTGGAGACTGGCTAGGCCACTCCAGAACCTTGATGTGCTGCTTCTTCAGCCACTCTTTTGTTGCTTTGGCGGTGTGCTTAGGGTCGTTGTTGTGCTGAAACACCCATCCTCGACCCATCTTCAGCTCTCTCACTGAGGGAAGGAGATGTTGGTCCAGAATTCCACGATACATGGCCCCGTCCATCCTCCCCTCAATACGATTTGTCCCGTCCCCTTGGCTGAAAAGCACCCCCAAAGCATGATGTTGTTGTTGATGGTGTTCTTTGGGTTGTACTCTGTGTTCTTTGCCCTCCAAACACGACGAGTTGAGTTGAGGCCAAAAAGTTCTATTTTGGTCTCATCTGACCACATCACCTTCTTTCAGGCCTCTTCTGAGTCGTCCAGGTGGTGAATGGCGAACTTCATGCGGGCCTGTACATGTTTCTTCTTGAGCAGGGGGACCTTGCGTGCGCTGCAGGATTTCAATCCATGACGGCGTAGTGTTACCAACCGTTTCTTTTGTAACTGTGGTCCCAGCTGCCTTCAGTTGATTCATCAGTTCCCCCCTTGTGGTTTTGGGATGATTCCTCACCGTTCACATGATCAGGGACACCCCACGAGGCGAGATCTTGTGTGGAGGCCCAGACCGAGGGAGGTTGGCGGTGGTGTGGTGCTTCTTCCATTTCCTGATAACTGCACCGACAGTTGATCTTTTCTCTCCAAGTTGCTTTCCGATTCTCTTGTAGCCCATCCCAGCCTTGTGCAGATCAACAATCTTGTCCCTGATGTCCGTAGAAAGCTCTTTGGTCTTGCCCATGGTGGTGATGTTGGATGCTGGTTGTTTGGGTGTTGACAGGTGTCTTTTATACAGGTAACGAGGTGAGGCAGGTGTATTTGATGTAGATAATTGGTTGGGATTGGGGCTGTGTCTTGAAGAAAGACTAACTGGCTTGTAGGAGCCAGAATACATGCTGTTTGGTAGGGGGTCAAATACTTGTTTTTCCTCATCAGATGGTTATCAATTTTTATAAATTCATATGATGTGATTTTCTGGAATTTTCTTTGGGATTCTGTCTTTCACTGTTAGAATGTACATATGATTAAAATTGTAGATTGTTGCATTCTTTGTAAGTGGGCAAACCTGCAAAATCAGCAAGGGGTCAAATACTTTTTTCCCCCACTGTATATAACTAACATTGTAGATGAGTTCAAATATTTTAACTTTATGTTTTTTAATTTTTACGTTTATACCCTCCATTTACACTTAATTACCTCATGCATCTTGGGTGGATCATAATAACTATCCAATATCCTTAAAGCTAAGTCTAACTGCATCCAAGAAACATTGGGGGGAAAAAAATCTAATTGTGATTTTTCTGCCAGATATTGCGATTACGATTTGATTTGCAATTTTTGCAGAGAGCGTAACGGGACGGGCTCACAGAGCTGTTATCCATAGATGAAGAACACAAAATGACAAATTAACAACGTGTAGGCTAAACGCTCCGCTGCTGAAACACTTCAGTGTGAGTTGACGCCGGACAAAACCAGCCACAGCCTGTGTCTGTTCACCTGGCGCCATTATCCAACATTTTCCTCTAATTTCGTTTCTTGTTGTAAAATGTACACGCCCTGTTCCCACTCTGATTGGTGAGTAGGGCAGGAGGCGCATGTCACACAAGGATGACAATGGAATGAATTTGTAACTGCGTGACTGTTTAAAACGTCAGATGCGCTGTATAATTAACCTACATTTTAATCGCTGTCTTCCCAAATCGAAATTTCAATGTGAAAACGAATAATCGTTCAGCCCTATTAGAGATAGATTGAAATCTGACAGTGAGACGCATTCTAGCCAGACGTTGCAAAGGTGTAAAGAAATCTTTCTCTCTAATACTCATACATACACTTACTTCTCCCAAGAACCTTAATAGTCTGTGGAACTAGTTTCTGCAGAATTTGATATTAAAATTACACTAAAACCATCTCTCTTTCACTGAATGATCTGTGAGGACGAGAGAGCATTGATTTGTATGGTTGAGAGAGATAAGATAACCTGCTAAAGTTATTATTTTTTAAGCTGTTATTAAACAGTGTTATGTGCATTATCACTACCCTCTGAACTGGAGTATGATCTACCCTGATTTGCATGCAGCCCGGGATTAACTTTGCAGCAGAACTAATAATTTAGATGCTCAGCCACACTGTGTTCAGTAAAGCCCAACTCACAATATGGTTGTTCTCATTTACATATTTTTCTGTTTCTGTTGTCAGATAATTAAACAAGTATAAAGTTTTTATCACAGCTCATAAATTAGTTGTTAACTTGCTGGGCTGCGGTGCTGATCGTGACGTCATCATCATACACAGAAATACAAATTGACAGATATTCTGTGTGAAGAGATGGATCAAAGGAGGGAACAAAAATTTATAAATGCCACACAGTCCCGGACCCTCACTGGGAATATCTGTCACTGTTTGCAAAACAAGAATGATTATTCATACATTTTACCAGCCTGATGTGGATGTATGCTACTCTGTATTCTTATTTACACTAGTAAGGTGGGTAGAACAGTATTTAAGACCAGTACAGCCACAATTTATGTTACCACATCTTATTGAGATGCAACAGAGCTGGAACACGATGCAACGTTGTGTAATACTCACCACTGGGAGCCATAATGATAATCATTAAGAGCAGCAGCAGGCATATTCACGTGTTCTCTGTCCTCTGATCAGTGTCACCACAATCATTTCCACTGGGAACTTTATGTAAACAGCCAGTGTTATACTGATAAACAGTGCAATAAATAAAAGTCACAGCTGTTGCTCCTATCATTAATGACATCCATCAGCCCAGTATCTGTCCCACACTGATTTGGAGCACTGAACTAGTCTGGAGGTTTAACCTGTTTCCTGATCATCAGGCCCAAGTCCGCCTTGACTATTTGCTGAAATGGAACCACTGCTGCTCTGTGGTTTCTGCTGGCCATGTTCCTGCAGCCTACAATGCTGCTCTTGTGTGCAGTATACCTTTTTAGGAGATGCCATTATAGCTCCTGTATCCCACACAACATTTTGTCATTACTCACCCACGTGTTCGGTAGATATGGCTGAGAGGAATTTGCATAATTTTCCAGTGGTGCATTGTGGTAATAATTTGCATAAATGTAAAGTTCTCTCTTGTTTTGTGTGTCTCCAACTTGCCATCCTCAGTGTATTGATCAGCTGACAGTGGTTCAAGCTGAGCTGCAGGAGTCGGTGAAGGAGCTGACCAAGAGCAGGAAGAAGTACCAGGATGCTGAGACGATGGCACAGGCTGTCCGAGAGAAGGCAGAGCTGGACGCCAAGTATGGACCAAATTTCTTAACTATCTTTGATTGATTATGGTGTTGTTATTCATGGGTTTACAAGCACATGGTTTAAGTGGAAAATGTTTTGTCTGCTGCTGCCTGTTAAACACCACAATTTGAAAAATGTATACTGTATGTAGAAATATTACCAGAATACTAATTACTTAATGACATTGATGCCTAGAATTGGCCTGTAAAACAGTCGCTCGAAGTGCCTAAGAGCAAATACATTATACCTACAACTATACCTGAATTGATGTCAATTGAAAACTATTTTGGTGATTGATTCATTGTTTCAGTAACTTTTCAAGGCAAAAAGCCAAACATTTGATGGTTCTAGCTTCTCATGTATGAGGATTTTCCTATTCAAACATTATAGTAAACTAAATATTATTCAGCTTACAATAAAAATCACCTCAAAGAATACATTTTCACAAACAGACCAGACGATTATCGTAAAACTTCAATTTAAAGCCCAGTTAAGTGACTAAGTCACTTTGACTGCCCAGGTGTGGCTACACGTTTTGATAAATAAACGTAGGTCTCAATTAAAAGCCAGTTTTCATAGAAGTTGTTTGGATGAATTGAACTTCTTCAAACCCACCGGGTCATCCACTTGAGCTAGTTTGAGCTGCTTAGGCCCCATTCACAGCACTGCGTTGTCGTTATAAAACGGAGAACTTTTTCTACGTTTGCACCTCCCATCCAGACCTAAAACGGAGAAGTTTGAGAACACTGCCGACACCGTTTATCGTTTTGAAACTTGAAAACGGAGGACTTTAGAAACAATGATGCAGACGCTTACACTCGGCTCTCTGATTGGGTCTTATAAGTCATGCAAAGCAGACACACGGCGCTACTGACAGAGTTTTTGACTTGGTATTTTTATCTAAATATTTTGTACCGTGCAAATAACACTAATCTGCCTGTACTTGTACCGTGCATGTCGCCATTTACTTTGCGAGGACTCCCAGTCTGTTTTCCGCTGCCACACTCCAATGTTACAGTAACAGTCCCAGCTCATTATTGGTCCATGCAAAAAAAATAATCTGGTCTGATTCTTCGTCAGTATTACTTTATTCTTTTGCTAAATGTTCTGCTATAGACCATCAGCTTCATGTTTACACCGCCACGCAAATGCCCAGTGTACGTGAACAGCCGCTAGATGTGTGTTTTTGTTTTTAATGTGTGTAAATGTAGACTGAGATCAACTCTAAAACGCTGGTGTGGATGGAGATCGTATTAGTTTTAATTCTGTGTTTTTAAACTAAAACGTACTAGTGCGGATTGGGCTTTAGATCGTTTTGTCAATACAGGACTGCTAAGCATCATTAGATCAGTTAGATTCTCCTCCATGAACCCCAAAGTATAATTCATTCAGATTGACCGGTATGATGTATGAGTGACTCCCTACCTTTCAATAAATCCATGTTTATATAGTCTCAATATGTGTCAATTCCTCAATTATTTACATTCCTTTATCTAGTAAGTGTCACCGACCAAACAATCAAAATGGTGTTTCGCAATTGACTTTCATCCTTTTTAAGTTAGGCAACCGGTATTTGGAGACGGCTCTCTGTCTTTCACTCTCTCTCTTCAATTATCTGGTTCACTTTTTTAAAATTACATCTAGTCCTCACTCATTGAAAAGTCCAGAATCTATAAATATGCAAATGTTTTTCATTTCAAAAGTTTATCTGTTGCACACAAGACATCTCCTACTTCACTGAAAAGATCTTTCTTAGTGTATGTGCACCGGAAGATTTTAGTTTCCACATGTCACTTGTGTAAGTTGCATACTGGACCATGATTGGTTTCCCAAAAAGTTGTAAAGTCACAAATCTTGCTCTGACGTACACGTCTTGAACTCATATTTAAGGTGAGCATAAAGAAACATTCCTGCTTTAGCAGATGAATGTGAAAACAGACTTCTAATGTCAAACTCTGCAAGTTCATTAAGTGAAGTAAATATAAGAAAAACACATTTAGGAGGGGGTCTAATCAATAAAGAAAATAGTCGTTAGTTGCATCCCAGTAAACGGCTAATATTCATGCTTGAGGGAGCCGAACACTTTGTCCTGGCACAACATCAACAGCTGGCACCTGGACTCACCACATTGCAGACATATTTCTGCCCATTAGGAAAGTTTATTATAGAGCTTAGGAGGCACAGCTCTGTGAAGTTTTGCTGTCTGAAAGACTTAGCAACTGATTGGCTTTCATTCTAATACTACAAATACTACTTAAACAAAAATATAAGAAATATTAAAAATAAACGCTGTTGATATGTTCTCTCCTAAAGTCATGAAGTCAAACAGTGTCTCTTGTCTTTTGTTCAGGTCTAAGCTAAGTCTCTTCCAGTCCAGATCGAGTCTTCAGAGGGCAAGCGTAAAGGTATGAGATCTTTACATCCTAAACACTGCACTACAGTTTGTGATATTTTTGTGCTGCAGTCAACCGCATGAACTTTTGCATTCCAGCTGAAAGCCAAGAGGAGCGAATGCAACTCCAAAGCCACACATGCCAGAAATGACTACCTTCTCACTCTAGCAGCCGCTAATGCTCACCAGCACCGATACTATGATACAGACCTCATGGATTGCATCAAGGTGAGGACGTACCCTCTGAATGGGTGTTTGGATGGTTGGAGACAGAGATTTACTGTGAACTTGTTCTGTTTGTTTGGTTCTGCAGGTCTTAGATGGCAAAATCTACGAGCAGGTAAAAGATTACCTGGTCTCACTATGTCAGACTGAGCTAGAGAGTTACCAGGCTGTCCACAACACCTTCAACCATCTCTTGAACAGCTCAAATGGGGTAAGTCTAGACCACCAGTATTACACTTTTTTACCCCCCATAGGGAGGTCCTGATCAGTTTGTTTGACTCCAGTGCTAATCCGAGTCCTTTAACATTGGCATTCTGCTGTTATAGAGTCCAATCTGATACTTTAATTTGTGTAAATGACACACCTGCACATCAAGCGACAACCTAAGTTCAACCAAGTTAGAACTTAATTCTTCTTCAAAGAAATGATAATTGCAAACATAAATGTATACATAGCAGCAAAATATAGTGGGAGGGGCTGCAGAGGGAGAATGCCAACGGGACAACAATGTCAGCTAAAAATGAGATGCTGCCACAAGGTACAAGGTTGTTTATTAGTCATACAGCACAAGGCTGCATAATGAAACAAAATTTGTAGTTCCTTTGTGCTACACACACAAAATATAATTAAGTTTAGGCTTTTATTAAAATATGGTAACAAATAAAATAATACTTATTTATATACATATATTTTGTCCTGACCGGAGCAGAATTAAGTCCAAGCTGAGCCAGCATTGCTCCTATCCCGGCTCTCTTTCCTCTCCTCTGAGTGATCACTGCACCCGCCGTGGCGCCTGGTCCGGTTGTTTTGGCCTGGTGGATTGTGGTTCGCTGCTCTTTAATCCAAAAACCCTGTCTTCATCTTCCAATGACTGTATTTATGTCAGAGGTAACACATGTTTTGGCAATAAAGGTGGACAAAACAGATACCTGCTGAAAGTTTAAACACTGCTGTTTGCTAATAAGAGAGAGTAGAAATATAAGATTCAATAACAGATTTGTTACTGTTATTTATTAAAGCTAAATTATGCCCGATATGATTCTTAGGATGGGTTTGGCACATCTCTAGTCCATCAATATCACTCCGTGTCTTTGTGAATGTGGGAAGAGCTGAACTCTACTGCCTCAACAGCTGCTAATTAATTTGATGGTTTGAGTTACCTCGGCGCTCCTCGGTTACATAGTCATGAGCCGTCATTGGTCTCTTAATTCTAGTTTGTTCAGGTCATCTTGCCTCTCTGGAAGTGGAGCTGCATTTTGTTTCTGCTCAGGCCAGAATATGAACAGATCATTAAAGAGGGAAGCAAAACAGCCATTTTCAGCAGAGCTCAGATTTCAGCCCATATGCTTCCAGTGTCCACACAAACAGGTCTTATGTGTGCTTTGTGTAATAGGAAATTTCAATTTAACTAGATTTGAATTTTATGAATACTTTTGATTCTTTATTATGTTGTGTTTTGTAGTCTAAATATAGTTTCAAAATCTATTTCCATGTACAGCATATTACAAGCTCCACATGCTCCACTTCTGGTTCCACTGGTCTAATGGGAGCTACATAATCGCTCGCAGATGCTATAATATGTTTTCAAAGCAATAAATAACATTTTTGATGATGATACTGTTTTGCTTAAATTGGATTGGTTTATGATTATCAGGAATTTCACTCCCAGAACACTTTTTTATTGTTTTTCGTGTAATTATTTAACTCATTGGCCTCTAGTTTCAAACCATTAAACTCGCAGTAATGGCCAATAACTCACTGGTCCACACTGCCAAGTTGTATGTGTTATGAATATTTCAGATTTGACTACTGCTGTACCACCTGTGGCAGACAAATCTCGTCCCCTTTTTCAGAAGAGCTTAAGGACATGACCTATATACTGACAGTCCCTATATCATCATACTGATATCATATGAGATGTCACCAAACTCACTGTCGAGTAGCTACTTTTCTAGATAAAAAGATAAATGTAGATAAAGTCACTAAATACAGAACTGATAACAGAGAAGTTACTTTGGGAATGCTCACTGTAAAGTCTCTAAATGTAGGATGTAGGAAATAACGTACTCCCATATTTTATTTTATCAATATTTTAATGTTTCAGGATGGTTGGGGGTGGTTATTAATAGTCTGCCTACTTTCCTAATTTATCTGGAGAGTGTATGGACGCTGGACGGATGATTAAAACAAAGTTAAATATGGATAAAGTCACAAGATACATGTACTAATGACTGAAATGTATCAATATCATCATTTAGTTTCTGACAGAACTTCTCTATAATATGTGTATTTCATCTTTTCTTTATGTAGATACTGCAGGAGTTTCACCAACAGCTGTTTGTACAGAAGAATCTCAACTTTCAACAAGCCCCGGACTTCGTGTACCAGCCCATCGACGCAGATACGGTAAATGCTAATGATTTATTGTAAGGATGCACCGAATGTTCGGCTACCGGATTTAATCAGCTGAAAATAGCAAAAAATCACTTTCGGTGTGTGGCCTAATAGGTCAAAGGCCGAAGAAATTTTACCGAACAATTACGTTAACATGTCGGCACATCCACTCCATCTGTGGCTGACTTCTTAGAAAAGGCAACAAACGATCTGACCCGCTTTGAGTGTTTCTGTCACTTTGTTTCTGTGAAGGGAATTAAGCTAACTGCACCTACATTTGGAGTGCACATGTATTCAAGCCTCAATGGTAAACTATGTTGGTGGGTGAGCATGGTGAATATAATACACCTGCAAAATAATCGGATTGTTAGTATTGTCATTGTGTGAATGTTAGCATGCTGGAGTTAGCATTTAACTCATAGCACTGCTGTGTAGTGGAGTTCACATTTAAATGTGTAAATATTCAGACCTCTCCATTTTTTGTTTAAATTTTATCTTAACAGAGACCATTTTACAAGCAGCGTCATTAAACTCTAAAGTAATGACGTAATGAAGTAATGACTTTATGTGCAACAGGTCATGAACTATGACAAGCTCACAAACAGGCGTATTAAATTATTGAACTTGGCTCATATAGACTGGCGACCTGTCCAGGGTGTACCCCGCCTTTTTGCCCGATATAAGCTGGGTTTGGCTCCAGCCCCCCGCGACCCTGTACGCAGGATAAGCTGTTGACGGTGGATGGATGGTTGGCTCATACACACTCAATCCAAGGCCAACATTAGTACACGGTGGGGGGTGCCGGCACAGAGAGCTACAGGAAAAGTACACTAGGGCGTCTGGCAAAAAGGTTGAACTCTACTCAACTTTTGCTGCAACACAGCGCAGCATCATCTGACAAGGTGCTACAGTGTCCAATTAAACACATACAAGGGCACATTACCTTGAATGAGGTAATTCAATCTGTTTATCTCGTTATTGTTGGAACGTTTAAAATGACGCAGCTGTGATAACTATCCTCATAGTTATATACTTTTATACTGTAAACAGTTGAGTGTTTTGGCATCTGATAAGCCTTCACATCCATGGATCTATTATTCATACTGGACTTCCTGGCTTGTATTTCATTGTTTCCACCAGTACCAGCACTAACACAGCCCTACCGTCGCTGGCATTTTTAACGCAGTGTGCTGTTTTCGGTCTGAATGTCCAGCTGTGGTTTAATCAAAATCTGATCTCCCAGCTGCCTTGCCAAAAAACTTGGGGCTATAAACAATTTGTGTGTAAACTCAACAGCCTACTTATAACAGCCTACGCACTCTAGCAAACCTGAGTCATGGGCGCTAATTCAAGTGCAATCTGTTCAGTGCATTTGCACACCTGTTCATGAAGCACATAGTGTCTCTAGACTGGAATCTATTTCAGTTTTCAACCCATACTGGTCATTTATAGCATTTTTTGCCCTTTTTAAAACATTAAATACCAGCATAAATGTTACCATCAGTCCAAAAATATTTTATCATCAGTCTTTAAGACAACCCTGGTATGCAAAACGGCCAGTGGTTTATTAGTGTGTATGATAGATATATATATATCATACAAACTAGCCACACTAGTCCGTCGCGCAGCTCTGCCGGTCCTCCTCTGCACTGGCCCTCTGCTCCACTGGACAACACTGGACAATTTGTTCAAACTGCAAACGCTGGCGTTGTTTTCATTGGAAGTCAAACAAGCAGCAGCCTGTTCCTAAAGAAAACATTAGTGGTGGAGAGCCCTCCCCCTGTCCCTTCCCTCCCTCTCTCTCGCTCTGTCTCTCCCTCTCTATACCACTTTCACCAGACTGAGGGATCCGGTAAGGAATAGAGCTGAACTGGGAGGGAGGGGCAGGAGGTAGTCTGGGCCTTTTGAATGGACCAGCTGTGAAAAGGAGGCATTGTGAGTGGGCCTCATCAGAGTGCACTGACCCTCCCTAACCCAGCCTTTACCCTCCATACACACGCACACACACTGCTGTTGTCATGTGGAAACCTCTTAACTCAAATGTTTTTTTCAATATTAATAAAGAAAGAAAAGTCGAATTTGAAACACAAAATTAAAATTGAGAGATGTAAGGGAGAGGCAGAAGTGAACCGTGTTGATGCTGAGACAAATGGGCCATTCCAGTGTGTATTTTTCCTACAAAGCACTTTTTAAACTAGCCCAATGTGAAATGTAAAGAGGAAGTTGACACATTGACGTAACAGAAATGGTAAACATAACTCACACTGGTGGTTCTTTTACTGGCATTTGGGAAACCGCAGTGTCCTCTTAAAGACGTTTTGGTGGGACATTAAAGGTACATTCAGTTAGATTTTTTTTAAAGAAATAATCATGTTTCTGTGTTAGGTAATTTACAGTAAGGGGTTGTTATTTGGACAAACTACCTCTTTTTCCACTCAATGCCTCCCCTTCCCCTTTCCAAGCGTGTAAGAAAGCTACAGTGGCCGCACAGGACAAAAGGGAGTAGACAGTCAAGAAATTGGTTTCTTCTTGGAAAAGATGTACTTTAGATGGATATATTAAGAAATTATATTTTGTCTCAATTCTTCCGTAAAACCATTAGATTTTGTGAATATTATTGTTAATTGTTCATCAAACAACAGCAACATCAATAAATGAAGTGCTACATGATGTCTCATACTCCTGTAATACATTGTTATCATGCATTTTGTTACATCTTGGGAGGTTTGGGTCATCTGGACTAACATACTGAAGCAAAAAACATCTCAAAAACCATTTCGTCTACTGCAAGTATGACCGCTGACAGATAACAGGAAAAAGTAAGCCACATCATGCATGAAGTTTACAAAGGCAGGTGAGGATCAAGGCTCCTCTCTCTTATTGTAATGCTGTTAGCAGTGAAGTGCAGTAAAAGGAAGTTTAGCTGGCTGATCTGAACTTCCATGCTGTAACGTTTTAAATAATAATCAGCTGACTGTCTCAAACATTACCGACACATTTATGCCCACATATTAAAACCAAGACACAGTTAAAAATTATAACCCAACTAAATATTTTTCTAGGTCAGTAAAAGTTTAGCTGGCTTATCTGTGCTTCCAGCTGTAACGTTAGGTTACCGTTTTATTGCCAATTAATCAGATGATTGTTTCACGAACATAACAAACACATTTATGTCCAACCAAAGCCTTGAGATATAACTAACGTTACATGGCATTACAATCCAGCTACATACTGTAGTTTTTCTACTAGGGCAGGAAAATGTGAAGTTTAACAATAACTGTCTGCTAGGAGCTTCTTCAGTTAGGCTTTGAAAACATTTGTCCTGCATCAGATCCTTCAATCTGGGAAAATCCACAACAAATAAATCCTTTATTTCTGCCATCATCTGTCTGTATCTGTCCCGACTCATCTGGTGTTCATCATGTTTTCGCTTCTTTGACGATGAAGATCCACACGCTGTCGGCTCGTGCTAAATAATAGGTGTAGTCCTCTATCTGTCCAAATTTCACTTCTCTTCTTACTTCTTATAAACCAGACGACTACTCAGACTGTATATTATTATTAGTTCCTCTTCTCCTTCTTATGCATTCAAAGTAGTGACGAGCGTCTACCGGCGTCTACACTGCCAGAATTATACAAGCAGAAGAAGAACACCATAGTGGCAAAACGCGCTCTGTAGCGCTGTTTATCCGTTTTCAGATACTGTCAAAACATGATGATATAACGTGGCGACGTCCGATAAGGGGGTGCCTGCGGGTATGTAGAAATGGCTAATTCTAAGGTAAAAAAAATAAAAAGTAACGGTTCATTATGTAAGGTCGTTATACACCACTGAAAACATAGTTATGGATGTTATATTGCATTTCTGTCGAAAGATCCTCAGAAATATTACACACTGAACCTTTAGAATTGTTGTGAAGGTTTGTTCACAACAACTTCTGGAACAAATCTGATTTCCAATAATAGGTCAATATCAGCAGTTTGATATACTCTACAGTCTCTGTTATATTGGTTAAATATTGTTATGGTCTTGTCTCCGTCACCTGCTTTGTTTCACTCTCTCTCCCTCCATCTCTGTGGGATTTGTAGGTAATGCAGCTGCTGAAAGAAAGCGGAACGACGGAGGAGCACGGCCTGGATAAAGAGGCGAGGAAATGGGCAAGCCGCGTTGCCCGAGAATACAAGAGCATCATCCACGCTCAGAGGGTGAGAACCAGATTAAAACGATGAAGTGATGATGTTTTAGGCATGCTTCAGGAGGGAGATACTGTCACCATATCCTGTACACACTTCATCAAACACCTTCACCTTCTACGCTGTTGGTCATACACAGTACAGAAACATAGGATCCTAGGCCATCGGGGGAGATACATGTTACTCCATTTTACAAGGGGGATTGTACCAAAAAGAAAAACACATCCAAATGTTTGAGACTTTGAGCATTGTAATACAGTCTCTGAATCTCAATTTTTGGCATCTCTTTTCTTTTTCTCCGCGCACTAAGCGAGAATTTTATACACATGTTTTTTGAGTAAGCTCTCAGAAGAAATCTCTTGCATTATAGCACAAACAGGAAAACGTGAGCTTTTCAAGAACACGTGTGAACCTTTATACATTGATAGTCAGGTACTTCATGTTGTAGTTAACGCTAAGAACTCAACTTATGTCCACTCCAGCCCTCTGTGTGACTCATTGCGTTTACGTGAACTTAACTAACCACGTTACAGCCCTTTGAATCTACAAGGAAGTAGTCTGGCCATAAATCAGTTTGTCAATCATTTAACACACCATAATTTTCTGTCGTAATTTCCAGGAACTGTGACGGTAGAAACGGTCTTGTATTGTTTTATTGTGTTACATCATTACACCCATAATTCCTTGTGGAATGAATGGTTGCTGGGAATATTGTGGATATGTCCACAGGTTTATAACACAGGGCAAATATCAGTATATGAATGGATGGAGGAGAATGTCTGTGCCCCAGCAATGTAAGAACCGTGTCGATGGTACAGTCTGAGCTTCATTTTCAGTCCCAAAAAAATACTGAATGTGAAAATGAAATGAAAATTATAATTAATGGATTTTGTATTATTCTTTGTCTTACTTACATTTGGAGGATAATCATGCTCTATGTTTTGGAACTACTGTTCCTGTCATTTTGGCCCTTTGGGGGATGTAACCAGGAACTACAAAATAATGCTGCCATGGAGTCAGTTAACTGTGGGCTACAACTTGAGCCCTGTTTTATGCCAATATCACTGAAAAAATGCTAAATTAGCTGTTAGCAGCTCCTATTTGCTGTGTATTCATGGATGTGCAGACAATTATTGCTGAAACATAAAAGTGTGATGATTCTCAGGGCTGCCCACTTATAGGCAACTAAACTGCGTTTAGCGTTAGCAGCGCTAACTCTAGTTTTAGCGGTCCTGTTAGCTGACTCTACCTGGACATGGAGCTCAGTCATAGACTGAATGAGCTCGGCACACTGGGGGAGTGTTGGTGTTTGTTTACACCACTAGTATAGCAACTTTGGACAGCCAGCAGGAAGAGATTTTCAGGCCTGGGGTCCCAATAGGAAATGCTGCCGGGGCCCCAGAACCAGAGATGAGATGAACTATCAGCCTCGGAGTCAGGGAACACAGTACCGAGGTGATTTACAGCGGCTACTGCCAGGACTCTGACTCCGGGGGACGATGGAGACACAGCAGGTTCAGGCAGACCAACAAATGTTTTTCGACCTCTTAGATCTTTACCTTAATCAACAAGGTAGGTCGATAGGTTGATAAACCAGCAGATCATAAAATTTGTGTAAAGGAAAATATGTATGATGCAATACAACACAGGATAAGAGTTCATCATCACCTCACATTAACTCCTTTTCCCGATCCTGGTGAAGTTAAGTGATTGCAAACCGTTTTCCCAGCACAGCACGTTCAATCTGAAAACCATGTGCACCGTTTTGCTACGTTTTCTCTTCAAAATGGTGTTCAGCGGGGCTTTGGGGTACGTTTACTCCCGTTTGGAGGGTGTGTCAGAGGTGTTACCCAATCAGCAGCGATGTTTGTATAGAACCCTTCGTATTAAAAGGGCAGTGCCCTTGAGTACTCAACAGGTTGTTCAAGGTACCACCATTTCAGTTTAGATAAATGTTTTTATGGAGCTGAACTCGCCCCAGGATCAATCTGTCTGTTTCCTTAAAACAGGAAATGAGTCACTCTGTCTCAGTCAGATGTCTTCAATTTAAAAAGTGTCTTTAATGTTTCTCTTTTTTTAACATTTTGGATGATTCCTCTTGTGATTTGTTTTCAGGCCCTGGAGGAATATGGGACACAGGAATCATCAGAACAAAACAACAGTGAGCTGGAGACCAAGATGGAGGTGGCCAGGCAGAGTCTTCGGAGGGCAGAGGTGACGTGTGGGTGGGGGTGTGATTGAGAAAGAGGTGCGTTCCTCTTTTCTCAATCAGTGTTGTTAAAGTGGCCCTAGTACTCCACCTACTGGTTAAAAAGATGAAATGACACAGATTAGGGTCTAATGCAGCAGGGCTGCAGGTTGCATTCATACAGTGTAGAGCTATGGATAAGTCAATTAATTGATTGGCATCTATCAATGTAGTTGCCCATTAATTTCTGTCGATCAACCAAACGCTCAAATGTTAGAATTGAATATTTGCTTTTTGTTTTCGATTGTTGGTCCAACAAAACCAAGACACAAGACTGTAGGAAATTGTTATGGACAATTGATTCATTGAAAATCATGAATAATAAAGTAGTAAATAATTGTAATTTAGTAATTGTAGTATTTTAAATATATTTACATTTTGGAGTGTTGTTTGGACAAAATGAGCCTCTTGACACTTGTAAACAATTAGTCAAAAAAGTAATAGACTCATTAATAATGAGAATAGTCGTTTGTGGCAGAACAAGCAATTTCTTTAAATTTAGATTTTTTTGGGGGGGTGCTTTCACACCCGACCTGGAAGCAAGACAGAGACCCTCCTTTTCAAGTGGTCTCAGTCCAGTCTTATGGTCCAGCACGAGACTTTGATTGACCGGTTTCACACCAGCTTAAACAGACTGAAGCAAAAAGGCAAACACACCAAATAAGTTTGATAGAACCAAACAGCGTAGGCATGAAAGCACGTTCAGTTTGTTTGTAATACGCTGCAGTGAGCACGAAACACACCAAAACTAAAAAAGCAACAATGCGTCTTTTTTTTAAATGTTATTGGTCCGGACCAAACAACCTGGGGTGGTGATGGAACAGTGGATGAGACGCATGCCTTTGGTGTGCTGTTATGTTTATAAATTTATTGTATTTTTTATTTTTCAGACGGTGAAGCTGAAAGCCGAGGCCCGTCTGGACTTACTGAGGCAGGCGGGTGTTGCTGTTGAAACGTGGCTGAAGAGCGCCATGAACCAGGTGATGGAGGAGCTGGAGAACGAGCGCTGGAACAACCTCAGTACCCACGATCCTTCACTCTCTGTAAGACTCACAAAGTACACTAATGGATAAATGCAAATTTTAACAATGTATTTATAGAGTACAGAGTATCTAGTGCTCCCAGAATCATCATAATGAAGTATAGTTGTTTTAGAGTTGGATATTTTGTTACACTTTCAACCTGCAGCCGTGTCACACAAAGTAACATTTATGATATTTCTGCAGGGAACAGCAGATTTGGAGCGAGAGGATGAAGAGGAGATAGAGGACAGTGGTGAAGTGTTAGACGACAGCAGCTCCAGCCCCTCCAGCACCTTGAAAAACTATCCCCTCACCTGCAAAGTACTCTACTCCTACAAGGTACCAGCAGAATAGAAACTACTGCTTCCTGTGAATGTAGAGTTAGCGTGAGGGGTGAGGGCCTTCATTAGACTTGCTGTTGTCATTACTGCGCATACTTGTGCAGAAACTGTCAGTTTAAATAAGGGGTTCCTTCATATTATGTCTTATATTGTGTATAATATTTTTGCATAAATCCTGACATTTTTAGATCTATTAATCACTTGATATCCTGTTATTGTCAATACTTTTTAAGGACAACACACCTTTATCAACATTTCAATTTTTTGAATGTGCCAATGTTCACAAGCCGGCTAATTTTCAACTGCAGTCATTTGGCAAGATGTTTTAAAATCAGTTTATTAAAAGGTTAGGAAATACAAACGTAACACAGTAAGAGGCTGAAGTGACGACAACAGCTTCAAAATCAGCGTTCTCGAGATCAAATCCTGCAGAGCAACAGGCAGCAGCAAAACAATAATGCAGAAATATAATAACACCCACTACAAATAATATTTGTCCTAGTAAATGTGAATAGAAATTGTTTGAAAGTTAGTACAATTGTCATAACTCACACATAACACATAATCTCTGCAGCAGTCAGTAGACACAACTGTAAAAATCACATTGTTAAAAGAAAAACTATTAATATCCCAGCACTTTATTTAATTTTATACAGCGTCATTGTGCTTGATAAGATTTATTTTTTATACTTTGCAGTCACACAAGATGGCACAAGTGAAAATTTACAAAAATCGCATGACATCACATGATTAACATGTTCCTCATTCATTAAACATTAGACACCTGACTTTTTCCATACCTCCATTTATTATTTATAAAGTGATAATCAGCTTACTTATGAGCTTAATAGAAACTTGAGGATGAAGATGTTTTATATGCACTTTAGCAGTGAGGATTAACAAAATAAATACACATAAACATCAAAATAACTCAATATAATTTAACATAGGCACAAACTGCAGCCTCTATTTTTCAAAATAAAGTTAAATCAGCGCCTGTCTGAAACACCAAAAATATTGGAAACAGATCTTATGTATTAGACTGCATTATATCAAAAGGTGACGCAGTGATCATTGATAGATTAGGATTCAGCGACCAAAATAAAAATACTTGATTTGGAAGGACACTGAGGAGACTAGTGTTACTTGTGTTACTGCAGCACTTGTTTCTCTTATTTTCATGCAAACTGATCTGTTTTCTTGTTTCCAGGCGTCTCAGCCCGATGAACTGACCATTGAGGAGCAGGAAATCTTGGAGGTCATTGATGATGGCGACATGGAGGACTGGGTCAAGGTACTCTACAAATTCACGCATCTAAGCGGTGTTGTTTAATTCATAGCCACAGATTTCAGCGTTTTCAGCTGAACTCATTTGCATTTTTTGATGATTTTTGATGGTATCTGTTGTGGATTTCCCACCATTCGTCATCATTAGCATATATTTTCTGCATTTCCAGGCCAGAAACCGCAGTGGACAGGTAGGCTACGTCCCAGAAAAATACTTGCAGCTGCCTTCCTCTAACAGCCTACTGAGCATGCTGCAGGCTCTGGCCGCTCTGGATGCCCGATCCCATTCCTCCAGTAACTCCACTGAACCTGAAACCGAACTAGCAACTGGCTCCATCAACGGAGACTCCAGCGGTGAGGGATACCTTTATTAAATCAATGTTTTATAGCCAATATTTTATGTCTGTCAACTATCTGTATGTCCTGCTATATAGTCCTTCTCTGTTGCAGTGTCATTTGCAAAGGCCCTGTACGACTACGTGGCACAAACAGACGACGAGCTGTCATTTCCAGAAGGGGCCATCATCCGCATCATGAGCAGAGAGACCCACGAGGACGATGGTTTCTGGGAGGGAGAGTTTAACGGCGTCGTTGGCGTCTTTCCTGCGGTTCTGGTGGAGGATCTCCTCGGTGCCAGCGAGAACGGAGATGGACAAAGAGATGGCAGTGCACAGGCATGTTGACACTTATATACTTAAAAATTAGAATTTGGCTATATCCTGACTTCACCACTGAATTTAAAGAACAGAGATGAAATTTTTGCGTTTGGTTTTATACAAGATTTCTGTTATATCTGTTATATAAAGCTTAACTTTATATGTGTTGGCTTTTATGTGTAGAAGCAAATATATAATAATATCCATGCAAAAAAATGATAATTTCTGTAAGTTTAAGTCTCATATTTACCAATATGCATATAATAATGTTGCATGTATACTGCAGTACTGCACACACAGAAATGATGTTACAAACCATCTGTGGTCGCATCTTCCACTGTTAAAGGTGGGTTAAGTCTTTCTCATCAAACACACATCTTATTGTCATATTCAACAAATATCTCCTCACGGTGCGCTAGCTGCTATGTGCATCTTGAAGTATCTCGTTTGAAAAGGTTAATGAAAACGGCAAAATTTGAAAAACTTCCTCAATTTTAACAAAAAGCTTTACGCTTGGTTGTTTTTGCCTTTTTACGCAAGTTAATGCGCTAAATGAGAGATTAAAGCATCTTTGCTGAGTAAGTTCTGATGTAGCGAACATTTAACTCATGTTTCTGTCTGTTTACTAGCTGACATGAAAGAACACTTACAACTTGCCCCGTTCAAACAGATTCCTGAAGGCCTCTCAGATACATCATCCTGGGGTCGATGCGACTGGTTTTCTTTCCAGTTTGCAACATCTATTTCTTGTTTATTGCAGCCATGTGTAACATCAACTATGCTCTGCGTAGCCTAGTTTATTGGCTCCAAACCAGCTGATGGAAACACACCTAATTCGCATTTCCTTTTTAGCAACATTTCAAAGATTTGCTTAAAATCCGCTTGATAATTTGATGTAAACACGGATACTGTGCTGGCTCTGGAACCATCTCGTCTTAGTACACCCACAACTTAGCTAACGTTAGTTATTTATTATTTCCATACTTTAAGCCAGTCTTGGGAAAAGAGCCTTAACAATAAACAAGACCCGAGTCACATTGTCACTGTGTAAATTAATATTTTTTGCCTGTTGTTTTCAAGGCATCCTCCTCCCCTCTGGCCCAGTGCGACCGGTCACCTCGTAGTCCCTTCCAGCCGGGGCCTCTCCATAGCAGCCCCCTTCAGACGCCCACTACGTGCTCTCCTCAGTCGAGTCCTTGCAGCGCCACAGCCTCTCCCATTGGTCGACCACCCTCCTATCATAATGGACATCACAGGCCGCCACCAGCGCCGCACAAAAGCCCCTTTCAGAGTAAGATTTACTTGTTTGTCTGTATTAAAGTAGGCGGAGTAAGTATGAGATCTGAATTGTAGTGACTGTACTGAATTTGTTTAAACTGTTATCTGTGATGGTAATCTGTGTCCGCTGCTCTCTTCAGGTCCAGTCCAAGGCTCCACTCAACCTCCCAAATACCCAGAGAGTAGCTCTGGCACCATTCGACCTGTGAGTAAACATGTCTTTCTATGCGTTAGCCTAGAGCGAGTGACCTACTGATGTGTACCAGGCTTCTTGCCCAAAGTGAGCCGATCAATAACTGAGCACAAAAACTTCTAGTTGTATTTTAATTCCACTAATAATTAAATAATATCAATAAATTAAATTGAGCCACTGATTGATGGATGTTTCCAGGTCCGTGCGGCTCCTCCGCCCCCTAAGCAGCATCCTCGTGGGCAGGTGAAGCGAAGGGAGGAGGTGGAGATCACGCTGGTGTGAAGGCAGCACCCTGGTGGTGACGGCGGCAACGTCTGCTCTGTTCAAACCAGCTGGGACTTGGCGGCTCTGTGCCTCTAAACGCGCTCCCTAAAGGAAACCTGAGGAAACTTAAACCCCCCTGAAGACGCCTGGAGGCCAAGAGAGGCCCTACACTCTATCCTCTTTGTCTTTTCACACGACACCTCATAGGATTAGTGTGCTGTGGAGGAATACTGTGCCTTTCTCTTATCTATGCTTCTTTTATTTCCTGTTTAGTTGTTTCATTTCTCACACTCCCTTACCCATTGTCGGTCTCCTTTTTGACCAATAAATATTATAACTTTTATTCAAAGTTAAACATCCTCTAATCCATATTGGACATGAATCATTTTCAGTCCTGACAAAATATTTTGAGAATATTCAGAATATCTGCTGTTAAAATCTTCAAGTGTCAGACCTGGTATTGGTATTCAAAACACGCACTACTCAAATCCTGTTTCTGTTCTTTGCTCATAGTGATTCATATTGTAATAACTGTCAGATAATGAGGCCTGTTGTCCTGTGCAGGCCCTAAAAATACAGTAAAACCTGTTATTGTAAGAAATTGATAGAAAAAGTAACATCACATTATTCGCTTGTGGGGGCGAAATAAATCCGCACAAATTTTAAGTGTCAAGTTCGACTACAAAAACACACCAGTCCGTGTGTGAGTTGCACCATCGACGTCTATTTAACCTCCTCTGTTGGAGTTAAAACTGCTGAGCGTGGTGATGATAAAAATAATAATAATGATAAAATCTTCTTATCAAACACAAGAAAATTAATAAGCATATTTCTGAAATGTTTAAGTATTCTTTGAACTAACCGCTTAAAACTACTTTGATTGGACAAAGATGAATGCAACACTCTGCCGTACGTATATCGAAAATATCACTATTAATATATTATTAATAATGGTTTCACCATGTCACCCGGTTATGTATTACTTTGTCACTTACACTCTTACTCTTATTTTGACAATGTTGATCTGTTGAGAGCTTTCACAATTGGATTACTTCTATGCAACAAAGTTACACTCGGCAGGACATCACAGCGTGTTGTGAACATGCATCTTCAACACAAACCAAATGTCTGGTCGTCTCAACGCTCGATCAAAACGCCAGCATGGACGAGGCTGGTCCTCTCCTCGAACACACGTAACTGTACGCGGTTACATTAACAAGGGGAAAGTGGCAATTTTAGTTGATTGATTGTTATGTCAGTAGGGGGAATCTCCTTAAAAAGTTGTCTGATTTAAAAACATATTGGATCCTTTACCTTTTTTTTTGATTCATTAAAAACAAAATAAATAAAACGTTATGTTAGTTTTCTTTGCACCAAACGCTAAAAAAAATCCTAAAGGGAGAAATGTAGTGCTTACATACTTATAGTCTAACTTTTGTTTCTTTCTTGTGTAAAATTAAGATCTACAAATGTTGTTATGACACTAATGTAGCCTGTGAAGGTTGCTGGTGAGGAGCAGCGGTTTGTTGAGGTTGCAGTTGGTGACCGTTTACACTGAGTTATGTGCAGTTTAAACATTCCTTTATTTTTTTGAGGAGGAAACCATCCTGAGCTGCTAGCTGTCCATTTAAAAAAAAAAAAGAAAGAAAAAAAAGATCTATACTGTCATAGTGAAGCACTTTTTGATGTCTTCTTATTCCTTTTCAGTATTGTGGATGCTATTTTTGTTTGTTGAATATTTCTTGTTTGACGTTTTGTTTACCAGATATATTGGTATAAATACTTTTCTTTTATTGGCTCTTGCGTTATTTAGCCTTTAAGTAGCCATTGTAGTGTCTTTGAGATTGAGTTATGACCTTATGAGCGTATTGTTTTTGAAATACCAATAGTTTACAGAGAGCTTGGAGATGGATATCTGTACAAATAATAGCACAGCTTGGTTTTTTTTGTTTTGTTTTTAGGATTAGGATTTGTTTTAAAACTATTAAACATTAGTTTAATTCGATCAGAGGAAAAGAGATATCTGTCAGCCGTGTTGCTGTGTTCTCGTTGATCTCCTTGAGATCTGAATGACATGAAACTTATTTTTGAAGTTTGCATTTACCCTGTTGTATTGAAGAAAGAAGAAAAAAAAAAAAGAGAGTCATCAGACTGAAGTCTCCTTTCCAAATAGAGAAGTTGTTGTTAACTTGCTACTGGTCTTGATTCGAAGTTAAGTCTGAATCTGAAAATCGGTGACAAACTTGCCCACATTTTACAATGTTAGCTCTGCAGAGGCTGCGGAGCGTCATATTTACACACCAGTGGATGTTTAACTGTATTTATTGTGTACAAATAAATGTGAAATAAAGATAGCTTAAATGAAACAAACAAGCCTTTTTATTGTATGTTTGAGTTTGTACTTGCCTTTCATCCTGGTATGTTTGGTATGTGGATGCACTTTTTAGTGTGTGTGTGTGTGTGTGTGTGTGAGATATCAGAGCGCCCTCTCATTGTCCATATTAACACTTCATGCAGATGTACATCCTGCATCTCTTCCCCATTGACAAATCTGAAGTTTGGGCCCATAAGAACTGCAGTATGTGTTTTAAATCTATTTACAGCAAGTCGTCTATGCATTCTCCGGCCCATAAACAAACTCTAAACCTCACAACAAACATGCAAATGTGTGGGACATTTAAATGAAAAAGTTTCAGATTAATAATAATAAAAAACTATATATTCATTTGCAGCTGTTTTATCGAACAAACGGAATAAAATGGCGTCGGCTGGCTGCGTGGATAAGAGCGCAGTCATATGAAGATCAATGAAGGTGATAAGTCAAATAAATTTAAAAAACGATCACCCCGATGACAGTGAACGCATCGCAGTGAGCAGAAATTAAAACTGATTATCAATGACTCGTTTGTTTACATTGCCGTTTTAACCACGAACAGTTGTCAATTTACAAATTATACAAATGCATTCATCCTGTCAGGCCTTTCAAAGTAAATCACGCTTATTTAACTCAACATAAAACCCTGTAAGAAAACTAAAACTAAATCCGTGTCCTGGTGCGTATTTCCTGTACTGTTACAGCTAATATTTGAAATATATACCGTATGTTAGTGCTGTCCCGAAAATTACAAATTTTAATTTTTGTTTCGAATCGCTGTACATCCGGTTTCAGTGTTGCTAACTCCGGCTAGCTTTACCGCAAAGACTTCTGGGCCGTTATTTTCTTTCCCGCGGTGCATTGTGGGTCCTCATTCTTTCACTGCGTGAAGTTACGTCAAGTTAAATAATTTATAATAAAACACAAAAAAAACCACAGCAGAAATCACGTTATGACCTTAAAGGAAACCATATTATTTATCACACATAGGTTGGGGAGGGGAAAGACTACGTCAACCCTTTTTATGTGTTTAATCTCATGTTGGCTCTTAAGGGTAATTTAAATACATAAATAGAAATTATATTTAAAAATATACTGTTAAACAAAGTCTGTTTTTACTAGTATACAGGTGTATAGTTGCATGTATTCTATTTTATTTATATTTATTTTTTATCACGTATTTTTAATAATCTTGTATTAAGTTCTTGCTCTGTAGTTAAATATTTCAGAACTTAATTGATTTCAGACCTTGTAAAAAATCCTCCATCTTTCCAACATCAAATAATTAGGGTTTAAAACAAATGGCAACCTGCTTAAAAAACACAATTCGATAAAATAACGATACAAAAACTTAACAAGATCTAACTAATAATGAATTAAGAACATTTGCTTAGATTGAAGATATATGATATTGGTATCAGATTTTTTTTATATATGTGCATACATATATTTGCAAATGAGATTACAGTTAACAGAATACATAAACTGAAGTCTGACTGAGGTTGACAGAAATTGAGGCCAATAAGTGGTTTGACCAAAGGATAAAATTGCATTTCAACTGTATAGGTAGATAAATAATTCATTATATTAGCAACTAGAAATTAATTAAAAGAGTGTGAGTTGAACTAAAGGCTGTAAACACATCTGAAACACACTAAAATCAGTTAATAATAAAATAATAAAGTGTATTTTAGGTTCATGCCTGTTAAAGTGAATAAAATAGCTACTCTCAACACTGACCTCTGCTGGCGTTGCAAGAAGGGCAAAAGGTTCTTCTTTCCACGTAGTTCGAGGATCCATAAAGATAAACATTTTCTGGGAAAATGTGACAAAGTCCCTGATCCACAAAATAGCTCTTACTGTCGCTTGTGATCCATTGATGTATAACCGATATACTGGGTCAAACCTTAACAAACACTAATCTAGTGGTCATGAACACTCAATATTGTCTGTGTCTTTTTAAGAACACTATAAAATTGCAACAAAACGAGATGAATATATGGATCAAAAATTTTGATCCATATATCCACAGATTTGAAAAGAGAAGTAAAAACAGTAATTAAGTTAAATGTGCAAATTGTCAGTATTTAAAGGAATTATATGTAATAATAATTATTATTATTATATATATTACATTATTATTTCAGTATTAGACTTTTTAAATCAAAAAAGGGCTGGGGAGAAATATACAAGTTATTTTACAATGTTTATATGTATAATGGTGCACTGATATACAACAGCAGTGAACTTAAAAACAGGATAAATAAATTAATCATTAACAAAAAAGAAAATTTAAAGCCTTGAGTAAAGGAATGTGAGTTTTATTACTTAAGGAAACTTTACTTGAAAGCATCATAAGTAAAATGATTTAATATGCAAAAAAACGTGTTATAATATTAGATATTATATAATTGGATTACCCCACGACCCTGTACGCAGGATAAGCGGTTGAGGATGGATGGATGGATGGGTAATTGGATTATTATTACTGATGCATAAACATGCAAGAAGCATTTTAATGTTGTAGTTGTTCAGGATTGAGCTCATTTTATCTACTAGATCATATTTTATATGTTCATCTGTTTCCAGATGTTTTTTCTGTATATTGGCGTCAGATGTCATTGTTATTATATATTGATTGTATATAGTCTTTATACAGTGTGTATATTATTTATACATCTATGTAAGAAATGCTAATTATTCTACTTTTATTGTATCTTGTTCTTTACGTTCCTCTGTGCTGCTGTGCCAACATGAATTTCAACATGAAAATCTTATATTATTTGATTTGTGTCTGAGATTTCTTATTCAAAATATTTTTTTTTCTGTCTGACTTCACACAAATTAACAAAAAAATTTGAAAATAAATAAATACCTGAATTTTATTTGCAGTCCTGTGACTTTAAACTGTAGATTTAAAAAGATTTGTTCCACGCTTTATTTTGTTAACACCGGAAGTGCTTTGTCTTATTCCGGCTGACTTGACACTGGTGTGGAAAAGATGGCTGCTTCGGCGGCAACGGCGAGTTCGTCCCCCGGTTTGTGTCCGAATTACGCCGTGATTTGCTCCTTCCTGGAGAGGTACGGAGCATTGCTGGACTTGCCGGAGCTCACCTTTCCCCAGCTGGAGAGATATCTGCAGGACACATCCTCAGGTAGGGCAGAAAAACACCCAGTTGCTAACGGGAGGAGGAGAGACTTCACCATTGCTTTAAAGATAATGGTAACCGTGCTAACAGGCTAGCATCTGCGTTAGCTAGTCGTGTGTTATTGTGTGGTTTTCTAACCTTCTTGTTTACTTCAATACAAGTTAACCGCGTCCCAGAGCTGCCGTTCGAGGTGGAAAACGTATCTATGTTTACTTAAATAATTATTAACGGGCGAGCATGCCGAATTACTCGGTGTTTTCTCTCACTTTTTAGCTTTTGAATAGGGCTTAATTTTTTCCAAGCAGCCTTTATCTGCCGCTGTAACGAGACTCGTAACACAACACAGGCAGAGATGTGTGGTGATAGTAGTGCTTGCGGGCCAGTGAAGATGGCGATAATTCATGCAATACGTCGTGCATTTTGATAATGTATCAGTGAAGATGTCGTTGCCTGTGACGGGCATGCGATGTGCACTTTATTTACAGTTAAAATATTTTGCCATGTAGTGGTTCGCACAGTTTGTCAAGTCGGCGGTAACAACAACAACAACATTAATTTCCGGTGAAAGCTTTCAAAATAAAACATTTTTTCACGCTCAAAACGTGATCCTGCGATTGAATAGCATACAGCTGTATTCACTGTGCATTGATTAACTATTTTAAAGCCTATATGTATTATTTCCACACTTTTACATATACATTTTACCGTAATGACCAATCTTCTTGTATGTACGTTTATGTTAAGGCATAATCATTGTACTTCCGTTTTAGTTGCTTATTATGGTTGACTTGACTTTGAAGTCTTCCTGATTAACTCATATTTTTCTCCTCGCGTTGACATCTGCTCCGTTCAAATCAACTCCCTCTTAATGTGCTTTAAACACCAACCTGTTAACACTGTTTGTTTAAATTAGTAGTGTAGCTCGACCTTCCACCGACATTATTTTCAGTGGCCATCTTGGAGAAGCACTAGAGTTTTTGCAGGGACTGCTGTAGATCTGGTGCACGTATTTTAGAATAAAAAATGTTGCTTTCTATTGCGGATTGACGAGCCATCATGGGGCACAATGTCAGATCTTTTTTGAATAGTTTGCATTTTTGTTACTACCGTAAATCTCAAATAGTGCCCTAAGCTGCAGAAGGCCTTTATTTTGAAGCAGGCTTATATGAGAGACAGGCCTTTTATTTTTAATTCTCTATGTTTCCAATGCATCTTTGCTCTTATTTTAGTACTAAGCCTCCCTGTTTCCTCATCTTTTCCCGTTAGACCTGTTAGATTTTTGTTACAACATTACACTGTTAATTAAACTCAAACTTCCTGTATACGTTTCAAATTAAAAGCCCCCCTGGTGTTTCTTTGGACAGATTCTCTTAATTTCCTGACAAGATATTTATTGTGAAACACTTGCAGGACATGTGCAGTTTTGATAACAACAGCTGAACTTGATCAAAGGAGGACAAAGCAGAGAGTGGATCAGAATGAATGAATCAAAATTTAAACACAATCACTGTATCCTTTTGAGCCCTGCAAAAATACATTTATTGGAAAGCATATTACCTTAAAACAAAGTGTATTTCAGTAGATTAAAGTAGTAAATCAGTTCAAAAAGTGTTTTTAAAAGTTAAATTGTCATCAGTGCCATGTAAATCTACACAAAGGATACATTTCATTTGTGTGAAGTGTGAAAGCTAAAACATCATCACAACCTGCCTTGATAAATGAAACCGTGTAATTACACGTCGTCACTATCCTCATAAACCAAACTGCCCTCTGCACACTTTCCACACGTTACTTTTGCTGCTAGCAGCTCAATAACTGTTGTCTGCAGACACTAATTTACCACCAGACTCCATTCACTGAAGTGCAAGTTTGTCTGCCCACTTTATTTTGACAGTTATTTTTTACTATACTTTATATACAAACTAAAATACTATATATATCTTTACTTTGGTTCTTATTCATGCTTCATTTTGTTTATAGTAGTTGCTCTTAATGTATATTGTATTGGGTGTTTTAAAGTTACTTTTCTCTGCATCTGTTTTTGCACTTCCGCTCCTGTGATACTTGAATTTACTTGCAAAGAAAGCAACACTTTCCTGATTTCTTTAAAATGAATCTTTTTGGGCGTGTGAATCTTTTATTTTTTCACATCGTCTTTCTTATGTTTCCTCAGTTCCAAAGCTGCTGGTTGATCTTCACGTCAAGTTGCTGAGGAAGATCGGCAAGTCAGTGTCAGCAGACAGATGGGAGAAATATCTAGTAAAGGTAAATTTATTAACTGTATTAAGCTGTTCTTTTCACATAATGCACGTGTAATAAAATGTAATAGAACAATATTTGTTTTTGGAAAATGGATACAGTCTTCTGTTTGGTAGCATTTAGAACAAAACTAACACACAGTTAATTAATAAAACCAACAAAGTTATATCTGTATTGATTATTTATTATTATTATTTATTATCATCAACATGTTAACGCTGTAATTCTAAGCTACGATAAAACCATGACTTTTCTTGACTTGCAAAATTACCTTTTTAAATCGACAAACATCATGTGTGTAATTCAGTGCACATATTTACTTTATTCCTGAGAAAAATACCAGCTAGTCTCTAACTTTGTCTGTCTGCTGATAAGTGGTGGGCAGGTAGTGTACCGCTGCACTCACGAGGCCGATATATCATACTAAATGACAGCAAATCTAATCTAACACCATCACTAGGTAGCATTTAATATTTATAGTTATACTGTGGAGAATAATGCAGCTGAATGATGTGAAATATACAGCATAACACAATGTACTTTCCTATTTCATTAATTAATAAAAATTAATTCTACAATAACACATTACTGGCTAACATGACATGTATATTATTTTGTAATTGGAATAATCGACTTTCTGATATCGGCATTATATGTCTGCCACCAGCTGCCCTACTCTCTAAATATCGGCCATTAAAAACCTGTATCAGTCGACCACTAATATTAAAAATATTGATTTGTGCTGCTTCACAACCAGTGGAGAAATATTTCCAATTACATTTAGACCATCATGAGGCTCTCAGACTGTCCATTAAAACCCTGCTTATAATTACTGTAACACTTAAAGGTGCATTTACGAAATTGGTCCTGATTTCTCCTCAGCCTGCAGAGAAGAAACAGCTGAAAACTAAAATGTTCAGCTTTAGCCGAGGCTGTCAGGGAGATTTTTTTTTGTTATTGTTGAGGTCAGAAGTTCATGGTATTTTCCATCCCTTTCCACACATTGTTGGTGAGAGGTATTTGAAATGGTGTTTGAACCACAACATCATCTCAGCTTGTTGTTTTAGGTAAATAGACATTTACATTCAGGTTTGAATAAACTTTTCACGGGAAAAAATGTGGCCGTCTGCATGAGCGAGTCTAACAGTAAATCATAAGTAATGGATTTCACATTAAATATTTCTCATTTTCCTTGCAGGTATGCCAAGAGTTCAACACCACCTGGGCATGGGAACTCGAACAAAAAGGATACAAGGAGATGTCGGCGGAGTGCAAGACGGGGATACTTAAAGTAAGCTCACTGTTTTTGTTTTTTATTGATTTTGCTTTTAGAATGGTTTCAAAGAAAAAGGGTTTAGTCAAAGTTTAAAGAAAGAAGCACAGGTGTAGCTGAAGGTGTTTTCACTTGTCAGAGCAGGAAAAGCACAGTGTGATTTTAGTGAAGTGTAATTTATAGTGTTAGTGATGGCTGATTTCCATTCAGGGCGGTGTTTGAATCACTCCCAATTTACTGTTTAGTGAACTATCTCTCCACTATTTTTTTTGAGTATGAAATTTATCCACTAAATAGTGCCCTAAAAACTCCCACGATAGAACGAAAACTGAGGCCATGGCATGTTAGCACTCATATCTTATCATCTTGTCAGCGCTCTTGTCTCAAACCTAGCTTGGCATCTCTGCAGTTTCTTGTCAGCTGACATATGCAATGATACGATCGGCAATACGCTAATATGGCTGATTTATTTGTCTAGCTCTATTTTTAATAACACTGTAATGCCTGATGTCTCCTTATGCCTGATGGATATTTTTAAGTATTAAATAGGGCTGCAACTATCGATTGTTTTAGTCGTAAAGAAAATTAGACAGGCCTCTTAAATTGAACAACTAATTGGTTTCCTTTTTATAAAAAGCTGGCTTTTTGTTGCTTTATAATAATATTATTTCTCAAAACTAAACCCAGTTAATGCATTTAAGTACTATATTACAATCTGTGCTTTTAAGGAATTGTTTCAGCCCTGGTATTGAATGACAGTAAGTCAACAAATGCGTGTATAACAACCTGGAAGCAGAGGGGAGACTGTTTTGCTGTTCCAGGGTTGTAGTTGTAGCTAACTTAAGGGTTAACCCCAAGCGGGAAGCTTCCAGTCTGAGACGTGAATCCAACGCGGAAGTCTCATAAACCTGCATTCTATTGAACGGCCAGCAGGGGGCGGCGCTTCTGGTTGCGAAAAAAGTCAGGGATTTAAAGGGTGACGGGACGATGACAAAGTTTACTGGCTTCTCACTGACCCGCCCTCCTCTGCTTCTGATTGGCTAACTAGGAACTGCGCATGTGCAACTCCCAACAAAGATCATTTTGAGTTAGCTAAAACGAAGCGTTCAACACAGGGTGAAAAGAGGAGCTGCAGCAATGTGCAGTATGATATTTTTTGAAAATTGAACCATGTAAACCTGTTCTGGTAAAACCCCTAAAAATGATTATGAGCCTGAAAATGAGCATAATACCGCCTCTTTAACTCCACACTTGGAATGAATTTTTGACTCACCGTCTTCTTTCTGCAGTATTTGTGCGAGTGTCAGTTTGATGAAAACGTGAAGTTTAAGACTGCTATCAATGAGGAGGACGCAGATAAAATGCGGCTGCAGCCGATTGGCCGGGACAAAGACGGTCAGATGTACTGGTTTCAGCTGGATCAAGACGACAATGTGCGCGTTTATGTGGAGGAACAGGACGACTTGGACGGGTCATCGTGGAAGTGCATCGTCAAGTAAGTGATTTTTAATCGAACAAATATGCGTTAGGAGCTGTGAAACTGGAAATGAAATGCTTATTCGTTCTATAAAAGCAGGTACTGTTATTTGCTCTGTAAAGGGAGTGGTTATATTCATCCACTCTTTTCTCCCTATAGAGACAGAAATGACTTGGCTGAGGTTGTGGCACTGCTGAAGACACAAATTGACCCAGCGCTATTAAAAAAAGAGCAAGAACAGGAAACCAAACCTGACAGTGAAGAGGATAAAGAGAAAGCAGAAGGAGGTTTTTGTGAATTTTTTTTGGTACCTTCCCCCCCCCCCCCCCCCCCACAGTTATATGACCCTAAAAGTTGAAACCGAATCAGAATCTTGATTCCCACCCTTTGTCTTCTATTATCTACAAGCAGTGATTTGATATTTTTACTTATTTGCATCACAGGTGACGTTAAAAAGATTGAGGACACATCAGATGAAGACGACAAAGACTCCAACAAGGCTGCCTGTCCGGTTTCACCAAAGACAGAGAATAATGAAAAAGTAACACCGAAAGACAGCTTGAAATCAGAAGCGTCTGCGGCCAAATCATCGCTGAATGGCATCATTGAAGATAAAACTGAATCAGAACTCTGTTCAGAAAAGCCGGCTGTGGATCTCAGTATCAGTGCAAAAGCCCAGAACATCAAAGAAGAGCCGATGGAGGTGTCGGACACTAAAACCAGCACAGCAGCAAGTGAACCTGCCTCTGAGGTGCCATGTAAATCTGTAAAGGCAGAAAAGGGCGAGGAGACCAAGAAGAACAGCGCAGAGGAGATTCAACAAGCTCTGAAGAACGACCAACAGGCCAAAATCCCTTTGAAAAAAAGAGGAATGAAGTTTAGTGAAGACTTTGAAAAGAATAGTGGCATTATAGTGCAAAACCTGTCTGCTTCTCAGGTCAAGGAAACTCTTAAAGTTGACTCAACTCCCGAACAGGCAAAGAAGGCGCAGAGTGTAAATGATCATGTTAATGGCGAAGTTCAGCCGGCATCAGAGAAAGGGCTGCAGAGTCATTTGCGTGAGTCGCTAAAAGACGCTGCCGCCGACAAAGAGCAGACGACTGAACCAGCTGCAGGTAAATCCGTAGAAGCCAGAGAGAAGGACTCGCCATCCGCAGATGAGGATGGTTCGAAAGATGAAAAGGATGAAGCTTGTCGTGTAGAGAAGGTCACAGGGGGAGTCAAATCACACCAAGCAGACTTGGACAAGAAAAATGTAGATATGCAGGTAGAAAAGGAAAGCACTGCATCAAAAGAAAAGGAAGAAACGCACAAGTCTCCCCCGCCACCAACTGAACCGCCACTTTTACAGAAAGACGTTAATAATGTACTTGAGAGGTCGTCTAATCATGAGGAAAATCAAAAAATAAAAGAATCCAAACCAGCAGATACAGAGGAGTCTGGTGCCGTAGACAAGACGACCACATTAAATGAAACCGATAAAACGTTAACAACAGGTGAGTCCGATAAAGTGAAATCCAAAGAAGTTGAATCAGAAGATTTGAAGAAAAAGCCAGCCTCTGCAGAGTCAAATCAGACTGAAGAAACAAAGACGTCAGAGATGACAGAAAATCTAACAGATATGAATGCTAAAGAAAAAACGACGCCGGAGACTAAAGAAGAGAAATCTGATAACTCAGCACTGAAAGAGAAGCTGGGAGTTGTCAAAACAACGGAGACACAGTGTGTAGACAAAGATCCTGCAAAGAAATCTGAGTCTGAAAATGCCACGTCACCGTCTGTCATTAAAAAGACAGAAATACTAAAAGGCAGTGATTATACGGAGACCCAAGTGGCCTCAGAAAGTTCTAAGGTCATTAAAAAGGCAGATAAACTATTAATCAGTGAGAAATCAGAAGAAACATCCAACGCTAAAGACAGTTCAGAGTCTTCTGTTAAAAATCTGGACAAATCAGAATCATGTAAAGAGATGACTTCAGAGAAAGCTAGAGCAGCCGAGACGAACGCTGAAAAGATGGAGAAGACTGAAAAGCCTGAAGATATAAAGAAAACTGTCAACTGTGACAAAACGATACCTGATGTTGGCAAGATAAGCGAATCTTCGCCCGGGCCTGTGGAGGTAGAAGCAGTGGCCGTTAAACACAATCTGACAAAGCCACAAGAGGATGACAAAACTGAGATGAACCCAGTTGCCCACAAGAAGGCAAAGGAAGCATCTGAAGGGAAAGATAAGCCATCCAACGTTGTTCAGAAGACAAACGTCCCTGAAGAAACTGATAAGACACCTGAAAAGCCAGAACAGAAAAAGGCGTCTGAAGAACAGCCTATAAAAATTGTGGCAGAGCATCCATCATCTGAAAGTAAAAAAGATGCCGACAAGGAAAATGTGAAGGACACAGATAATGAAAATCTTAAAAAAGACAGTGAGAAACTCCAAGAAAGTAAAGTGGATTCCACGACAGATAAACTCTCTCAAACGCAAGAGGAAAAGGAGGAGAAGCACAAAGGTAAAGAGAGTGAAACCTCAACCAAAATGGAGGAAAATGAGAGCAAAGAACCTGACAGCAAATCCTCAACTGAAACGGAGAAAGCGGGCGACTCGAAAGAACCTGGCACTGAGCCGACTGTAGAGGAAAATAAAAACCAAAGTGAAGAAGAGGAGTCTGCAACAAAGAAAGAAGCTCCGTCAGATGCTAAGGATTTGGGCACCCGACGGAAAATCAAGCGCCCAGCCCACCGAAGGAAAGCTGAACTTCAGAGAGAGGAGAAACACGGGGATTCAGAGTCTGATACAAACACGGGGAGGTGTCTTCGAAGATCGCCGAGGATCTCCAGACCGACGCCAAAGGTGGTGGAGATCCATGACAGGAAGCTGGAGAAATCGCAGGCTGTTCCACCGGCCGGGAAGCGCGAGGAAGATAAGGGTGAGAAAGAAAAAGACAAGGAGGACGAGGAGGAGGAGGAGGAGGAGGAAGAGGTGGTGAAGGCTGTTCAGAAGAAACCAAGAGAGAAAAAGGCTGATCAGGAGGGGCAGCCCAAACCAAAGGTAAGATTGCTCTCTGGGTTGCACTATTTAAATCTTTCTCAAAGCATTATTTATGAAGGTAGCAGTAAATGTTTAATAAGAGAAGGTATGCATGTTTTAAACAAAACAAAAAAAAACCCCAACCATCTGTTTACACGTTTTAAAAGGGCAAGATTGAACGAATCCAAGCACCCTCTTCCAGAGGTGGGAGTAAAAAAAACAAAACAACTTACTTTAATTAAATATTTATATATATATATATATAGTATCATCATGTCACTTGATTATTATGAATCATGCATTCATGTAAAAGCAGGATTTTACTGTTACAGCAGTTATAAAATACTTTGCATGTTTATAAATAGTTATAATAATAATAAACTTTATTTATATAGCACTTATCAAAGAAACAACAAAACATACAAAATACAAAAAATAACCTCGTGGGTAATAAGATACAGGGAGAGATAAGATACAGAATGAAAGAACAAGGATCACAATAGAGTATAACAAAGATGTTCAGTAGGACATAGGAAAGCTAAGACAAGGAAACAAAGTGATAAAAACGGTAGGGCAACAATAGTAAAATGACTGGCAGCTCAGATAAAATCTGCAAATGCTTTCTGGTAAAAGTAAGTTTTTAAAAGAAGAGGCTGACCCTGCCAGCCTAATTTCCTCAGGCAAGTCGTTCCAGAGCCTCGGGGCCCTGACAGCAAATGTTCGGTCACCTTTCATTCTTAGTCTGGATCCAGGAGTAGACAAGAGGCCCTTGCCAGAAGATCTTTGACCATGAGAAGGCTCATAAGGAGTTAAAATATCTAAAATATAATCAGGAGCCAGGCCATGAATAGCCTTAAAAGTAATGAGTAAATATACATTCCAACACTGCCCTCTGCTGGACCACGAGTCAAACTACTTCAAACGGTCCGTTGCGTTTATAGACTGCACATTTCAAATATAATTGATTTTCCCATGTTCAGATAAAATTTTGAATAAATAGCGACAGCCGTAACTTACACATCTTAGTTTGTAGGTCTGAAACTAGTGGGCGCACTGGAAGGTTACAACAACAATAATGTCAGGATGCAGGATTTTCTGAGCTGTCCTTTGACTAGTCTGCTCTGTCGAAGGTCAACATGCTGTGCTTGTTTTAGGGGAGAAAGAGACGGAGGAATCGTTGGTCCAACACACGAACGCGTCGCAAAAAGAAAGGCTCCGAAGATGAAGATGACGACAACAGCGAGGAGGAGTCCAGCGAGGAGGAGGAGACCGAGGAAGAGGACGATAGCGACGAAGACTACAAGGTCGAGCGGAGCAGAAAGAGGCGGAATCGTAACCGAGAAAGACGAAGCTCGGACTCCTCGACATCCTCAGACGACGACCTACCTCCGAACGACGACCCCTGCAAACATTGTGGTCTTCCAAATCACCCGGAGCTGGTGGGTACTCACAGGATCTAATAACTGTACCAACGTATTTTAAACACTTAGAATAAAGAGTATTTATTATTAGAATTAATTAGCAGTTAAGTAGGTGAATTACAGGAAGATGAAAGGGAAGTGGACGAGACGGAAGACAAAACTAAGATAAGTTACTGTATAATCTGCAAAGTAAAGTTTCCCAGAGCTCAAGGTGACTTCTTCAAATGTTTTTGTTCAACCAACTGTCCAAATCCCATAATATTCATTTTACAATCAAATCAGACAGAGATAAGCAACAAATCCACATATCTGTGAAGATGGAGCCAAGGAGAAAAGTGATGTAAACGCTGAATCAATTATCGAGTTAACATCTTGAATCATCTCCTTTCCAGATTTTGCTGTGCGATTCGTGTGACAACGGGTACCACACAGCCTGCCTGAGGCCTCCGCTCATGATCATCCCCGACGGAGAATGGTTCTGTCCACCCTGTCAGCATGTACGTACTGTCAGCACTGCAGATTAAAGCAAAACCTTTGAAGACCCATAATAGGTTTAACTTTACGTTTATCCCCTCTGTAGAAGCTTCTTTGTGACAAGTTAGAAGAGCAGCTCCAAAATCTCGACGCTGCTTTGAAAAAGAAGGAACGGGCTGAGAGAAGGTGAGACGTTTGGTGCCTTTTAGGGATTTGACACCCACTGTGTTTACCTACTGTACCTAATCAAGTCAATATTTCTTTATATTGTGATGGTTTGATAATTCGGTCGACTCAAATATCAGCTCCTTCACAGTAAAAGCTTTACGGTGCTGACAACATTTGAACATGTCTGTCACTTATTGTTTCAGCAACAAATAGTGAAGAATATTTTGGTTTGGGTTGGTGTGATTTATATAACACTTAATTTACTTTGAGGTGAAGCGTGCATTCAGAGAGGTCGTGTTCACTAGAGTTATGTGATGTTTGGCTTTCCTAATGTGTGTCATCTCCTCCAGGAAAGAGCGTCTCATTTATGTTGGAATCAGTGTTGAAAACATCATCACGCCTTCAGTAAGTACAGAGTGTGGTTCCACATTTTTACCAGATAAATATTCACCTGCTTTTGTTTGTAACTTACACCGTCGCTCCTTACAGGTGGAAGTAGAGGAGGAAAAGCCAGAGATCATAATCAAAGAGAAGAAAGAACCAAAGCGGAGTAAGAGCTGTGGTCGAAGGTCTACGAGGGCGAAGAAATCCATCAGCTACAGGTCTGAGACGTACTTTCATGAATAAATTGCTCTACTTTGGGGAGTGTTTGTATGAAGCTTTTCACATTCAGTGGTTCTTGCGGTTGTTAAGATGATTTGGTGCAAGTTTAAGACTACAAAAAAAACATTCAGAAAGGTATACTCTATAAAATAAAACACTTTATTGAACCCCGGGGAAATGTTACAGCAGCACAGAGACAAAGAGGTTAGAAAACAGATACTATTTGAATCAAATAAATCAAAATAAACATTATTAATTTAGGTAAATTAGAGAGATTACATTAAAAAGCTATATACTGTGCATTATGTACAATTGGTCCAAAGCCATGCCTTTACTATATATAATATTAGTACATAGGTATGCATAATGTCAAAATATATAGTATACGTGCAGTGTATATAGTATATGTGTGTGTGTGTGTATATGGAAATGGAACAGAACAACATACTTGAGGAAAAGTAATGCCAATTAAGCATATAATATAAACACACTAATAACAATGTGGTAATAAAACGCAATGTAATGTAGTATTAGATATTTATACACCTGATAAATTTAATGCATCTTTGTTAGCAGCCAATGCTAATTAGCTAGCCTATCATTTTCTTTTCTCCTAGCGCCAGTCTGGAGCAGTTACTGACGGCAGAGCTGCATGTGGTCGGCTTTTTGTACAGGCAGCACAGAATTTGAGAAAGGCAGCTGCAGGAAAAAAGCCGATGTACTGATGAAGCGCGACCTGATCTACATCCCATAAAATGGAACTCTTGTCTATGTCGATGTTCATTTTACAGATTTGATGAATTCGATGAGGCGATCGAGGAGGCGATTGAGGAAGACATCAAAGAAGCTGAGGGCGGAGGTAGGAGGGATATGAGTTAATTGTCATTTTGGAAATTATTTTTTAATTATTTAAATAGTATAAACTCAGCACCAACATTTCTGAAGCTCACTAATTCATATAAACAACAATAAGAAATAGTCTAGCATGCTAGATTTTTGTACGGATTAAACAAACGAGATATAATTTGTTAATTAATGAGATTTAGAGGTTTTACTTTTTGACAGAGCCGCACTGTTTCCCTTTATTTAATGTCTTTATGCTAAGCTAAGCTAATCGGCTGCTTGCTCTAGCTCCATATTTTGAGTACAGATATGAAAGTTTTCATCTAACTCTTGGCCAAAAAGCAATAAGTTTATTTCCCAAAATGCCTTTTTTTTTAAGAGCTGAGAAGTTCATGAGTGGTGTTTTTCACAGGAGCCGGTCGGGGTAAAGACATGGCCAACATCACAGGCCACAGAGGAAAAGATATATCCGCCATCCTCCAAGGAGAGGAGGGCAAGGAGAACGGCCGCCCGCCACGTTCCACCGCCGGTCAGCGCAGGAAAAAACGCCGGCGACTAAACGACCTGGACAGCGACAGCACCGTGGACGAGGAGGAAAGTGAGGAAGAGTTTCGCCTCACTGAAAGGTAGGAATAGAAAGACTAAACCACATTTGACAGCAGAGAGTGACATTTAGGCATAATTAACTAATCTCACACCTGCTAGCTTGTAGCTGAATGCTGAACTCTGTGAAAGATGTACCCTTACATTTATGAATTTGTTAATTCTTCCGTGGCTGGATGCAGCTCAGAAGAAGAGTTTGTAGTGTCTGAAAATGACACGGAGGGTGAAACGGAGGCGGACTCAAACAACAGCGACTTCGGCAGCAACAGCAGCGGTAAGCATCGTACTTATTCGCGGACCAAGAAGCCGCCGAAGCGACGACGAAGTTCCAGAAAGCGGCGGAGACCGAGAGGGTACTCAGATGATGAAGAAGAGGAGACAGACGACGAAGATGAAGATGAAATAGGTATATAGATTAGTAGTAGTAGTTAGTATATGAGTAAAATTATGGGTAATAATAATTACAAAATAACTGATAACATGAAAGTCTAACCACTCCTCTGGTCAGGACCTGTTTCATTGTATGGTCATGTGGTCTGTGCCTTTAAACTCTTTTTAAGTTGGCCTTGATAAGGTGGAATATCCTCACATTTGTAATGCCTTATTATTTTGTGCGTGTGTGCCTAGTGACTGAAGGGTCCAGTGAGTTCAGTGACAGTGATCTAGACATGAGTCGACGGCGGTCTCGACGGAGTCAGAAGAAGCAGGTGAACTACTGCGAGACATCCGAGTCCGAAGGCTCTCAGGCAGAAACCAACCGGGCCAAAATGAAACCCAGACGTCGCCAGGACAGCTCTGACAGTGAGGGTCAGTCAGAAACACAGTACATTTGAAGAACTGGCTATGACCCAGGATTTTGACCTTTTGATTTGATACCACAATGCTGCTAATAATAATAATACACTTGTCGTCCAAATATTTAACAAAATTACAGTATATTAGAATCCAGTCAGGAATTTGTACCTGAGATTAAGGCTGCACGATTAATCTAATGGCGATGTCGTCACAAAAAGTGTGATTTAATAAAACAGAAAAGGTGTGTGTGAGACACTGTCTTCGCTGTGTATGCTGACTTGGTTAGGTTTAACAGAGTTGTCTGTACTGTTCCTCAAAGAGATGGTTCAGAATAATTTTTAAAAATGTTCAGAGCCTTTTAGTGAAACCCAACTTTATACATTTAACAGCAGCGGGAGAGAAAGTGGCGAACAGATGCACTTTCAGCAGCAGCATCTCCACAGCTCAGATGTAAAACTGCACTAAAGCTCCTCTTGAAACTCCCAAATAACCATGTTTATATGTAATTTTATGACATTCAGCAGCAGTTGTGCTATGTTGATGGTGCCATTGTATATTTTGGTCAGAAAATAAAGCCTAGATACAGATATAGTTGCACATTAAACTAGTATAAATCTCAAAAGGCTGCGATGAGTTCTCACAAACGATACTGCATCTTTCCTGTTTGTCATAATAAATGACCACCACATGCAGGGAGGAGGTGAGTCACAGTCAGCAAAGATGAACGAAATGCTGCAGGTGTTTTTTCTTTGTTTGGGTTTAATAGGTTTCATTTGATCAGAATGACATCGACTCAGATTCAGTCAGCTGTTTAACAAAAATATATGAACAAGAGTCAGTGTCAGCATATACAATATTACAATATGGATAGAAGTCATCTTTCTGTCATCACTGGCACCTGCTGTTGCTGTGCTAATGGTTTATTAGCATAAACACAGTGTTCCCATAAATAAAAGCGTCTGCCTAATGAGTAAATGTAAACGGTTGTTTAGTATATCAGGGTATTTATGGCTGAACTACATGCAGCTAAAAGTGCCTCTTGTTTTTTTTTTCCCCAGCGAGTTTCTCCAGAGACTCTGAGGAGGATTCGAGGGATCGGAGGGTAAAGAGGAGAGCCGACTCCTCAGAGGAAGATTCCCGGCAGCGGCACAGGCGGCTTGCGCTAAAACGCAGGAGAGCCTCTGAAGACGACGACTCGGACGACGACTCGGACGACTCATCGGAGGAGGATCGGCCCATCCGGAAACGAGTGAATCGCATCGACTCGGATGACGACGAAGAGGAAGAGGAGGAGAAACTGAAGGAGAAGAAAGGGGACGAGGAGTCAAAAGGAACAAACCCTGCGGACTGTAATCCGGTGGAGCTGCCACCCACCAACGGACAGAGCCCGATAAAGAGCCTCGAGGGCCTCATCAGCCGGCCTGCTGCCGCCGCTCCAGGCCTCATCGCAAATCTGGAGCCACCCAAAAACATCAGTGCCACGCCAGCTGCCGCCATAGCCCCAAACGGTCTGGTTGGCCAGGAGATGGCGGCGCAGGAGGATGACGAAGACGACCTATTAGGAGTCACAGACCTAGTGGACTACGTCTGCAATAACGAAGACTTGTAAAAAGAAAACGGTGTACTGTTTCATTTTTTGTGGTATTGTATTTTTATATTGCTTAACTTTATTATTCCCTCCCCCAGCAACACTTCCTCTTTACCTGCGTCATCTGGAGCTGGAGTCTCAGCAATTTCTGCTACTGTCAGAACTGGATCCCCATAACCAGTCTAATGCTGTCCCTGTGGGATTATACAACAAATAAGGGCACCAAACTATCAACTCTCATTTGTTTGTTAATAATCAGTTTACCTACAAATCATCCACATCATGCAGCTCCACTGCCAAACCACCACCTCTTCCAGAAACGTGTCAATCATTTCTCCTGTCACAACCTCCGTTTCGTTCAAGATTTCTACACATTTTAGCTCCTGTGTTTGTCAACATTGATGGAAAATTGGCACTGAAATTGTTTGTGTGGAAACTAGTTTAAGATTGCTAAATGACTGGGACGTTTTAACATTTTATTTGAATGAAATTAGTCATTCCATAATTGATTTTAAGTTCTGGGCATCTGTTAAAAAAATCAATCTTGTTTTTTTTTTTATGTTATCCCTTAAAGATATAGTTTGACATTTTAGGTAAAGAGCTTATTTATAAGAGGCAGAGAATCAGATGAGATGATTGATACCACTCTCATGTCTGATAGCCAGCAGCCAGCCAGCCAGCTTAGTTTAGCACAAAGACTGATTTACTTTTGATACCACTAGGTAGCGCCTTTCTACTTGTCAAACAGCAGTCACAGGAAGACCAGCTGCTCTTTCGTCTGCCTCTAGCTGCTGTGGCTAACACGTGCTATGCTAACAGTAGCTAGTCTGCACACTGAAGCACAGCTAGTTTGTGGGTGCAAAGCCCAACAGCGATGGACTGTGCCCTGGTCCATCACTATTCAGTTCTGTTCTATTCTCAGTCTTGTTACAATTATTTTTACCTTTTAACGTATGAAAACATGAATGTGCTGCATTTAAAGGAAAGGTTTGATTACCATTATATTTTTAGCCAAATAAATACTTTGGGCCACAAAGTCCGCCTACAAACACCTCTGTGGCGCATAATTTAACATGTTATGTCTCATTTGTTAAATCTATGTAAAAATGTAAATTCGTAGACGCAACATCCTCCGTAAAATGTCACATTGATGTTTTTACACTTCAGGTTTTGTATGTATTTAACAAATAAGATATAATGTGTTAGTCAGTGAGCTTTAGAGGTGTTTACCAAAGCTGACAAACAGACAGAAGTGCATTGAGACATGACGGTAGTATCAATCTTCTCCTCCAGAAAGCGAATTTCCAAAAATGTCAAACTTTTGTGTTTTTTATAAAACCTGTCATGAGACTATTTAATCTTGTCTAATAACCTTCTAGACTAATAAGTAGTCAACCAACTGTCATTTGTTAGCCCCCCCCCCCCCCGAATGATAGAATAGGTTTTGTATATTGTATACATATATAATTATTTGAACTGTGCGCTGCCATCAGTATCAGTGGTGAACTCTGGTGTTTTGAGTACAATGTTTGTTTGGAGGAGGGGAAATCAGTAAAACTCTTGTCCCTCTTAATCATGAGATGTAGTTTCCTCGTATTACATTTATGTTACCATTTGTGATTTTTTATTTTTTTTAAATAATGTATTTTTTTGTATATCTATACTTTTGAGCGAAATGTAAAGTGTCTTATTTTCTTTGTACATTGTCCTTTATAGGAGGTTCAAAAACCTGCAGACTTGTGGCTTTTATTACCTAAAATAACACTAAGCTACAATAACACCCCTCTTTATTTTTTTTTTTTGTTTTAAATTTTGTTTATTATTCTACTCCCTTGGATCTTCCTGCACACAACACACCATGTTTTTATTCACATTCTCTATTTTCATAAGCTCGAGTTGACTTTCGGATCAAGTTGGAGTAAACTGCCAACTTTTAAGACCTCAGACCAGATCAAGAGTGTAAAAAATAAACAACTTAGTGGAATAATTGTAGTTTTGAACCGATAGTCAGGATGCAGTTTTTGAATGGGGGAAATGGACAGAAAAACAAACAAACCAATGACTTCACTGACCTCTGCTGGAACCAGTCTGTGTGTATATCTGTAGTTTTTGCTGTAATATATTTAGAGGCATTTTTTAATCATTGAAAAATATATTGGGCAATTCTTTGGGATTGCATGAGTTTCTTATAGTTTTCTTTTGTAGGGATGTAATATTGACACAACAGTTTTTGTAACAAAACCAGAAAACTTTGGCATGTTTTAAGGATCTCTTCACCTGTTGCGTTAGTGCTGAAGGACTAGTGAAGTAGACGCCACAGGATATCCCATCATTTGCAGTGAAACTGCATAGGTAAGCATGCGCTGACCTACTAAAGACATGTTATAGAAGCTCGGGGGAAAGAGGGGAGATTATCATAGTAAATAATCTAGGACAGCTGAATCTGATTTAAAGAGAGGAAATGAGGCCTGTTTGTAAAATATTTTGTAAATTAGTCTCAGCATGGTCTTCACAGAGGATAAACCACTCTATTTATCATACCGTTTTGATACTGGCTATGGCCAAACATGACTTCCTAGACAAAATATATATGTGCTGCTTGCAGTGCACAAAACTAAGACTTCTATACACAATATTTAGCTTTTAGATTAGTTGGACAGAATATAGCAAACCCAATTCTACAAATATAATAGAAGTGTGTGTTCTGGTGGGTTGAGGCAGAGTAAAGGAATGTGGATGTTTATATGCTGTGTGTAACCCTGTTTTAAATTCTCCACAGAAACGAGGAGAAGGTATTAATATGTATCTCACGGTTATGAAATAACCTGTAGCAAGACCTGCATAGGAATGGAGAGAGATAGGGGAGAGAAATAAAAGCTGCGATGGGATTAAGGGAGGGAGTCAGTGCCAATGACTGAAGTGTTAAGAGTTTCCTATTTACCTCATGATGAATCTGGGAGGAAAGACACCCTGTCCACTGTATAGTTGCTAGTAGACTGGTTGTTGGTGTTTTGTCTGCTCCTTACATTTTTGTTAACTTTACTGTTATTTCTTATGAATCTGATCTTGTACATTTGTCATAATAAAATGGGTTTCAAGACTCATGTCCCACTGTCTTGCGTGACTTTTGATTTTACTGAACCTGCAAAGGTGCCTGTTCCATTCCTGACCAGCATAAATACATAAATCAATGTTGTAATGTTATACTATGAATATAGTATGTTATATGTACAGTAGAAGCTGTACTTTCTTGTCGATACAGCTATGATTTTTTTAAAATGTGGATTTGTATTTGCCTTTTTAGAGAATGAACAGCTACATTAACTTTAGTTTCGATGAAATTTGCCGGACTCCAATGACAGCTTTCACAGTATTTAACACTTACTGGGAAACATGAATGATTGTTTGACTAATGAAGCTGCCTTTAAGCAAGTCTCAAAATGTATAAACAAGACTTAAGAGGCTACAGCCATGCTTGTGGCTCTGTTAGGCTGTAGGGCCTATGAAGCGCTATATGCACAGTGTTGCTTTGAGCTAAATGCTAATGGCAGCATGCTAAACTTTTCATAATGAGTATTATAATCTTAGGTATTGTTATATTGACAAACATTTTTTGAAAGTTTGTTCACCATCTTATATTTGCTATAGGAGGATGGAATGACATTAACGGGTATTTGAACAAGTTAAAATGAGACACTAACAGTGTTGCTTTGGGCTAAATGCTAACAGCTGGTTGCTAACATGCACACAATGTTGATTCATTGTATTACTATGTTAATGCTCTTTGAGTATCCTAGTGCTGACAGTGATATAAGGAAAAGTAATTGAAATGTTTAGCATTTGCTACAGGATGATGGATGTCATATTTGGGGGTCATTCCTATGTTCCCAGGGTCACTCTGATAATGATGATACTATGTATTATAATTATCTTAATGTATTTATGTATCCTAGTACTGACAGTGATAAGTAAAAGTAATGTTTAAAAAATGTTAAGCAGGTATTTCGCATATTCACCATGTAGCGGGTTAGCATTTGCTAAAAGATGATGGACAGTAGACCGTTAGCTTGATCATGTCACAGATGAGGTAAACCCCTGGCAAGTCATTTTCAAATACAAATGGCTCGCTTTCTTGGTTTACAATGAAAGTGTCGATATAATGATGATTTTAGGTGAGAACATGCGGGTTACTGAGACATTACTATGAGCGGTTGGTGTACTACAATTACATTTTCATAATTAAAAGCTACCTATACTTACACATGAGAAAATATACAACAGAATATACAACAAAATGTTTGTACAAGTACAAAATGAAGCAAATGAACTGGTGCATTTAACCGCAATCACACAAATAGCACTGAGCCAATCGAATGCCGATCAAGGTTTCCACTCTACTCATTTTGCCCTTGTTTCAAAAAAAGAGTGCCCACTGTCACTCAAAATAAATTAATCCAGGATTAAAATCCAATCAGTCAATCCTCAAACTGCTTTCAAACAACGCAAACGAGAATAAACAGGAATATTTTAGCCTCATAGCAGCATGTTAGACTGAATTAGTTACCACATTTGGAGAACAGGTGTGAACTGTGTTGAATGTTCTCCTTGCTGTGGAGTAAACAGGGGAGGTCTTATTTGGTATTTGGCTGAGTCAGACAGCGTGACAAGGGGGGAGGAGAGGGCACAAAGGTCACTTACACAACAGATACCATGCAGGGCAAAGTACCAGGCGCAGTGAAGGTGGACAGGATTGTATGGGCTTTTTATTTTTGGCATTATCCAAACCTCCTTGAGGACTACAAATTATTCACTTTTGATTAATTTTTTGTGGTTTTGTTAAAAAGAAGTGTTAAGATTTTAAGAAAAATGTTTCATACAAAGGAAAACTATGGGCTATTAAAAGCAATAATAAGAAACATTTTAATTGTCAACAAATCTCATGAAAATTAAAAAGCAACAACAAACCTACAAACAAATATTGCCCAAAGTCTGATATAGCCTATTTCAATGTCATACATCACCATTGTTGGTTAAAAAATACAAGATTAACACTGTCCCAAATCTATACTACAAACTAATTCAAAGCAGGATTTTGCAGTGCGCCTATTCTTCCACAGCGTAATGAGCAAAGGAAATGAAGGAGCAGCTCACATTTAGAAAAAATGTAAATAAATTGTGGGCGGTGAAAGAGCTCAAAAGATTTGGAAAACGAAAAAAGCAGTATTAAATGTGTAATAAATGCATGTCTGTCACATAATGCACAACTTCTCCCAGACAATTGTCGCAATTACAAAAAATGCCCAATCTGAGACATTTCACACACAACTCCAAAAATGGACTGGACAAAATCATTGGCACCTTTTCAAAATCTTCAAAAATAATTGTAGTTCAAGCAGGTGATGCTCCTTTAATTTGCAATTAAACTCACTTGTAGCAATTTACAGGTGCTGGCAATGTAGAAATCACACTTTCAACCAGTTAAAATGGAGAAAGGTTTGTGTGTACCACACTGAGCATGAACAAAAATAAGAAGAGAAAAGAGTTTTCTGAGGATTTGAGAACCAAAGCATGAACAATCTCAAGGCTGCAAGTCCATCTCCAGAGATCTTAATGTTCCTGTATCCACTGTGCGCAACATTGTGAAGAAGTTTACAGCTCATGGTGCTGTAGCTAATCTCCCTGGATGTGAACAAAAGAGAAACCTCGGTCAAGTTCCAACTAAATGGATGGATGGAGAATACCAAAGCATTTATAATTGCAACAGTTTTCTGGGAGAAGTTGTGCATTATGTGACAGACATGCAGGGGTGCCCGTATTTTGGCCCATAACTGTACAATTTGGATGGTGGCTCTAGATGAAAGGGCAGGTAACCGAAGTTATTATAAAAAGATTATCCTCTCGGGACCATGGGTATCTGTACCACATTTCAGCAGTCGAAAGAAACATAGACAAATGACAAACATAGATGTGCAGCTTTTTCAAAAACATGTTTTTAATCAAAATATTTCACACAAGATATTACAAATGCATTTAAATTACACTATACAAAAACAGATGTACAGAAAATATACTCTGTCTACTTTGCTGACATGTAAGAGAAAAGTTGATGTTTATTTTACATTCTTACTTAAAATAATCATACAAGTATAACTCTCAGAAATAAAATCCCTTATCATCATCCAGACTCTAGTATGGAAGTCTAGAGGTATAATGTATTTATGTATTTAACCTTTATTTTACCAGGAAAGAAATCCATTGAGATTTTAATCTCTTTTACAAGGATGTACTGGCCAAGATGTGAATTATTAAACATTTATTTGTCATTGGTTCACAAAGAAATGGAGTTTTTGACAGAGAAAAACATTAGAAAAGAAGCAATGTTCCCAAAACTATAATAGCAAATATTACACAAGTATACTTTTCACTCTTTGCCCATATTGGAGATAAACAGTAAATTATTAGCTTGACTGACACAGTCAGACATGATATATGCAGGAAACTATAAAGACACAACAGACAATAAGAGCTTTGGTCATCTGAACTTAAGAAGAAAACTCAATCAGCATCACAGTGACCTAAGTGAAATACAGTTTTAACCATTAACATTGTAATGTATTGACAAAGTTAATGAACGGATAATTAGCTGCATAGTTAACTCATGTTTGGAAAAAGTGCTGTTCACTGTAATGCATCCAGCAGCACATTAGTACACTATGTGTGTGTCTGCTGTGTCATGTCATGTTTACTGATAACAATGGGACTTGTGCAGGTGAGGTAAACCTGCAGTTAAACGACAGCATAGGCTATCGATAATTAAGGTGCACCATCCAGGCAATGACACAAATCATAATTGGACTTGCTGTGTATGTCTTCATCTGATAAAAGGCTGGAAAGGTAAACTGGTATTACCCACGCAGACACATCCACTGGTAAGAGTTATATGGAATAAAAAATTAAAAACTAAAATAGAGACAAACTTGGCTTGTCCTCAGATCACTACTACTGTGTCTTCTGTTTCTGGGCAGCAGGGACCTCCAGCCCAAGGGTGCTCTTTCCAGAGAGGAAAGGGATGATCTTCTCAAACAGCAGGATGCAGCTCGCCACGCCTGGGGACACATGAGGGGAAGACTCAGATGGTTACTTTGGTGGACGTATGGGAGCCAATAAGGCTATTACAATCGTAGTTTAGTTATGAATCATTAAAAATAGCAAAAAATGACAAATGTAGAGGACAACCATTCAACCTAACACTGCTAGCCTTTGAGCATTGCAGAGGTGTCTCATGTGAAACACTTACATTTTGTGCTTATTGTGTCCAAAAATATCACAGAATACTACAGTATGATCACGATAATCAAACTCTTCTATTTCCTATTAGCGCTAAAATCACTTTACATGCAGCACATTCATATTTTCAGATTTATTTTGGGTGTTACTGGTTAAAATATTTTTTACAAGACTCAGAACAGAGCTAAATAGTGATGGACCTCGTCACAGTCCATCGTTATTGGGCTTAGCACCCACAAACTGGCTTCTGTTAGCATACCATTTTTAACTATAACTCTTTGTCACATATTTCATATCTGGAAACAGGAGGAAACAGCCAACCTGGCTCTGGCCAAAGGTGACAAAATCCAACACTTCTACCTTACCTAAGACCGGTCCCAGCCAGTAAACAAAGCAGTACTCCAGGTAGGTGTGGCCGCTGCAGGGGAACTGGACGGAGAAGGCCAGGACAGGGTTAAAAACAGCTCCTGAAATACTTCCACCTGCACAGAGGGAGAGAAACATGGGTCAAGTCGCATGTTTCACAGTTAAAAAACAAACAACACTTATTAATCTAACACAGGCCCTTTGTGCCGCCCCTTAGTTCATCCTCTGTCTGAAACAAGCTGTTTTAGCTGACAGGAATTACTTTTATCTCGTTTACCTCAAGTTTAGTATGAACAGCTGACATTGTAAAGACTTTTTAGTGTAGAAAATAAAAAAGAGGGGAGATGAGTGAATGTACTTAGTATTTTAGTAAATGTACTTGTACTAGTATTTTGTATAATGAGTAATACCTGCAATGATTAAATCTCCATAATTGATTAAGCGTTGAAGCAGTGTTTTAAGCCCAAACAAAATTCTGAAAGTCCACTGGTTCCAGCTTCTCAAATGTGAATATTTGCTGGTTTCCTTACGAGAGTAAATATTTTCGGACAAAACAAGCCATTTAAAGAAGTCACCCTTGACTCTTTGAACTTGTGATCGTTATTTTGAAAATAATTGCTACTTGTAGCCCTATTAGTTACATTATTTAGATTATTGTCCCCCCCCCCCCCCCCCCTTCTTTTATTATATTCTTTACTTTATTATATTGCATTTTTTTAAATTATATTTTCCCTGTATTTTAATGTCTTTTTTAATTTTATTTTGATTACTGTATTTTTTTCATGTATTTTAATGTCTTTTTTTATTTTATTTTGATTATTGTAATTTTCACTGTATTTTATTGTCTTTTTTAATTTATATTTTATTCCATATTGGATTTAGTTCTGAAAGTATTTGGAAAGTGACACATTATCTTCCGTGTTGGTTCTGTTCTTCAGCACTGTAGGTTTTAAATTAAATACTAAGGTGATGACTTGCAGCTTGTGTTCACATCCATATGGGGTGTACAGGGCGGGATTTGTTTTATTCATAATCCTCCAATTTCATGACAGTGCAGGAGGACAATTATCCTACACACACAGATGAGGCAACCACAACGTTTTTTTCACCGCCATACAGTCATCCTGTGTTTTACTGACTGAAGACGAAACTGAAGGCAAAAGCTTCCAAAAACAGTCAAGACGATACCAAATGTCTGCTGATAACTTGTCAAGCAAACCCTCTATCTTTAGACTGAAAAAAGGATTTTACAATAAATATTAAAAAGTATGACTTGAAGCTTAAATAAATCATCATAAGGCTTTCTGTGTGCAGTGAAATACTTGTGTTTGAGTACAACACAGAACCAGTACTGACACAGTCACTGACTATCTGTCCATCTATATGTCAAATCATCCATCCATTGAATGTTGTAGTTGGACAGTGTATTTTTACTGTGTTTGTCCTGTATTTCAGCACAGTAGATGTTAAATTAAATAAATAATGAGGGTACTGACTTGTAGCATGTGTTGTTCAAAGTCATATCAGGTGAACAGTATGTCTATTTCTATAGTCTACTGTTTCCATTACTTGTACTATTTTATTTTTTTCAAATGTATTGTTTTATAGCATTTTAAATTGTATTGTATTTTTTATTGATTTTATTTAATTGTATTACATTTTTTAAATTTATTATATTAATAGTTTACATTTTTATTGTATTTTTTTATTGATTTATTTTACTGTATTTTTTATTTTATTGGATCAGTTTGGTTGTTTGGGAACATTTGGGGTATGATTGAATGAAATATTGTAGTTTCCGCCTGTGTTGAATTGAACCCCCGGTTAATTAACACACCTGCATAAATCACTGCAGTGATCACCGCAGCGATGAAGTGAGCACGAAGTTTTTCGTCCAGTTTGTGGACGTGCATGGCGGCAGCTTGGACCACGAAAGCGCAGCCCAGCTCCACGACCGCTGCCTCCAGCAGAGTCCCACCGAGGGGGTCGAAGCATCTGAACCCGAACCTCTGGTGCCTGCTGTGGACGTCGGAAAGTCCCAGCGACCATACGGAGGTGGCGAAAAACTGCGCGGCGACCGCAGCGCCGAACTGGCAGGCTATTAGGACGACGGCTGCCCGGACGCTGCTGGTCCCGCGGCAAACCCCCTCCAGAGCGCCGCTGGGGTTACACGTCGCTCCTCGGAAAGTTATTATGTTGATAACCGTCATGGTGTAGGTGAGGGTCAGGCTCACGGGCAGCCCCAGTCGGGCCGTTTCGCCCAGCAGCTTGAGTTCGTGAGTGCAGCAGCAGAGCTGGAAGGTGGATGCAGCTTCCAGCAGGTAAATCCAATAAGCTCCGGGGGAAAGACGCGCTGCTGTCCGGCGGGTCGCCTCGCTGAGGAGAACCGCAGCGCCCAACACCGACAAGGAGACATACAGGTCAGTCATTTCTCCGGCAGTATAAACAGTTCCTCGTGATGGGGAAACTTTAATGCCCCTGTCTTTTTAACTTTCCTCCGTTTCGACCTCAAAGTCCAATTGATCCACGCGGCTGCTGCTGCGTAAAACCGCCCGCTGTGGAGCAGGAAATGAGGCGGTTAAGCCTTCAAAATAAAAGAGCAAACATGAATCGCTCCACGGAGCAACTGTTGTTGTAGGAGGCTTAAAAAGCTATTTGCAGGTTGGTGGGGGGTTTTTTTGTTTGTTTTTCTAAAAACGAAATTTACACTTCCTGGAAATGATCACTTGCAGAGCCGGTCCTGACCGCCCTGGGGCCCTAAGCAATTTATGGGGCCCTCCTACCTGACTCTTGAGCCATGTAAACAATTTGCCATTGCTGCACCTGAAACTGCGATGCTCTCACTACAATCCTCCTCCCTTTTTAAGAGTCTGTTTCTGTAATAAGCCTGAATGGTAACTTCTTTGAGACATGTCTTTTAGTAAGAACAATCCAATCCTGGTTTGAAAGGACCTCTGTGCACCAACTCAGTCCTCCATAAAGTCTGTACTAACTGGGGGCCAATCTGCTGGCTTATTTTGTGGTGTTCTATTAGGATCTGAGCTACTTGTACATCTCTGGTGGTGCTCGTACTGGCTAAGACTGGATGTATTTCACCTGGGTCTGTGTGACCTGCTAACTACACCTGTACTGGGTCTGTGACCGTACTGAGGCTGGATGTGCATCAACTGTGCTTGAACTGGCTGACAATCCAGCATCTTCTCTACTGACAAACCTTTGCTTAGCCCCTGTAAATTATAACAATACTTGCTATTAATGTTATCAGGCCCATTCAAACGGGCTCCTGCAGGTTTCCTTTTAATACATTTTCAAATGTAAAATAAAAAAATACTATGACTTTACTTAATATGTGATTCTTACATTTGCTGAGAGATGTGCATCCATATTAGGTTTAACTAAAAATAGTCCCCAACAAATGCACCTTTGACTCCAGTTCAAGTAAAACTACAGTGCAGAGCTGTTTTTAGTAAACTACTGAGCCTTTTTTTTTTTTTTAAACACATGTGTGAGCTGTATTTAATGTTTTACGTCTTCATTAGGAACAAATGGGTTTTGTGGCTGAGAGCCACATACAGAGTAGGGAAGTTTTTAAAGTATTAAGTTTATATACTAAGAAATTGGTGGTTTCTTCTCATGATTTGTAAGAAAAGTATAGAAAAATGTGAGACTTATCCATTAAGAGATCCATCTCTGGGATCTGCCTCCACCCCAAAACAAAGCACAAAAAAAGACAATAGTCCCTCTGAAACTATCGACATTGTGTTTTTCTGTATTATCCAGAGTAACATAAAGAAGTGATGTTGTTGCATATCATCATTTTTCAACACAATGAGCACAACACATTAAATTCCATTCACCACTTTTGGTTTTTATTTGACCAGGTTTTGAGATGTCCATCCGTTCTGTGTGCCAGTCTAGCTGTTTAATCCATTTCCACTCTTTATGCTAAGCTGTCTTCTGGCTGTAGGTTCGCTTCTAACAGACAGACATGAGTGGCTGGATCTTCTCATTTTATCTGTCAGCAAAAAGGCAAATAAGCATATTTTCCCAAAATGGTGAAAATATTTCTTTGGGTCTTCTCTTCATTCAGGCAATAATGCTCAAATTCCTTGCAACATGTTGGTAACCAGGCTTTATTTTGGAGGTTGAAACAGGAAAGGCTGTAGTTTATTGTGAAGTGCTTGATGCCTGTTGCTGTTTGGTGGGGTGGGTACACTCATCCTGGGAGTGACTGGGCCCAGAGGCTCAGTGCAGGGTAAGAAAAGTCCTGCTGCTGTTCACTGAAGTTGCAGTTTGACATCAGCAGGAGGCCCAGTGTGCACACAAGCAGCTTTTAGTTCAGTTCTTTGCTGTGTTGGTTCTGTACTTAAGCAGATTAGATTTAAAATAAAACGATGAGGCTTCTGACTTAGTTTGTGTTCACATCCAAACACTGCATGAGGACAATTACCTAAGGACCTAAACACACAGATGAGGCAACCACAAGTTTTTATTCTTTTTTCTATTGCAGTCATCCTGTATTTTACTGACTAAAGATGAAACTGAAGGCAAAAGCTTCTAAAACAAGACAATACCATGTGTCTGCTGATGACTTGTCATGCAAATCCCAAATTTGCCTCAAATGGCTTTAAAACATAGGACACCCTCCATCTTTAGACTGCAAGGGATTTGACATCAATTATGATAACCTGAAGTTTATTTAAATAATCACAAGTGTCTCTGTGTGCCATGATCTACTTGTGCGTTTGTTGCTGTGAGAACAATACAGAGCCAGTATGTCACTGTCTGTCGATCTGGATATCAAAACATCAGCCATTGGATTGGGATTAGATATTTGATTTTTATTTTTTCCAATTACATGGATATTACAAGTACATCTGGTAAAATAGGCCAGTCAGTTCTCTGCTTTGGTCCAAACTGAAATATCAAAACAACTGTTGGATGGTTTGCCATGACACAGATGTTCATGATCCACAGAGGATGAATCATAACTTGACTTTTTTCCCTAGTGCCACTATCAGGAAAAAGTTTGTATTTTGTCTAATACTTTTTTTATGATCAAGTAACTGCAAAACGGCCTCAATTGTATTTTGTGTTTAGTGCAAATTAGCAAATGCTAACATGCTAAACTAAGAAAGTGACTATGGTAAACATACTTTCTAAACATCCATATGTTATGTTGACATTGTGAGCAGCATGCTGGTGTTAGCATTTAGCTCAAAGCACTGCTGTGATTAAGTGCAGTCTCAGAGCTGCTACCATGTCTGAAGTGGCTCTGTGAGGCTGTAAGATTGTTGGCGCTGAACACCTGGCTTTCAACTGCATGTATTCAGTGCACTTTTTTGACAATTTCAGCTATTTTTATGGGACCGCAGACATCTTTTTAAGGCTGATGCTCTTTGCATTAACGAGAGGAGTGAAATTGCTGCTGTTCTATTGCTGTAACCTATTTTAGTTCCTGTTTCCTTCTGACAAAGACGAGAAAAGTGGAATTGAAACTTGAAGAAAACATAGCAGCGCGGCAGAAACCTTGAAGGAGAACCACTTTGACTCCACCTGAAGAAACCTTTTCATTATAGGATCAAACAACCTCACAACCACCTTCAAGGATTCTTCATTACCCCCCCAAACCCCATCCAGGTCACCCTCATTTCCAGTCAGCTGCTTCTTCAGCTGAATTCCTTATCTTGAGCAATATTTCTAAATATCTACAGGCCACCTAAACCTGTTGGTTTATTAAGTACTTAAAATTTACTTAATTTCATACCATGCACAAACCTGGCACATTGGACATATTTGTTAATTGTTAATCGTTGTTTTATTTATTTTGTACATCGTCAATTTATATATTTGTGTAGACAATATCCTCTTCCGTTGCAATACTTCTGCACAACACAAACCGGAGTAATGCACATGTTAATATCTGCTGCATTGTTATTTCTCTGCAAATAGTTGTAGCATTGTTCTCTATCTCTTTTATTTATGTCAACTGTATTTGTTTGTCTGCGTGTGGCACCTTAACACCAAAGGCAATTTCTTGTAGGTGTAAAACACTACTTGGCAATAAAGCTCCTTGTGATTAATGGTTTAGGGTCAATTTACATTTCTGATCTTCTATGTTATGACCCATCCAGAGGAGCAGTTCTGCTTTCTATTATGAGTCGAAACAAAACGTGGAGAAGCAGCATTTGATTAATATCATACACTGCACTTAAACTTTTACCCCTGTTTTTTATTTTTTTATTTAACTCTGTTCAATTGTATTAAAATGTATTTTTATGTTTCCTTTATGTAAAGCACTTTGGCACATTTCAACAAGGTAATTCAAACTAATAACAGGAGTCTTTAAGGCAAGTTTAAGGATTTATTTCATATTTCTTGGTTCTTACAGAGGTCCCAATTGCAGGTACATCACTTATGGTCATTCTTTTAATTAATAGATTGTGTAACATTTATTGTATTTTAATTAAGTGGCTAGTCGGGTTACTGAGCTATATAACTGTCCTCTTGGGATATGTGTGTTTGTGAGTTAGTGTTACGACTGTTGTGTCAGTATGTCTTTTTTTTTTTTTTACATGTTGTCTGCTGTGGCCTGTCTGACATATGTCTCATTTGTTGTTGTGCAGGGGCCAATTAAACACCCCTGAAGATTAAAAAAGCTATCTGATCAAACCAAAGCTAATTTTGCCAAGTTTTTGAGAGATCTGAGTTTTCCTCCATCACCAAATGAAATGGCAGAACTGTAACTTGAACTGCAAACTTAAAATGCAAATGCCCACATTTGCAGCACAACCTTCATAACTTATTGTTGTGTTTAGCTGTACCTATTCATCCATCACTGTTCACAACTTGGCAATCATAGCTTTATTCACAAGTCTGAAAGATATTTCCTGTTTGTGAAGTATTGTTAACATTTGCAAGAATTTTGGCAAGTCCCCCTGCTGCTACACACAGAATTGTTAGTTAGGATTGCCAAACGTTTGTCATGCGAGTCAGTTTCCAACGGTTCTGGGGCTGTAGGTTGAGGTGACACATCTGCGTGACCTCAACCTGCAGCTGCAGCCTCGACTGGTTAATGACCTGTGACCTCAGACACTTAATTGATTACTGTCTGATCAGCACCTTGATATGCCACACCTGTGACGTGGATGGATTATCTCGGCAAAGGAGAAGTGCTCACTAACACAGTGACAGATTTGTGAACATTTGAGAGAAATAGACCTTTTGTGTACATAGAGAAAGTCTTGGAACTTTGAGTTCAGCTCATGATGAAGGGGGAGCAAAAACAAATGTGTTTTTTATAATTTTGTTCAGTGTAGCTCTCCTTCAGCTCTGCTTCACTCACTCACTCACTCACTCACTCACTCGCAGCAGACATGCAGATCTTTGTTCTCTTTGCTTTAGCTTAGTGCATTTTAGTTTCATTTTGTGTTTGTTTTGTTTACTTTGTAAATAAGTGCTTGGATATATACACATACTGGTTTCTTTTAATATTGCATAAGAATGAATATTTTGACAACCTCTGCCACATGGTAGTCCAAATTCAACCCACTATCTATTAATGGTCATTTTGTTATAGTTATCAATTTTAATTAACCAAAATTCCAAATGTTAAAATCCTTGCAAATAGGTTGGAAAAATGGAATTACTTGTCTGGCACATGAAGATCAAGTTGGTTTTATGTGTAACTGTTAGATGCTTTTTTTTTTCTCCAAATTCCAGTTTACCATTTGCTGCTGTTTTGTTTGTATGTTTGGGTGAGGATTCGTTTAGTATTACAAGCCAACTACAAATAGTCCCTTATGTATACATACAACCTTTTATTTTATCAGATCATCTCATTGAGATTAAGACAGTGGGTACAGCAGATGGAAAGAAAAATAAACTTATATAAATTATGTCTGGCTATGCATCAGATAGTAACAGACATCACTATAGATTTCAAAGTTTAAATTAAATCCTTTGGTGTTATGGAGATGAAGGTGGAGAGCGTTGTCTGACACGTTGGTCCAAAAACTTCCATAGGTGAAACTGGGTTGAGATCAAGTGACTTTAAAGGCTGTAGCATTTTATTCACATAATTTTCATACTTTCCAAACAGTTCAGTGAGCCCTAGTGCACAGAAACATCTGCATTTGATAAGTTTGTCCACTGTAATAAGGTTTTTAATTTTTCCTCTATATAAATATATAAATTATTTTTTTTTTTGGATAAATCAGAGGATTTGCCTTAACAAAATTCTGTCCAAGAACTTTCTTTCAAGCTGGCCCAGAAATATTCTCTCCATTTAAAAATCCCCTCCAAGTGTTTTTAGGAGATTTGATATAAGGACTCGGATAACTGCAGCAGCCAGTTGAAAATGGAGGTTTAAGGCTCCTAGAACTTGTGTGTTTAGCCTGAGGCATTTTGCACACACAGGTCATTGCCTCCTGGGAGAGCTCCTCCATGCGTCAGCATAGAGCAATCTGCCTCAGCTGCTCTCCCTCTGTTTCGCTGCCTGTCCACAAAGTCATATATACAAATGTAACATAGCCTGCAGTAGCTAAGCTAAACATTGATAAACAGCCTTTTATTTGGAAGGAATGGACAGAAAAGGGAATTCTTAAGGAGATTTATACTGTTTATGAACTTTAAGTCATTTGATTTCTATTTCCCCATAGTTGGCAGATGTGTTAGTCAAACTCTTGAGGTCCTTGGTGAAGCATCTAAATATTACGCAACACTGTTGTATATGTAATATGGAGGGAATAAAACAGTTTAAATGTGCTTGGGAAAGAAAAAGTGGAGATGAAGGTACGCTTGTACATGCACTGTGAACATGTCCCCAAAATTCATCTATTCTAGATGATTAACTGCATTTTGTGTTCTTTCCAAAAATAACTTCAAGTGGGGCCTGTATACAGGTGAAACTTGAAAAATTAGCACATCGTGCAAAAGTTCATTTATTTCAGTAATTCAACTTAAAAGGTGAAACTAATACTCATTACATGCAAAGTGAGCTATTTCAAGCCTTTGATATAATTTCAATGATTGTTGCATACAGCTTATGAAAACCCCAAATTCAAAATCTCAGAAAATGATTTCATGAAATCAAAAGGATTTTAAATACAGAAATGTCAGCCCTCTGAAAAGTATAATCATGCATATGTACTCAGTACTTGGTTTGGGCCCCTTTTGCATGAATTACTGCCTCACTGTGGCGTGGCATGGATGCCATCAGCCTGTGGCACTGCTGAGGTGTTATGGAAGACCAGGATGCTTCAATAGCAGCCTTCAGCTCTTCTGCATTGTTCGGTCTCATGTCTTTCATCTTTCTCTTGGCAATGCCCCATAGATTCTCTATGGGGTTCAGGTCAGGGTTTTCATAAGCTGTAAGCCATAATCATTGAAATTATATCAAATAAAGGCTTGAAATATCTCACTTTGCATGTAATGAGTCTATATAATAGTTTCACCTCTTTAAGTTGATTTACTGAAATAAATGAACTGATTAATTTTTCGAGTTTCACCTGTATTTCTTTTTAAAAGGCAAGTGAAAGGTTGAGATGGAAGCACAGTGATATTTATTTCCATGTAGGTGTTATACATGTGTATTTTTGTTTTATTTCTAAGAAAGCCACTCAGCATTTGGTTGCTCTCTCTAGGCTATTATCGGATGTACGGTGTTATAGAAAATACAATATTTGCCCACTCAACTTGGATCATAACATAAATGTACTACAGTTTCATCTTTTACCCCTTTGCTGGTCTTATTTGACATCTAACAGTGATGTTTGGCTTGATCTGTGATTCTAGCGAGATATGTATGTATGTATGTAATTTCATTTACTTGTTTAATTATAGGTTGCTGCTCATTGTCATCAGTGTGTTTCGTGACCTGTCTGTGTTCAATCCTACAAACCGAATTTCCATGATGATGATAAAGTGGAAGTTGAAAATGTTCACCTGGACTCACCTGATGTAACGGTGTTTGCGTCACTGTGGCAACAGGTGGCAGTTGGTGATCCAGAAGGTAAATAGGGCATCGACAAAGAACATATAACTCTAGACAGAACATACAACCTATTCATTTCCGTGAGAATTTTCAAAATAAGACCATTTTGTTGCATTTAGGTTTCCCCGATGAAACGTTGCAATTATTTGGCATAGGCCTATTGAATCATAGTTGTAGTAAACATTAATAATAGGCCTATTATTAAATTTCACGACACTTATGTCTATCTATGCTTTTCCATAATTTTTAAATAAATATTAGTGTATTGAAAATCTGTATTTTGGTGCTGTGGTGTGTGTGTGTGTGTGTGTGTGTGTGTGTGTGTGTGTGTGTTTTTTGTTGTTGAAGCAAAACATTTTGCTTCCGGTACTCGTGTAAGTAACTTTGGTTAGCTTGACACCTCATCCTCCGTGGCTACCTGCATCTACATCGGGTAACAGAGGAAGAACTGCGCACTGCGGCGTCTTCTCTGCTCTTCCTCAGGAGGCAGAACCGACCTGGAGGCTTACCTGGAGGTAGGATAATTAAGGCTACATGTAATTATTAGAATAATATGCGGTCACATCAGAGATACGGAACCTGCTTTGTGGCATCGATGTGGTCTGGGTGATGACCCGCTGCAGAAGTCCCGTTGTTTCTTATGTGTAAATTGTAGCACCAGACTGAATTAGAAAAATCTATCAGTTTGGGGTTATTATGCTCACATGCCAAGGCGGATCGCTGAACATACATGATTAACGGTTTCCATGAATGATCAGGCTACATACAATAATTCGGCCCACATACAACACACATATGAAGGTGTAAACAAGAACTGCACGTTCTTATTTTAATAAGACAAAACGTTTGACAGTCATATGTATGTGGCATTTACCAGCATAACGGCCGGGTGTTTTTCTTAAAGTCTGTTCTGTTGATGCCGATAAGCAAAGCAACGTTGAACTGTTAGATTATCAAATAGACTTTGGCAAATTTTTTTATTAAATCTATGAGCACCTACATTGCAAATAGTGACACAACTGACAGCTTTATTTTTGTCAGACGGTAAACAGTCCTGTTATACATTGTGTCATGTCTTTTAATGTGTTATTACAGAATGTTTATGTAAACAAGTTTTTTTTTTTTTTTTTTTTTTCTGTGACAACAAAAGTACAAACTCCAATAGGTTACAGATGCTAGAAACTGTCCATTATGATTAATGCTTTAAACTGTCTGCATATACTTTATTTCAGTATACTATGTATGGGGGGGAAAAACATTTGTAACTGCATCATAATAAAAGTGTATCTTTAATCCACACAGGAGTCTATCACTGAAGGATGATAGCTGAACTGTCCTTTGATCTCCAGCAAAGATAATGACCTGAAACACACCCGAGTTGCACAAGAGCTGTAAGCTGACGGTCTGGACAAATCTGAAACGGTACCTTCCTGGGAATTGCAACAGAACGGCCAGGGGGATAATTCTAGTCATATCCTTCATAAAAGAACAAAAACAAACTGTAGTCTACAATAACTAAGAGTTTTGTCTTGGTTAACCCCAAATTTCCTGCTGAGACTTGGTAACTGAAGCTGGTTATTGTAAGGAATACAAGATTCAACGATAATGTAGGTATGTAATTTTTGTAGTCATGTTTCAAGTCTGCACAGAAATATATGAAGCTGCCATAATTCAAGCAAATAAACTTACTTATAACTTTTATTCTCTATTAAAGTATCGTAATGTTACAAAATGTCTATGTAGGACTGATGTGTTTCGTGTGTGTGTGAGAGCAGGATGGAAGGTGTGTTAAAGTGCATGTGATCCATGGCGTCCACAATGTCCCAGCTGCAGTTTGGCCGGCTGCATGGTCTTCGTGCTAAACTGCTGCGGCGCCATGAGCACCAGCCTTTGGTGTCGTGTCTGGCTGGTCTGTACGGCTGCCAGTGGAGACGCTACGAGAGGAGCTGCACTCAGCCAGGAGACTGCTGCTGCAACAAGGTCAGACGACCACCAACACAAGAAGTGCGATGGTCCAGTTGTTGTCCTCTTTCGTCTCTTTATATGGGGCTGTTTGGTTACATTTTAGTGCAAAATAAAAAAATCAAACTGTTTACAGGATGTAAGCCCTTGGAGATGCATGATCTGGGTTTGGCGGGGGGGGGGGGGAGAGAGATCAGGATCATTCTTTTATCTTCCATGGAAACGGGGTAATACAAAAATACTACTAATACATTAAAGTTCATGTTTTGTTTCTGCTGCCGACAGTTGGAAGGTGTCAGCTTTGCTCTGCTTGTGGCAGCTTTCTGCTTAACGCTGGTGTTTCTCTACTTCTGGGGACAAGCAAAGAACGACTACAATGACTTTGACTGGTGGGTTGAGTAATACTTCTAGAAGTTTATAGTTCAGACATAAGGGCACCTGCAGCCTAGTTTACATAATCACTGCACACACAAACATAGGTGTAGCCATGGCTGCTGTAGATTACCCATTAATCCTTTCATATGCAACACGGATGTAGAAGCCCCAAACTGAGCTAATTATGGTCTTAAAACTAGATTTTGTCACAAGGACACCCTTTAAAATCAGGTAATAAAGCAAGCCCCACCTTAAGGCCTCATCATAGTTTATTGTGTAGGGGTATTTATTCCTGAACACACTTTCAAATTAACTAGTTAACACACAGTAAATCTGGAGCTCTTGGTGGGGCCATTGCTTGTTTGTCCCTGCTACAGCCATAAAGAAGTTCTGCAATGTACCTTAAAAAGAAATCCGATAGGAGGAGTCTATTTTTTTTTTTAATTTTATTTTTGTTTTATTGAACATGGACAGGTTTACAGGTCGTGACAGATCTTAGCAAATGAAAATACAATACACAATACAGGTACAGTAACATACAATGCAAATCAGGAATGCACAGACAAACAGTGTGTGTGTGTGCTATAGAGCATCTATTTTCCTCAAAGCCAACCCACAAAGATGGGTTGGCTTTGGACTCCAGACTGTGTGAAACTGAAAACTATATATAGTATCCACTGTGCAATACTAGGGGGTTCAACTGACACCCACATTAGTAAAATACATCTCCCAGCACAGAGGAGCAGAGTTTTAAGAAGTGGTAACTGGTTAGAAGAAGGATTTGGAAGATTATCTATACCAAGAATACAAAATGAGGGAGAAATGCTTGACCTAATAGGCCACTGATTTCTTTAAGTACATATTCCCAAAATTTGTGAAAGTGTACACTTTCTAATAAACAGCAAAAGTATGTGCTGCCTTTAATCTTGAACTTATTGCAAAACTTTGACGGCCCGAGTTCATTCTGTTCTGCTTCACAGGGGTGAAATGTAGCCTGTGATTTATCCTAAATTGTAGTTCATGGGCCTGAAGGAGTCTTTTGTTTAATGACCTCAACGCCAGATGGGCCTTGGCATCATGGGGGGGATCTGAAGTGACTTACAGTAAAGTAACAACTAACTAAAACTCAATAGAAGCAAACCAATAGTGAGCAGCAGTCATGTGATACATTAGATATTATTGATCACTTGCTGGTGACTGTAGTAAGGCTGTGAACGAGGAAAAAAATATTGTTCACAATACAGCAATGAAATGCTTTTATATCAGTATATCATTTGCAGTATACTGACAACTGAAACACCAAAATTTTGGAGGATTGTCTTACTGGATCAGATCACTTGTATTGAACGAGCTCATTCTAGTTAGCATCTGAGGTGGTTTAACCCAGGAAGGACCTGGCTGATGTGCTGTCCTGATGATAAAAAAATCTAAATTGGTGTCGTAGAATCAGCGATATATTCCTCTTTTCCTCTAAGGCCATAGCAATAATGCATGATGAGCTCTCTTAATCTACAAAAATATAGTTGTCTACCATGTAAAAATAATGAATAAACTCATCTGCTGTGTTTTCATTTGTTCAGCAACTTCTATAAATAATTTGGGGGACATTTTCTACCTTAATAAGATGGCGATAATGGAGAGATACGATGGGACTCTGGCGTCCCTGCTTCAAAACTTTCAAGTCAGTTTAACACTGTTTCACCGTAAGCTTTTTAGCGGTGTTGTTGCCATGTTTACCTGCAAGATTAGATACCTTATGCACCCAACAGTGATGCTACAATGTTAGCATGGAGCCTGCTGTCACTCAAATATGAGATTGTTAACATTGAGATAACAGGGATGATTTTGTTGTCGATGTTCTCTTTATTAAACAAGTTGTGATGACCAGTGAAACGTCTCTTTAAAACTCACTACTTTAATTTGAAACTTGAGCGCTGTTTGTGTTGCTGCACATACTGGATTTCAGACTGTATATCGACTTGGTTTATTGTTGCATCCTGGTTTCAGTCACTAACAGTCTTTCTGTTTTTACACTCGAGTGTGCAGGTTTAACTTTGGCAACATGGGCTTCTGGTTTCCTTGGTCTGTGGTGCTGCTGGTCATCGCCGCATGCTTCTTCACCTACATCACTGTACTCATGGTGAGGCACAAACAACACTGAGGGTTTAACTGTTGTTTTGTCGGTATCATCCAGTTTGATTTCATATTACTGAACTGTCTACAGTAATGCTTCTATGAAACGTAAATACTCACATTTAAAGACAGCTGATATCTGAATGAGCTCTTCACTCCAACTCAACTGTACATTACTGATTAACATGTTGCATCTCGTCTGTTTAATAACGGACACAAACAGAAATTAAAACAAACAGGTTTTATGGAGGGTTACGAGCTCTAACTACGCACAGTCGCCACTTTATTAGGTACAAATATAAAATCTGATGCAACTCTTCCATAAATTTTACCTTTTTATAAAGTTTTTGTTGACATTGTAGAAAATGTGTAAATTCATTTATGTTTAATATTTATTTTGTACTGGAGTACAACATAAATCGTACAGTATATCGATAGGTGTTTCTAACTTTTATGTCCTCTCTATTTACATAAACGAGGGGGGGCAGAAAAAACTTCTCTAAATATGATGCAGTCCAGTACAACTCACTATCACTAACTTTACGAGTAAAACACTAACATCTATGGACGGGGTCAACAAAACCTGAACATTATAGGCATCATAAAAGTTGACTTTATGGCAGAACAGTTGTGTTGGGTTACATTAGATTGTACAGGTGTATCTAATAAAGTGGCCACTGAGTGTTTTTATTTAAGTTGTGACCAGTGACATTCAAGAGTCTTAATATATTATCTGATCATCATGAGGCTACAAGTCCATCAGAGAAGACACTGCGCAGAAGTACAAAATGGCAACAACGGTACAGAGTGATAACACGATTGGCTCCCAGTATATTTTTAGAATTGATTTTTAAGATTTTACTGATTACATTTAAGGCTTTACATGGTCTTGGTCTATTGCTGACCTACTAGTACCCTACACACCAGCTCGTAACTTGATCCTCAGCTTAGGGGCTTGTATTTGTTTGAGACCTGGTTGATATTGAGAGGGAACAGAGCCTTTGCAGTTATTGCACCGAGGCTCTGGAACAATGTACTTGAGGAAATTAGGTCAGCTGAATCGGTGAACTCTTTTAAATCCCTTGTTAAAACATATTTTTATCGAAGAGCATTCCCTGATTTTACATGATTTTATTTGAAGTATAATTTGAAATGACTTAGTTTTTTAAAAATGTTTCACCTGCTTTTATGTTTTTACTGCTCCATGTTAAGCACTTTGTAATGGTGGTTTTAAAGTTGCTCTATAAATAAAGATGATTATTATTAACACCATGTAGTGCCAGAAGAAGATCCCTTCTTGGTCCACGGTATTTATCCCTTCACTGTCCCTAAGGGGTCTATCACCTACCCCCTACAAGTGTATTCTCTACTGGCCTAAATATGTGTAACCATCTCCTTGAACTCTAAAGCTTAACTAAGTCATGTTGGAATTAGGAGATCACATGTAATATATTTTAAGAGGAGACAGTCAGCTGGTAAACATCTAAGACTGAAGAACAGCACCATATCTCTTGTCCGGATCTACCCAGCTGTCGTCGTGCACGCATGGAGGAGAAGCCAGTATGATCTATCATAAACAGAGCTCATTCTGTTTGTCTGCAAGTGAACCCAAGTGTGAGATGTGTATGACCTATACCTATTGCCATTTACCAACCTAGGTCCTCTTAGGAATATTCCTTCAAAATGCTAAGCTAAGCTAATAGCCTCTAATAACTCAATACTTGCACATAGACTGAGAAGTGGTATCAATGCCCTCATCTTAACTCCCCAGATGTAGAACCATTCCTTTAAACAAGAAACAGGCCTGCAGCATCTCTTGATGTGCTGCACTGTAAAGGTCTATTATGACTGTGTACAGTTTATCACAGCATCAACTATCAGATCAGAAGTGTTTGATTTTTCTCCTTTGTGCAGCTGTTGGCTGTGTGTTTGATGTCAGAGGGCCAGAAGCTTTATTTACACTGGAGTCACAAGGTAACCCCTCTCTGCCTCTCCGCATTTTTCAGTTTTGTGTCTTTAAGAGATTACAGCCGCTTTTTTATGCTCTGCATACATTTTCATCACAAACACCAATAGTGACACTTGAGCAGTATTTTGTCTCCATATAAAAGTAATCTTTATCTCCAATGAGTGTGGTTTTTTTTTTTTTTAACAAATAAAGCTTATATAAGTGCTAAATGACCACAGTTAAAAAGAAAAGACTAGCAGAAGATGCAAATTAACCTACAAAATGTTGTTAATGATGTGAATAGTGTGTGAATGGATGACATGTCTGGTTTTTGTCTCATTGTCAGATTGGGATCCTGGTGAGCCTGACTTTCTCCATCGTAGCCACTGCCGTCTTGTCAGATCTGTGGAGTAAAGAGTGGAAGACGTTACTACTTTCCTTCCAGGTGAGACTCCTCCCATCAGCCCTCATTTGTTCTGTCTGGTTTCCACTCCTGATGCCAGGTTTTGTTTTGTATCCTGACGCAGGTAACGGCTCCTTATTTACATTTGGGTGGAGTCGTACTCATGACAGCGCTGGCATGGCCGGTAGCTTTGCATTTCTTTCGCATGAACAGCAGAGGTGAGGTGTTTGTCATGCATTTGATTTGCATGTTGTGAAAATGGTGAGTCAATAAACAACAAACAATACACTCTAGACTACAAAAATGTTGGATCTTAAAAAAAGAATATTTTGACATTTCAGAAATGGATATATTCGCTTTGTTACAGAGTCAGATGAGAATAATGACACCACTCTCACATGTCTGTTAATATACAGTCAGCAGCTGGTTAGCATAGCGTAGCATAAAGACAGTACACAGGGAGAAACAGCAAGTCTGGCTCTGTCCACCCAGCAGGTCACTACGTAACACATCGTATTTTGTTTTTGTGTAAAAATCACTGTTTCATGGGGATTTATTATGGACTATTTCTTGGCCATGTTCAGCAGTAAATTATATATACACTATATTATATATTTCCCCAAATACTGAACTCTTCCGTAAGAATTTAAAACATTTGTTATGTTTCACTTTTTTTTATTTTTTTTTATTTTCTGCTTTGAGAAAAATCCTGGAGAGCATCATCCCACCACTTGAAGATGGAAATTTGAGTCAGTGTTGGTGTGACGCTGCACAACAGCGCCTTCACTACTGAATATTGATATTCGTAAATGTCTTCAGATGCTTTTAATCAAACCTCTTACTCTTTGCGTTTCAGTAAGGCAGGTCCTGATCATAGGGGTGTACATGACCCTCCTGTCCACCCTCTACTTGGTACCCCTCGGTTTGTATTCTCCTTGTATCAAAGAGAAGGGGACCTTGGGCCCCGCACCGGCTCTCATCAGCCACAGAGGTGCTCCCATGGTGAGTTTGGTCAGATTGTTACGCTGCACTGGTCCCCAGATCCAGTCGAGTGTGAGACTCCAGTCTGCAGACCTGGATCAAGAACATAAAGAAAATGGAAACCGCTAACCTTTTCTTTTCTAGAAACTGAATAAAAAAAAAATAAAAAATTAATAAGGATTATCAACTAACATTTTTTTTATAATCATCCATCTGATGATTATTCAGATTGGATGGATGTTTGATTGATTGTTCAGATTTAGTCTAAAAGAAAATGCCATTCACAACTTCACAGAACCACAGTGACGAGTTTTACTTTAATGCGAACGAAACCCAACATATTCTCTTAAGAAGCTGAAGTCAGAGAATACTGGATATTTTTCGATTAATATTAAAATAGTTGCGGTTTCATTTTCTGTCTACACGTTGTCATTACTCAACAAATCACTTTTATTTTATTTTTTTTATCTTTTTTGTTGATTTCTCATTATTTTGAAAATGATCTTTTTACAAAATGACCTGCCACAGTAGTAAAATCATTTGACTAAAAGTTTCCAGATCTAGTTAAGATTTACTCTGGAGTATGGATACATGACAAGTTATCATGTGAAGCAGTGCAATACTAAATATTGTGTGGGTTACCGTGATTCCGTCTGGTGTTTGTATACCAGCTCATCCTTCCTGTCCCAGTAGTTTGGAGGCCAGCAATAAAATGTTTACATTCCTAAGTGCAAGAGCAACATGCATATTTCTTCCTACTTGTACTGACTACAAGCTGTAAGTTGCTGCTCCCACTGAATAATGATGTCCTGATAGACCTGATTAACATTGCGTGTAACTCCATTTGCAGCTTGCTCCAGAAAACACAATGATGTCGTTTGAGAAGGCCGTGGAAGCAGGAAGTGAAGGTCTGGAGACTGATGTCACCATCAGGTCAGTCAGCAGCTGACTACAAACATGGTTATACATGAGGCTTTATTGGCCTTTTAGTAAAAATCACATGTTGTCAATGATGCTATACTAAACTGGTTGTCTAGACTCTCTGACCAGCTGTGAATCAAATTCAACATTTTCACTGGATTGTTTATAATAAAAATGTTTAATAAAAAAAACTGCACATATTTAAGATGAATGCAAATTCATGTTACTAGCTTTGTGTTACAGTGACAGTGTTATCATGCTGATGTTATGTTCCACATTGTATGAGCATGTTAACATGCTAACATTTGATAATTAGCTGAGGGGAATGTTATTCTTGAAAAATTTTACCTGATGTTGGTGCTATAAGGGAAAAGTCAGGTGATCACAAAAGTTAACTACACTACATGCTGAGGGCAAGATGAATGTACTAGGAAGTAGGGATGATTTAGAAAAAATATCAAATTGTGATTATTTTGACTGATATTGTGATATGATTTGCGATATTAGAGGGAATTATTTTTACATACTTATTAAATCAATTTCATTAATGATTATGGTGTGATCTTTGTGACGATCTGTACCAAACGAAGATGGTTCTTAAGTCTGTAGAATATATTGTGTAGGCCTGGACATCTTTGCAGCACAACAATATTTAATTTTAAAAGGTACTTTGACATACACTTCTCCCGCGATTTCAATTAGCCATACTACAAAGTGTCATGGCAATTCACCTAGACATTTCACTGAATGCCAAAAATGTTGACCTCGTGGTGGCACTAGAGGAAAAGTCAGGGTGTCATATCATGTCATGGTTATCCATCCAATTGTTTTTGAGATATTTCAGTCCTGACTAATCAACCGTCATGCCTTTCTAAACTGAGCCTTGGTTTAGATATTATTGATATTTAGATCTATCTGACATATTAGCCACACTAGTGTTGCTACACAATGCTTTTGTCATGTAATGGTTGTAGCTATGATGGGGTTCCCTTCCTGATGCATGACCATTCCCTGCGACGGACCACCAACATCCACCAGGTTTTCCCCAACCGGACTGACACCCCGGCTGCCATGTTCACCTGGGCAGATCTGGAGAACCTGAATGCCGGAGCCTGGTTCCTGTCTGTGAGTCACATACAGTTAGTTTAGGGAGAGGTACAAAATTTACTATAGTACTTAATGCACTGTTTATTTTGTCTGCTCCGCCATGGTGGTTTTCTCACACTTCTGCACATATTATTTATACTATGAATATTTGCACATTACTTATTCAAAGATTTGTACTTTTCATTGTCTTTCCCTGCACAGCTCTTCATACTATAGATTTTCTAGTAAATTTCTATTATCTATTTATAATCTCTTTAGATGACTTTTGAGGTGCTTGCATTTTCTCTTACGTTTGTATGTTTTGATTGTCATGCAGCACAGCACAAAGGCAAATTTCTTGTATTTGAAAACCTACTTAGCAAAAAACCCGTTTCTGATTTTTGAATAGCACAATGGCGGCTGTGGCTCAGGAGGCCCTGGCTCCCCTTGCATGTCGAAGTGTCCTTGGGCAAGATACTGAACCCCGAATTGCCCCTGGCGGCTGTTCCGCCAGTGTATGAATGTGAATATGAATGTGTGTGAATGTTAGTTTCCGTTTGAGCACTTGGGCTCAGTGTATGAATGTGTGTGACTAGTGAATGCAGATGTAGTGTAAAAGCGCTTTGAGTGGTGGCTATACAAGTACAGAGCATTTACATTTACAATTGAGGTAGTTAATCAAAGAGGAAAGAATTGGTTATCAACACATTGGCAGCTGTGTACAGATGACATCCCAACAGCAGTTCTACAAAATCAGCTGGCACTTGAACATATTGGGCAGCATGTTATGTCACATAATTAATTAGGTATTGATGGTTGTCCCTTCCAGCACAATCCTTTCGGTACAGCCGGCTCTCTGGGAGCAGAGGACAGACTACGGGCAGAAAAACAGTCCATCTGCAGCCTGCAGGCCTTCCTCCAGCTGGCAGCTCAGAAAGACAAACTGGTGATCTTTGACCTCTACCGTCCACCCAGAGGACACCCTTACAGAGATACCTGGATCCATCGCACGCTGGAGGTCGTCCAGAACGAGTCGTCCATCCACTCCTCGAAGGTGAGGCTTTGGTTTTGGTTGGGTAGAATTTTTATTCAGGAAAGAGGTCAACTCAGGTTACGATAACTAAATTAAACTGAGCTCCAGCAGCAGAAGAACAACTTAAGATAAACATTTACTCATTTGGCAGATGCTTTTATCCAAAGCGACTTACATTTGAGGAACAACATACAAGCATCAACAGAGCATCAAATACAGATCTACAACTGACAATACATACTAGTAAGAGCAGTAATAAGTACTAGTAAGAGCTCATAGTGCATATCACATCAATGAGGTAAATACCTAGGGAAGGAAGGAAGAGTTAACAAAGTGCAATCAAAACAAAAAAAGTGCAATCAATACAAGATCATTGTAGGGGATAGAAGAAGAGCACAGGACGTGCATGTTAGGAGTTAGAGGTGTTATAGGAGGAAGTGTTCTGGGAAGAGATGAGCTTCTTGACGTTAGAAAGGGACGCCACTGCTCTGATGGCGTCTGGTAGCTCGTTCCACCATCGTGGTGTCACAGATGAGAATAGCCGGGACTGGGATCGCTTTGTGTGAAGGGATGGCAGAGCCAGGCGGCATTCGTTGGAGGAGCAGAGCAGCCAAGAAGGAACGTAAGTTTGTATTATGGAGTTTAGGTCGATGGGTGCAGACCCAGTAGTCACTCTGTATGGAAGCATTAGTGACTTGAATTTGATTCTGGAGGCCACGGGGAGCCAGTGGAGGTCATTGAGTAATGGAGTGACATGAGTCTTTTTGGGCTGATCAAAAACAAGACGTGCTGCTGCATTCTGAACCATTTGTAAGGGTTTCACTGCACAAGCTGGAAGACCTACTAGGTCTAGGGTATTGCAATAGTCGAGGCGAGAGATAACCATGGCCTGTACCAGAAGCTGGGTGGCGTACTGAGTGAGGTAGGGCCTGATTTTCCTTATGTTGTATAGAGAAAAGCGGCACGACCAAGAGACGGCAGCAACATGGTCTGAAAAGGACAGCTGGTCATCAATCATGACACCCAAGTTTCTCACCACCTTGGTTGGAGTGATGGTTGAGGAGTCAATTTGTAGTGTGATGTTATGGTGGATAGATTGCTTGGCTGGAATGACCAAGAGTTCAGTCTTAGAGAGGTTTAATTGAAGATGGCAAGCCTTCATCCATGCAGATATGTCAGAGACAATCCGTGATCCGCGCCGAGACGGAGGGATCGCCTGGCGGGAAGGACACGTAGAGTTGCGTATCGTCTGCATAGCAGTGGTAAGAAGCCGTTCGAGCAAATCGGGCCCCAGTGAGATGGTGTAAATTGAGAAGGGGCCCAAGCACTGAGCCTTGGGGCACCCCTGTGGAGAAGCAGTGGGAGGAGGATAATTGCCACAAAACATTGTAGGAACGCCCCGAGAGGTAGGATTCGAACCACAGGAATGCTTTACTCGAGATGCCCATTGCTGAGAGAGCGGATAGCAGGATCCTGTGGTTGACTGCATCAAAGGCTGCTGATAGGTTAAGCAGGATAAGAACAGAGGATTGGGTTGCAGCTTTAGCTGACCTTAGGGCTTCTATTACAGACAGAAGAGCTGTTTCAGTAGAGTGGGCACTCTAGGAGCTAGGATCTAGGAGGTCATTCCATTCTGAGACCTGTTTGAATACTGCCCGTTCAATAGTTTTGTATAAAAATGGAAGAAGAGAAACTGGTCGATAGTTCTCAACTTGAGTTGGGTCAAGTGAGGGCTTTTTGAGCAAGGGTGTGACCCGAGCCCTTTTGAAAGTGGTCGGGAAAGTTCCTGAAGCCAGAGAAGTATTTATCATGAGTAATTGTCGGGACCACAGTAGGAGATATGGCTTGGAGGAGATTCGTAGGAATCGGGTCCAGTGGGCATGTAGTTGGACGGCTACGGGTCAAGAGTTCTGATACTTCGCTCTCTGTGAGAGGAGTAAACGAGGAGAGTGAAGAACCACTGACCTGGGAGGGCAGAGGAAGTAGTAGGACTGCTACAATGGTTGAGTTTGATATTTCGGAGGATTGGCTAGTTATAGCCTCCACTTTGCCTGTGAAGAAGGCAGCAAAGGTATCAGCAGACAAGTTTGTGGGTGGCTTGTTGAGACGGAGGATAGGAACAATTGGTAGCCCTTACTTAACTTTGATAAAGTGTTGACTGCACCGAAGGTAACGTGTGTCATAATTTATCTGTTTGCTGCAATGTGAATGTAATGTGCAAAGTAAGACTCAGCATACATTTCTGGCTCCAGGGGCCTGTATGAAGCTAGCCCCAGTTTGGAGCCCCTCATGTATTACCATTAAATTCAAGCATTTGTTTTTCAGAGACTCTTCAAACCATTTGGATGGAAAAAAAATATTCAGTTCAACTGCACAATAAAAAAAAAAACTGTTATATCTTTGTTCTTTTTGTACAACACAAGAAAAATATACGTAATGATCCTACAGAGAATTACCTCCTGAATCTGCAGCTCCACCCTGCTTTACGGACCTTTATTTTTAATCTCATTGTTTAGCTGTTTGGCAGGGAGCACTACTGTTCGATTCACTGTCACTGCTTTCATAGTGTCATTTTTGGCCTCAGCAGGCAGCGCCAAATGGCAGACAGAGACACAGTTTGTGATTAGCTGTTGAACCTAAGAGTGTTTAGTAGCTAGAGATATATTTTTTTTCACCACGTGGTGACCAAAAACGGACCTAAATAAGAGTAAATATTGGACTTACATTCACAAACTAGTGTCATAATGAATGACTGTGAGTGGCATACAGTTAGCTTAGGGAGGTGCACAAAATATACTGTAGTACTGTACTGAAAAGATTGTCTGCTCCGCCATGGTGGTTATTTTCTAAGGTTTCTTCAGACCCACAGAAGACATACAAGTATTTTCACAGTTAAATAATCAGAAAATTTGTTGTTCAGAAAAAAAGATACCAACTTCCAGGTTTTCGACTGTTAACTTAGAACATGGTCAAAGTTTATTAATATAGCACATTTACAGTCACTACTGCCCCAAAGTGCTGTACAGAGAACAGCGTAAGATAAAAAAAACAACAACAAAAGAACAAGTTATTTGAAGACATCAACTTGGGTTTCAGGACATTTTAACTGAATATTTTTACTATTTCACAACATTTCAGTTGCAGCACTACAGATTGATTCTTGCTCAGTAACTGCTGGATGTGTAAATTAGCAACTGCTTGCAAACATATTCAACTTTTAATGTTATGCTCACAAGTTGTTTCTGCTGCCCCCAAGTGGCCAAAAACAAAACTGTTATTGCAGGTGTAAAATGATCGATTTATCAGAATTGTCACAGTAATTGTTTCAACCAAATTGTGAGCTGAGTAGCAAAAACTTGTCAGTAGGACCGATGAGAAATGAAGTAAATGTGGACATGTTTAATTCTGCTCTGTAGTTTAAAGACATTGTCACACCAGACTCTGTTATAAAAATTTGTCACTGAAACAGGAGTGAAACACGCTTGGTATCATTCACCCATCTCTAAGAATTCCCATAAACTCTTCTGTCCTCGTCTTCCCCTTTTTATCTTTCTTCTTGTTATCTCTTTTCCTCTTTTATACACACTCATTCCAAGGTAGTTGCTTGTTAATCTGTCTGGATTAATGAATGAAACGCTGAGAAGAATTAGGTCTTTTAAGGACAAAAAGAGAACTACTTTTATTTGTTACCTTTTTTATTAACTAAATTTGTGTTTTAACGTGTGTGTGTGTGTGTGTGTATGAAACTCTACTTAGATAATTGAAAGAGAAAAAAAAGTACAGTATTTGACAGCTTTAGTTAAAAAGTTACTTTAGAAAAAGAGCTTTTAAAATATGATGCTTTGTTAGATATTAGATGACAGTTTAAACAAGTATAGCTGAATAAATGATGTGGATGTGATATACAGGTACACATACATGTACACAGTGTGAGTGCAAAGGATGCTGGAATAAATAAGTATTATGTGCAGGTGTTATGTACTTGAGGTAGGTGGATTTGGTATACAGTGTATATACAAAATGACAATATGAACAGCTCTGAAATGGAAAATGATGAATAAATAAGTGGTAACCAATAAACAGGTGGCTGATTAGAGATAGTTACTGGGTCTATGCACAGGAATTGATCCTGACACTAACAATCAATCTAATGATTTATAGTATAATATTCACAGGCTGTGTTACTTATGTTGTGGGGACGTAGATCTGTTTACCCAGTCATACTGTGGGGATTCGCCTTCCTTTTGGGTACAAAAGTGAATTCTCCATAAGGTAAATCATTAAGTTTTAGGTTTACAGTTAGGGTAAGGTTATGTTAAGAGAGGCAGTCTACATCGCGAGGGTGTAGCTTGTAGTGCACAAGTAAAATAATATAAATATCAACCATCCTTATCAAAATCTTAAAACAATATTAAAGAGATGCTGGTTATGCTTAAAGGGTGGAGGAATAAAACAATTATCCCAGCCTGTCCTCTTCCATATGCCATTCATATGGTCTCCCTTCCTTTTGTGACCAGGCTCGCTTGCCTTTGAGCTACTGGTCCCATACGATTGGAAATCAGGGTCGGAGTAGGCCTACAGATCAGGGTGCGGTTGAGAGGTTAGGCAACTAGTGGTCTCCAGGAAATGAATGTAACAAGGTAATGTCCTCTGAAGTGATGGAAACACTAGTGTGTATTGGACACTCATTCCCCAGGTGCTGTGGCTGCCTTCAGATCTGCGTGCTCTGGTCCAGGAGATCGATCCTGAGCTCCAGCAGACATCAGGAAGTCTGCTCCCCCTACAGGAGCTCCAGAGGAACCGCATCGTCAAACTCAACCTGCATTACAGCTCCATGTCCACTGAGCTCATCAGGTGTGTCAAAGATTCACCTGGTATTTTGTAACACATCTCGACTTTTGTGCCGGCAGTAGCTCATTTCGTGGGGGCTTGACTTGGGAACCAGAGGGCTGCTGACCATTTACATTTACTCAATTGGCAGACGCTTTTATCCAAAGCGACTTACATTTGAGAAACAACATACAAGCATCAACAGAGCATCAACTACAGCATGAGTAGATAGATTGCAGTTAGAGAGGGACGCCCCTGCTCTGATTGCGTGTGATAGCTCATTCCACCATCATAGTGTCACAGATGGGAACAGGGACTGAGATTGCTTTATGTGAAGGGATGGCAGAGCCAGGCGGCGTTCGTTGGAGAAGCAGAGTGGCCGAGAAGGAACGTAAACTTGTATTATGGAGTTTTAGATAGATGGGTGCAGACCCAGTAGTCACTCTATGCAAGCATTAATGACTTGAATCTGTTTCTGGAGGCCACAGGGAGCCAGTGGAGGTCACACACTAATGGCATGACATAAGTCCTTTTGGGCTGATCAAAAACCAGACGTGCTGATGCGTTCTGAACCATTTGTAGGGGTTTCACCGCACAAGCTGGAAGACTTGCTAGGAGGACATTGCAATAGTCGAGGCAAGAGATAACCATGTACCAGAAGCTGGGTGGCACTCCAGTCATAAGGACTGTGGACTGGTAGTTGGAGAGATGCTAGTTCTCCTCCTGGGCACTTCTGATGGTGCTCTTGAGCAAGGCCCTGAACGCTTAACTGTTTGGGTGCCGACCTACGTGGCAGCCTCCTTGCTGACATCTCTATACGATAATGCATGTGTGCAATTATAACTCTAAATTTTGGGATTAATAAAGTTGTCGTCGTCTTCTTTTTTCCTCCTGTTGTGCACAGTGAGTACGCTGCCTTGAACATCACCACCAACCTGTATGTGATCAGCCAGCCGTGGCTGTACTCTCTGGCCTGGTGCACTGGAGTCCACTCGGTCACCACCAACGCTCCCCAGCTCCTCAGCACCATGAGCTCCCCTCTCTTTCTAATGGTAACAGTTCAGATACAAGTTACCTTAGCAGAGATCTCTAATCTTTAGCTGGTCCTATTTTTTAAGTGAAAACACTTACATAAAGGCTTAAAGGCCGTGAAAAGAGATTTTATTATTTTATAGTCAGCTTCTTAGTGATGGGTTCACACACAAACACACAACACATTTTACTGCTCTACATTTGTCTGACAGCTTTAGGTTCTAGTTTGCAGATTATAGTCTTTCATCGTCTTCCTGTCCAGTGAAAACCAAGCAGCTCCACATTTGTATGTTTTTGATAAACTGAAGGATGAAGTGTTGCGTTAAAATCCTCCTCCTTTTTTAAGCTAAATGATCATCTTATAGAATATGATGCATTGCTGTAGATTAAACTACCCAACAGTATATAAAGTAGCTAAATTAGCACCTACAACTGCATCAAACACATTAATGCAGCAGTAATATAAAAATCCAGAATATAATCCAGATATAATAGTAAATACACTGGCAGGTACCATTTTACTGCATAATACATAAGTACTTGAATTAAATTTTGCTGATTAACTTACTTTTACTTAAGTAAAAAGACTTTAACTCGTAGTGGATTCTTTTCACAGAGTCGTATTTGTAATTTTACTTAAGTGCTCGGAATACTTCTTCCACCACTATATGAGTTTGTGCCAAACAGTTTTGGTTATTTCATGGGAGTATTTGTGTTCCTATCACTGGTCTGAAGTGGGCGGGCACTCAGCTGGTTGGCATCACACATTTCCTTCCACCAATTGTTGTCCACCAAACAAAAACGATCAAGTTTCCAAGGGAAGCGCCCTCCAGTGATTTAGGTTTATATTTCAATTAATTGTTTGGTCATTCATGGGATTTAAGTACATAGAGTATCACCAGACTTTTCTTTTTAAGGTGTTTACTTTTTTTGTTCTGGCTGATGCTAATTCACTTATAGTCCTTTTGTTCACTGCATTAAATGCAGACGTTATTGTGCAATATGTTATAGTAAAGTAATTATGTGTTATAAAAGCCTACATAATTTTTTTGCTGACACGAAATACTAATGTATCTTGCTGATGTTTAGGCTCAGTGTCACTGTGGTCTCATGTTTGACTTCATGGTTTATATTTATGTAACATTTAATTGAATTGAGTTGCAGTGTGATTGGAGAATAATTAAATTTGGCTATTACTTTTAATGCATTTTATATTTATATATTTTTTTTATACTTTCTAGCCTTTATATTTCTCAGTTATTCTCCTTCTTATCCCGCTAATGTGCCGATCGTAGTTTAACTGCAGAAACTCTCAAAACTGAACGAAGTTCTTTCTGAAGCTTTGGATCGGTCATGTGGTTTCATTTTACACACCAAACAGGAGTGAAACATGCTTTGGTATCTTTTAGGATGGTAGTTGTTTTCTTGTTAATCTGTCTGGATTAAAGAAAGTACCCGTGAGAAGAAGTATGCTGTAGACTTTAGTTTTGTTTAGTTTTTATTAAACTAAATTGTACAACAATGTGTACAGAAGAAACTCTGACCTCTCTGCTCCCACACTTCCCCTTTTTATCTCTCTCTCTCAGAGTCCAGATGAGTATAACCTGATGTGGATTCTCACTGACCTGGTGTCCCTCGTGCTGATCCTCATCATCTTCATCTTTCACTGGTGAATCACACACACGCAGTTTAAAAACAAAGCAATTAGCAGGACAATCCTGCCTACATAGATGTTGTAGTGTTTTATTTTACCCAGGCAGGACAATAGACAATAGGGAGCAGTCTGATCTGAATAAAATGGGATTAAACAGGGGTCACATGTTGCGTTTGCTTGCAGGTGGCGGGAGCGAAGACTGGCTTTCTGCTCGGGCAGCGAAATCAAGCTGGATAACGGCACTTATATCAAGTTTAAAACCGGTAAGCCATTCCACAGAAATATTGAGTGAATCCTTTAGATACTTTGCTTTTTTTAAATGTCTCTTTCTTTGGTGGTCATCTCTATGGAGTTTCTCTAATTTCCACAGGCATCTACTCCATTGTTCTCTTTAGACTCCTGGACATTTAGGCTGCATACGTTATGATACAGACATGTACGTTTTAATGTCACCTTTTATAAAGATGAAGAGTCAACTGAGGAGTAAAAGCTCATAACCCTATATTTGAACAGTTTGAATTAAACTGTCATGGAAATATGAGCCAGGAGCTTTCAATGTCTGGTAGATCTAGTTTGACATTTTGGAAAATAGACTTATTCGCTTTTGCTGAGAGTTAGATGAGAAGATTACTCCCAATATCTTTCCGGTTAGCTTAGCATAAAGACTGGAGAAAGGGGGGAAACGGCTAGCATGGCTACCAGCACCTTTAAGTCTAAGTAATTAACACATTACATCTTTGTTTGTTTTTATCCGTACAAAAACAGGTTTCTGTTATCTTAATGTTTAGAAGATTTGAATTAGACCCACTGTAAACATGTAAATTAACAGCATTTGGACAGTATCATTAAATTCAAAATTGGATCTGGGCAGATTCGTGTGTGTGTGTTTCCTGGCTTTTATCATGTGGGTGTCATTCTCATTTCCAATAAAGTTCAGCATATAATGAGGTAAGAGTTAATTTGCTGGTAAAGGCAGAAAGAAAAAATGGCTGCTACTCTTCTAAGTTGTTTTCTCCTGCTCTGGAGATGTTAACGGCATTGATGATGATTTTGTTACTTCTGGACCAAGGAATTTCAAAAACAAACATTTACATTGCTGGCCTGATAACAGCCAACTTAGAACTTAATTAAAGTTGTTGATTAATTGATCATTCAACCGATCAGTCAACTTTGATAATCGTCAAAAAAATGCCAAAACATTAGCTGGTTCCAGCTTCTTAAATGTGGGGATTTGCTGCTTTACTTTGTGATTTATGATAGTAAACTGAATATATTTGGGTTTTTGAATATTTGTTGGGCAAAAGACATTTGAAGAAGGCACATTTAATCAAATAATCAGCAAGACAGAACAATAATTTAAAATGTTTAAATTGCTGAAAATATTATGCTTAATTATGTAAGGTCTGCTGCTATAGCCTTTTTCCCTATTGGACTTTGGACTGTCCCACTTCCTTAATGCTATTTCACGAGATGTGACATCTATTACTTTCTTTGTGACTGAAATCAAACAATATTTTTTTTAATCCAAACCTTTCTGACCTTTATATTACAGAGATGAGTGATATATGGTCAGTGTCCAGCGCTATCTCCCAAGCAGAGAGGACACCCACCCTGGCAATCGTGACTGAGCACTAACATCTGCCTCTGAGAGGAGCAAACCTGGCAACATGAGCCTCCATCCTGGCAACATGAGCCTCCATCCTGCCAACCTGGGACATCTCAGCACGTAACATTGTCAAGTACTTTCACTACTACAATGAAATAAAGTGATTTAACATTTATTCACTTTGTTAGTAGCTGTTCAATCAAATGTTTTCCTCAGGCTGAACTTTTAAGGGATTTTCCCTCAGAAAGGACAAGGTTTAGCTTTTTTTGGAGACCAGCTGACTGGACTGCTTAATCTCTCTCCAGCTACATCAGTCCATTAATTTACAGCAGTGGTTCTTAAACATCCCCACCCGAAACAAGGTTCAGGTTAGCAAAATGGCATCAGAGGACTTTTGTTTATGCTACCACATGAATCATATTCATGCAACGTTGGGTCTGCTCAACATTTATGACCCCCCCCCAAATTTAGTCAGCAGCCGGCTAGCTTACAATAAAGCCTGGAAACATGGGGAAACTGCTAGCCTGGCTCTGTCCATCGGCAACAAAATCTGCTTATCAGTTTGTTTAAGCCATATAAAAAGTAGGAAATTAAGTGGAAAATGACAAATTGTGGTTTTACAGGCGTTATTTGTTGGACTACTTCTTGGCTGGGCCAAAGTCGTCCATACTGGTTGCCTGGAAGCCTCACAGTAATGACAAAACTCCATGAACTAATAGAGGCACAATTTCTAATTAGTCATGTTACACTTCTTTGATAAAGACCTGATACTTTGTGATAATTTTTGTGTATTTACTTCATCCTTATCATGTATACTATACTATTTTTTTAGGAGAATAAACTGTAAATAAAAACATTCACTAGATACTTAGCCCCCAAAAAAGATGGTGTCGGTACTTTTTTCAGCCCTGAGTAGTGTCTGCAGGCTTCATTGAATTCACAAATCACCTGCTGCTTGTTAACATTAATCACGGATGAATGTCATGTTGATCAGACCACTGGATTTTATTCTGTCTTTTGCCCCCAAAATAAATCACCACGTGTAGTGTAAACCACATAAAAATAAAATATAAAGATTCCTCTAAGTGTATAATGCGGCATATCAGTATTAAAGAATATTTGCATTTGCATTTGCATTTACTTGCATGTCTTTGAATGTTCAGTGTGGTCCTCTGGCTCCTTGCAGGTTACAGCAGTGCAGCCAATATATTTAAGAAAAATGAACGTCTCTGTGCTCTTTGCAAAATATAATTTATTCATGTCTACATCAGGATATGTGGTCACATTATGGATGAAACAGTTTCTCCTTAATACATAGTCCAAAAAAAAGTATTACGATTATGAATCGATGCTTAAAAATTAACGCTAATGGTTCATACATTTAGAAAAAAAACAGACAAATGAGCATAAAATCAGTCAACATCTACAGTTCTTCTGTATCCACGAAAACGGTCTACAAATAGCCTAACTATCTAAGTCTAAGTGGTGTTTGTACTTTGTGGCACACACATGGTCTGTTTCCTTGCACATGCATGACTAACAATGCAGTAAAAACTCATCAGATTATATTTAAATCAAGTTTGCCTCGCAACAGCACTTGCGTTTCTTAATATGTCCAAGTTTGACTGATCTGAAGGGTAATTTGCTGAATGATAGCTTACCTTTGGTGTGGTCTATATTTTTAAAGAGATTTGATTTAAAACACGTTAAAGTTGCTCCATATGTGATGCTGGTAAACTTATAACGACTCTGAGCATAAAAAAGGATGTGTTTGGAAAAATTAAGCTACTTACAAGATAAAGAAATTAACAAGTAGACTTCTGTTTTAGGGGGTGTTTAGATCATAGTTGTCTTGGGATTCTTTGGCTATTTCAGTTCAGGTGTAATGGCGCATTCACATACAACTTGAATTTAATTTTTGCAGTAAGTGCTGCAACACATTGCTGTGATTTAATTGCAATAAATGGATGAAAATGATGCCAAAATAACTACATGATGCTGATTTGTTAAATATGAATTCATGCTTTGTCTGGTCTGTACACAAGATGACAAGCAAACAACTTTTAAAATGTTTTTTTCTAAATGCCGTTTGGAATGATCAGGACTATGCTAACTTGTCTTAGTAAAGTACGATAGCTGGAATCAAGTAACAGACACACTTTTGTTTTTTTTATTTTTATTTTTTAAACTTACTAGGTGGTTTCCTCACTTTACTTTAATTATTAACTCTGAACTCCTCCCACTGGTAAATGGCTCAGTATCAGAGCAGAATCTGGTGCAACTGCGAGTGTTGATTTTCACTCGGATCTTGTTTTTGTAACTTAAACAAGAAGCTAGAATACGGCTTTGTTGTCTTTACACTAGTTGCATGACAGACTGTTCCATAAAACTTTACAGCACGAAGATAATAACTGAGAAACCTCAGAGTTTACAGTGATTATAGTGCTTACAGAAAGCCGTCCAAATTGTCGTGTTGTGTGGTATGGTGAGTCGTTTAAAGGCAAGAGGTGAGTTTTAAGACAGGGCCGATGCATAATAACAGGAATGAAAACGTTGGCATTACAGAGTTACAGTTAACCGCCACTCAACTGCCTTAATAACCACTTGGTGGGACAATTTAAAGAACACAGTTTGTGTACATGTATTCACACAGTGCATGTGGGCGGCTGCATGTGTGAGAATGCAGGATTGATTGACCGTAATCGATGAGTTTCCATCCCTCTGTTCACTTGTTGTTCCCCCGGGAGGTTCGCTGTTTGGTCATGGTCGTCAGCATCTGGCTGATGTAAGAGGTCAGGAGGTCGTCCATTTTGTAGCCCTGAGGGGTTGGAGGTCAAAGGTCAGACATACTGTGCTAAATTGATGTTTATTTATAGATGTATTGCTCTTTTTTTGTGATACACTTTTCACTAAAATGTAAAATTATCAGATAACCAATGGTCAGAAGTATTTCCTGTGATTTTAAAATGGTTTCATCCTGGTATGAAATAATTCTTTACCCAAAGTTCCTGCTATTTCTAACTATAAATTAAGTTTGATTTTTAAAATGGAACACATATTTCTGATGGTATTCTTTCAGATAGAACCGTTAAAAAACAGGGTTAACGGCACATTTTCAGACAGCCTCTTTTAGAAAACATTCATAAGTCGGGCTTCCATCCAAATGAAGCATGTTGATTAAATGAGATAATCAGTAGGAAGCGCTAATTCTCCAGTTGGTGCCAATTAGTGATGGGAATTATGGTGGGATCTTATGGTTCCCAAACGGCACTGCTGTGTTCAAAAGTGTAATTTGTTGTCATGCATATAATTTTCCGCAAAAGGGGGGACTGGCACATCACTAGGAGCCATTAAACTATTGCAGATAAATGTAGTAATTGAAAGAGCACCAAAAATTATCATGTTAATTTTACAGTCTCCTTCCACACAAACCTAGAGCAACGACAAAGTACATTTACTCATTTAGCTGACGCTTTTATCCAAAGTGACTTACAATTGCTATATATGTCAGAGGTTGCACGCCTCTGGAGTAACTAGGGGTGTTAAGTGTCTTGCTCAGGGACACAGTGTCTCACAGTGGATTTGAACCTGGGTCTTTCACACCAAGTCTTATCCACTGCTCCATCACCACCCCTAAAGTACAGATGAACTGTTTAAACTCTCACATTTTTATTTTAAGCTCAATGCCGAAACCTTCATTTTCCGGTTATTCTGAGCGGTGTCGTGCATCTACATCTCTGCATGTTCATACGTGTCGTATTAAATTCAGTGGCTCACCAGTGAGGTTTCACACAGCAGCTTGCTGCCTCTGACCAGGTTCCCGATGGTGATGTGGAAGTACGTGTTGCCGCTACTCCAGTTGGAGATCTTGGTGAAGGGGTGAGTGGTGAGGATCTCCTACAGGAAATAAAACAAGTGGTTTGAGCAGACATCCTTTTGTTGGCAGAAACGGTACTCTATGCACACATACATGCATATAAGGAAATTAGACTGACCCACCTTAGACTTGGGATCAATGAGACTGACTCCATGTTTGTTGATTGCTATCAGGAGGGTTTCTGGGTAATTAGGATCAGTTGTTTGCTGCAGAAAGAATAAAATAGAATAACTAAACACATTACGTTACACAGTGTTTTAAAAGGGCTGGAAAGTATTGTACAAGTGCATTTACCCAAGTACTATCCTTAAGTACTACTTTGAGGAACTTGTACGTTGCTTTGCTACTTCACACTTTACTCCACTACATTTATTTTAAAGCTTTAGTTACTTTTCAGATTACTAATATAAAATATAATCAACTAATAAATTATGTAATATTAGGTTAATATACCTAGCGGGATATAATGAAATTAAAATTAGCTCCACCTTTATCAGCTTCAACATTAAAGTGATATTAACACAGCAATAATTATCCAGTAATATAATAATAATTCTGAGATGGGCCACTCCTTTTGATACTTCAAGTATATTTTTATGCTAATACTTTTGTACTTGTAGCAATACAGTGTAGTAATACACTACTGTTACATGTACTGGTAAAATGTCTGAATACATCTTCCACCACTAAAAAAACAAAACAATATGCAACAACTCCACAACTTAAACTTTTTAAAAACGAATTACTGTAGTCTTAACATCGTTACCTTGACTTCAAAAAATGCAGAACCAAACGTGGGCCACTTGTAAATGATTTTGAGGAAGGACAGTTTGGCTTCTTCTCGAGTCTTCCCTGAGTGCTTGTTGAACAGCGACATGATGGACTGAGGGTGAGACACCCAAAAGACAAGGAAGAGAAACATTTCTGAACACTCACATGGACGGTTCAGCCAAGAAACTTTGATTTATTTTCTCTAATACGTCCTCTCACCCTCTTCCAGTCGTCGGGGGACAGATGTCTGATCTGGTCCTGAGGAACGAGCTCCTTCAGGATCTTGGAAATATTGTGGAAGTTGGATTTATCCTCCTCAAACTTCACCCTATAGATCAGCGCTGCCAGCTGGTGCACCTCCTCCTTCAAACACTTGTGGTAGCCTCGCAGATACTTAGGCAGCTCCTGGAGAGAGAAGACAGCCGCTGTTCAGATACTGCATGTTTGTTTAAACGGTGAATTTAATGGCATGTAAACTAACATTGTTCCTAAAACTCCATTAAAATAAGCCCGTTAACCTTTGTGCAGCAGCTGTGCTCCGTGCACAAATACGGCGCACACAGTAATTTTGGACACCCAGCTCAGAATAAAGGTTTCCTGTTAAAAAGGTGTCAATATAAAGAATGTAATCTATTTAAAGAATAACTTAATACACATTACAGCAAAGTGAGAAACCACTAGAGGTCAGTACAAGTGCTCAGACACAGAATGAGGAGGCTTTCCCCACTTTTCACATAAAAATAATTCCTAGGGAAATTGGCTCATTCTAGCTGAGGTATGTGGTCTTATTTAGCCATACAATAATTTCAAGTTGGCTGAGGACACAACTCGGGATTTTAATCATCTAGAGGCAATTTGACATTCCAGCGTCTGAACCACGTCTCTGATCTGCCATCTTCCACCCCGATTGGATTGGCTTGGCTTTGTAGGCGGGATTGAGAATCATCTTCCTGCATAGCTTGCATCCGTGAAAAATAGCAGCAGATAAATGTACTTTTTACTGCAATACATTTGTCTGACAGCTTGAGTTACTAGTTACCTTTCAGATTACAATTTTTCATACCCTTTCAGTCCAGTGAAAACCTTATCTTGAAAGTTTGTGATTATATATGATGTTTCTGATTAAATGTTCCTTTATTGGTTGAGAAAATTCTCCTCCTCCTTAAACTAAGTAAACTATTTAAACCCCCCCTTGGATCAGCTCAAAAATGGATCATCACAAA